CAGACCTCTTTGACCCATTCCCTGGGAGAATAACCTGATCAGGAATGAGGGTTACAATGAACTGGACACAGAGCAAGGAAAGGCTGAGATTCTGGGATGTATGGGAAGCAGGGAAGAGGGAGACGAGTTGACGTACATACCAAGGAGAGCTGTGAAGAATCTGCAGGATACCCTCTTCTGCTAAACTACCATTCACAAAGTGACACCACACAAAGAAAAACCCCAGAAACAGACTCCTCTTTTTCCACCGGTTCACTGCTTCTCACCCAAACGCAAAGCACTTGTTAGGGCTGTTTTTCAACAAGTATAAATGGTTGTCAGCAGAAGAGGATATCCGACAGACCATCTTGACTGCTGCCATTGGTGTTATCAGCATTCAGATTAGATAGTCTCCAGTCCTATCTTTCTTTCCAAGCAAGTGGAGACGTAGTTGTGATGTCCGATAGACCATCTTGACTGCTGCCATTGGTGTTATCAGCATTCAGATTAGATAGTCTCCAGTCCTATCTTTCTTTCCAAGCAAGTGGAGACGTAGTTGGTATCTTCCAGCCTTGGTGCCCGGAGAGGGGAATTATTGTGGAATTATTCTGTGTAATTATTTATTCCAATAAAAGGAATTATTGTGGAGAAGGTATGGCCTGTTTGGTGCAAGGTGGGCAGGATCCTGGAAGGAAGGGTGTTCTTCAGATTCCATTAGCTCCTGAAAGAAGATATCTAGGTGGTGCCACAAAGAGATGAGCTTTGGTAAAAGGTTTGGTCACCATTTTTCCAGGTTGGATGCTTGCTAGTCCTGAGGTCGCTGTCTTTTCTTACAGACACTAACCGGGAAGGAGATTGAGATTGACATTGAACCAACTGACAAGGTAACAGTCCAGAGGCAGTTGTGCACATGTGTTTGTAATTGCTGATGCTGCCGGTACCCACCATTTTCTACAAGACAAAAACCCAGGAAGGGCCGGTGGTTTCAGGAGAGAGCCCATCCCTTGGAGTTTTCTCTCCTATAGAGGGGTGGGGGGGTCATTTTCTTTCCTTTTCCTGGAGTGGCTAGTAAAGCTTGGGAAAGTATACGGTGGTCAATTCCAAGTTACCTGGGCCATTGGCATGTTACCATGGTGATATCCATCCAGTGGAGGGTGCAGATTTTGGTGTGCTATGGACTGTGAATCCACTTGGTGAAAGCCTATAATCAAAATAGGTTCAGTACCTTAGTAAATCCTTTAAAGTTTTCTCTAAATCCTGGAGCTTGGTTTCCCTGAGCCCACCCAGTCCTTGTGGCCAGGATCCTACAGTTTCAGGGGTCCGTTGGGAGGCCCTGCTTGTTGTTGTTGATTAGTTGTTAAGTCGTGTCTAACTCTTCATCCTGTTGGGAGGCCCTGCTTGTTGTTGTTTAGTTGTTAAGTCGTGTCTAACTCTTCATGGACCAGAGCACACCAGGCCCTCCTGTTTTCCACCTCTTCCCGGAGTTTGGTCAAATTTAGGCCCTGAGGGGACATAGGCCCTGCTTAACAGGCCATCTTGAAAGAACATCTGTTTTTCAGCTGGAGAGATGGCCTTTTTCTTAGCCAAGCTGCCCCACAAGGACAACTCGGAAGAGTCAAACTCTTGGAAGTGCCTTGGCCTGCTCAAGGAGGTTGTGATGCCACTACCTTTGCTGCTTGAAACGTGACTTTTCTCCCTTTCTTCCTTTCCCTGAAGGTGGAGAGAATAAAGGAGCGAGTGGAAGAAAAAGAAGGGATTCCGCCCCAGCAGCAGAGGCTCATCTACAGTGGGAAGCAGATGTGAGTTCCCTCCAGAGGGGAAGTGGACTCGTGATTCACCCGAGGAAATGTGCAGCCTCTGTGGGGCATCTCAGGTGGAGGGAGGCCCCTTGGAGTACATTAGGAGAGAAAGGCTTACATTTTGCAGGAATCTCCTCCTTAGAAACAAACAGATGCAACAGAACCTGGAAAGATCCTTTTAAAAAGGAATTGAATTACAGTTTCAAAGACCATAAAAAAATAGGGTACCCTGGTTGTTGCAGTTCTTTGAAAGGTAACTCTGCTTTCTCTCTGTTAAAGCATCAACATTTTAGTTAATTTTTTAAAAATCTGAATGCTCCAAGCCATGGGCTTGTGGCACAGAATGGCCATCATCTTCTCATGGCTGTCTTGACCCCCCACAACATAGTAGAAACCACCACAGTGAAGCCAGCCCCCCATAACTACAGAGGTTCTGTTGCACATTCAGATGAATAAAACATCCTTTGTAAAATAACAGTGGTAGTTACAGCTATATTCGTGGGGTAGTCTGTTAATTAGAAATAGCTAGCTAGTTCTCAAGATCATCCACACACTTGTATTTCCAAATATCTTGCATGGGTGTGAAATCTGGACAGTGGAGAAAGCAGATATCAAAAAAATGATTTATTTGAAATGTGGTACTGAGGGAAGCTTTACAGATACCCTGTATTGCTAGAAAGACAAACAAAACAGGTCCTAGATCAAACCAAGCCTGAACTCTCTCTAGAGGCGAAAATGTTGAAACTGGGACTGTGCTACTTTCAGCACCTCTTGAAAAGGCAGGATTCTCTGGAAAGGACCCATAAGGGTGGGAAAGATGGAAGGCAGCAGGAAAAGAGGAAGACCCAATATGAGATGGACTGGCTCCTTCAAGGAAGCCACAGGTTTGCATTTGCTACAGCTGAGCAGGGGCAGCTGAAGACAGGAAGTGTTGGAAATGGCTTGTTCCATAAGGTTGCTGCAAGTTAGAGGCAACTTGGTGGCAAATAACAACAGTTACTTTCCAGGCACTGAGTGGAACCCACACTGAAGTACATTGCTCTCTTACTAGGTTTGGTATAAGGAGACCAGGGCCTGGAAAAGTTACATTTCTGAACCTCCCGTCCCGGCATCTGAGCTTTTCGGGAACTTACTCCAAAAAGGGTAACTTGTGGGTCTAGAAGAGGGCCTGCCACCGACCCCCTTAACCCTCGTCTCTTATTGCTTTACAGGAATGATGAGAAAACGGCAGCAGACTACAAGATCCAGGGCGGCTCTGTTCTTCATTTGGTGTTGGCCCTACGTGGGGGAGGCCTGCGATGATGGAGGACCCGCTGGCCCGAGTGCCCCTCTCCCCTCGTCCTCCCCCAGCCCCCACAAAGGACAGATCCACTCTTTTGCAGTTGGGAAGCGTCGAGGTCCTGGATGACGTACGCTCCCCCTGCCTTTTGCTCATCCTTGTTATGGAAGAGAAGGCGCCTGCCTCCTGGAATCCTCCCCAAGCTGTTATTCAAGGGGAGGCACCCTTTAAGAGGAGCATGTCCTTTGGGGGAATCCCGCATTCTGACCCTCCCACGTGCTTCTTCGCTCTAACTTCCTAAGCGCAGCTTTACTCGTTTGTTGTTGTTTGTTTGTTTTTCGACTCCCATCTTCAGACGTCTCTTTCCCTCTCTTGGAATGGCTGAGTGTTCAATAAAGACGTTTCACAACCTCTGTTGCTTCGCGAGATGTGTTGACTTCATTGTGTCGTTCTTTGGGGGTCTCCTGCATGCCTTGAATCCTTCAGCTAGGTCCGGATCTGAAGGAACCTTTCTTTCGCATAATCCAAGCTAGGTTGGGTCCCAGAATAGAGCATCCTTCAACTGGCTCAGAAGCTGTTCCCCTTGGGAACTTATTTATTTAACTTATATGCTGCCCACACTACCTGAAGGTCTCTGGGCGGCTTACAACATTTAAAATACAATAAAAGGGCAAAATAATTAAAATGCAATTAAAAATATATACTCTAAAAATTGCCATGAGACCCACAGCTGATATTTCAATTAAAAGCCTTCAGTTAAAACTTCAGTTCCTGGGCTAGCAGAATGATCTTCACTAGCATTTCATGGAGTAAGCTGTGATGGGTCTTCTTGGCATCACACCGATCCAAATTTAAGTGCTGTCAATTGTCTTTTTTCTTTAGAAAAAGCCAGTGTCTGACCATTGGCAGGTGTTTTATAAGGGATTCAACCCAGATCCCTCTGAGTGTTGATGCAAGGTGTGGGGGTCCCTCTGCAGCTGCTGATCTTGACCTGGTCCCCTCCAGATGCTTTGGACAGCTCCCATCAACCTCAGGGAACAGTGGAGAGGCAGGATCATGGGAATGGCAACATCTGGAGGGCCACCAGTTCTAAAGTTTCTAGCCTGGCTCACTTGCTTGAGTTATCCATCCACTGATAGGCAACCATGGTCTACAGGGGCGGGGTATAAATTTAATAAATATTGTCTGCACGGCTTAAAACGTGGGCTTTGCTCTGTGGAAAGAACATCCTCAGTGGGGCAGGATTCTTCTAAAATGGTGGTGAACGAAAAGCAATCCTCTAAGATGGCTTTTGTAGACCCATATCCCCCTCTTGGATCCTCTTTTCCTGGGGGGGGACATTAACTGTAGCGTATGGAAGCCTCCCACAGTGATGGTTTGCCTTTTAAATAGGTCACAGCCCCGCCCCACCCCATTAACACCCAAACCCGACAAGTTTAGAAAGGCTTTCTTGAGCTCCTGCCGTGCAGCAGCGTTAAAAGAAAAGGTAATAAGTGGTGCATAATCTTTCGTTTCTCCTTTTCTCCCTCCACGGCTCTCGAGAAGCAAGGCGACCCAGTTTCAAATCCCTAAGCTGTGGAGCCCACCGGGTGGCCTTCGGCCAGTCATTCCTTGAATCAAACCCTACCTCGTAAGGTGGTCGTGGGAATAAATGGTCAGGGGAAAACATGGGACCAACTTTCTGGAGTGAAAGACAAATGTAATATACATGCAAAACATAACTCCCAGAAAGAGAGGGTAAAGGTTTTTGTGTTGGATCAGAGCAATGGAAACAACAGACAGAGCCTTTTTAGAAGTGGCACCACAGTGGCTGAATAGAGCATTTCTGAATCTGCAGCTTGCATTGTCAACAAATGGCTGGAATGACGACGGGTGTGGAAATGGTGAAGGCAGCCGCCCTGCACTGATCATGGACTCTGGATTAATTACCACCCAAATATTGTGTGGTGGGGACTGTGGATACTTTTATGCTCTGTCTTCAGATCAACTCTAATAATAATAATAATATTCCAGTTAGACGTTAATCTGTGCTTTAAAACAAAAACACTGCTGGCTGTTACAGCAGTTCTGCATTTTGATCTCTCTTTTTTTTACAGCAACCATGGTTTATTCGTGCATTTAATGAAAATGTTTTTGCCATCCAGTTCTCATAAAGAGGCGGGCGATGCATAAGAAGTTAAAACTACGTCAATGAAAACTAACAGAGATCTTTGCCTTTAAGCTGCAATCCTCAGCGTGTTCACAGAGGGACCCGGTCCCATGGAATGCAACAGGATTTACTTTAGAGTAAATAGGTTAGCACACTCATGTTTCAAATTGTATGTGTTAATTGTAAAAAAATATGCTGCATTTGTATTGGTTTGCATGTAAGAGAGAGGGTTTAACAAAAATATTTTACTGGATCATTAAATAACACATGGGAATGCTATACAATTTGGGGGAAAGGAAAGGGAGTAAATGACACTTTAAATTTACATTTTATTTGGAATCCATCAGCCTGCCTTCCTTCCTCAGTCCCTCATTTTTTAAACTTCTACACTTGAAGATGTATTCTGGAGAATTTATGCCCTTGGTGAGTTGCAGCAATCCTGTACAGATATTCTCCAACACAGACATTTGCTTCATTCCATGGATGACACAGTAGTAGTTTTGATTTTTTTTTTAATTTGCCTAATTCCAGCGAGGGGCCACAAAATCATGGTTGTTCTCTCTTTTTTAAAAAAAGTTGTGCAAGCCTAAACGCTCCCTAGAAGCCAAAAATGATCACCCTGAGGCCGTGATACGTTGGACACACCTTGAGAACGTTGGATTCCCTGGAAAAGACAATGAGGCTAAGAGCAGGCAGTAGGAAAAGAGGAAGGCTTAATGTGAGACAGAGTGATTCAGTAAAAGAAACCACGGCCTTGAGTTTGCAAGACCTGAACATGCTAGTTAAAGAGAGGGCTTTTTGAAAGTATTTGATTTTTAGGGTCACTCTTAAGTCAGAAGCAACTTCACCTAACGGCAACCACACAAACACACACACACACACACCGGCCAGTTCCTGTTCCTCTGCGCAAGGAGCGTGGCCTAGATGCCGACTCATCTTCCCACCCACCCCAAAAAAAGCTGTTGTGTTGGCAGGATTGTCTCTAGGGTACAAAGAGTTAACCAGGTCCTGGAACTGTCTGGCAGCCACGAGAGCACGTGGTCCAGGAAGTGAGAGGGAGAGAATGAGAGAGAGAGAGAGAGAGAGAGATCTGCCGCCTGTCATCCAGTCCGCCTGTTCTTGGAGGACCGGATTAAAGAAGAGAATTCGGTTCTGCAACCTGCATCTCCTGCCTTTCCAGGAGTACCCAACGGTGGGTTTCCCTCTCCGAAGCAGGTGCTTCCTCCTCCTGGCATCTCTCTCCTCGGAAGGCCACTCTGCAACCCAACGAAGCTTTTGCTCGTTTTGGGCAAAAACGCAAAACTTCATCTTGCTTGAACAATTTTGAACCATCCCTCGTGGGGGGGGGATATTTCCATCCCCCCCAGCCCATCTGGAAAACAAAGAAGCCCCCAAAGATGGAAAATAACAACCGTGCATTTGCAGAAAAGTCTGGTGCCTTTTTTTCAGTTTTTGTGGATTTGGGTGAGACCGAGGGGCTCCAAAAAGTTATTTTGCTCGGACACTCTCGTTCCTGGAGGAAAGCCAGGATCCGAGTCCTACATTACGGGGTGGGTGGCCGGGGGGAGGAGATGGCCTGATTTGGCCTCTGTATCATTTTAATGATTTCCAGTTACATTTGTTGGTGTATGTGTGTTTTGGGTTTCAATTTTAGGATGATTGTGTTTATGGTTTGAAATTGTTGTTTGACGTTATATTTGTTTTGCATGTAACTGGCCCAGAGTGGCCTTGGTAGCCAAATGGGCGTGTTATATTTGTTTTGCGTGTAACCGGCCCAGAGTGGTAGCCAAATGGGCAGTGTAAAAGTTGAAGGAAGAAGGAAAGAAAGGAAGGAAGAAAGGAAGGAAGAAAGAAAGAAAGAAGGAAAGGAAAGGTTGGAAACAAACAAAGAGAGAGAGAGAGAGGAAGGAAGGAAAATGTAAAAGTGGAAGGAAGGAAGGAAGGAAGGAAAGAAGGAAGGAAGGAAAGAAGGAAAGAAAGAGGGGCATTCAGGGCCCTTAGAGTGTGGCCAGAAGCATTGGGGGTGCAATTGCTAATCCTTGGTCTTGAACTTTTTGGTTGCTTTTGCTACCCCTCCCAACTTCAAAATGTATTAAACCGATCCTGCCGGGGCTGAGAGCCCTTCCTGATTAAATCTGCTAAACCCCAGACCCTGCCTTTACGATGCCACACCAGAAAGAGGACCTCCCTTTAAAAAAAAAAGAAGAAGAAGAAGAAAATCTTGTTTATTTTTAGAACGTGAGTTTGGTCCTCGCTTCTCTCCAGGTCCTCCTTCCCTTCAAAGAGAAGATGAGCAAGAAACCTTCCCTCGTCGTCTTTGACCTGGGTGAGTGTTTGTGCAGAAAGAGGAAGGTCAACCTCTTTTTTTTTTAATGCTTTTATATATTTGATTGGTAGCTGCTATTTGGGGGGGGACATTTTTCTGGGGGGGAAATGAACATTTCCTTAATGAGAACTTGAAGCAAATTGAAATTTTTCTGGAAATTGTCATTATTATTTTGGGGAGGGGGAATGGATTTTATTTTATTTTATTTTATTTTTTGAAATTTTACAGTTTTAGTCCAAGAACATCTGGGGAACCACCGAGATAGGCCAGGCTGAAAGATAAGGAGTTGATCATAATAATCACCCAGCTTTCTGGTGAAGGGAAGATTTGATGACACAAAAGAAAGCCAGAGAAAATGGATGCTTTGAGGTGTTTCCCTCTGATTTTAGTCCAGAGCTTTAACCACTGCCCCGGACTGCTCTAAATCGTTATACACTAGACAGAAGTTCAACAGGTGGATTCCTTGCAGCTACTGACTGTCATATTGTGAATGTTTAATCTTTTATATATACAGTATATATTAGGAGCTGATGTGATATAAGAGACCAAGAGTCACACTGGGTCCCCAGGATCTGGCTTCAAATCTTCCCTTGTTCATGGAAACATCGCTTGGGGAGAGGGCGAGTGCGGTGGCACAAATAAAACTCTTCCTTGAATACCTCACAGACTTTGAAAACCAGGGATCGGGGTGAGGGCAACAGCCTCAATAGAAAGGAGAAGCTTTTTGGGGTGGGGGAACCCACAAAGGGCACAATGGAAGAAGAGAGAGAGAAAAAAATACTTATTTATCATTCATTTATTTCCTCCATCGCTGTACCGCTGCCTTCGTGCATACGCGCTCGTCTGGGCGGTTGAACAAGCTAAATGCAAGCAATCCAACAGGACAATTAAACCAGACAAGAAAAACAAAAAGAGGAAGGTTATAGGAATGATGATCTTGGGGGAGGATAGAGTGATCTATGTTTGTTTGTTTATACTTGTAGATTACACCCTGTGGCCTTTTTGGGTCGACACTCACGTGGATCCCCCCTTCCATAAAAGCAGGTAAGAAAGAGGATGCCAATTTTGTATACGGGTTATTATTATTTTTTACTCGTTGATGGTTAGGTCTGGGGAGGGGGGTAGCATGTCCTATGTGTTATGAAGAAGCTGATGGAAGATGTAGTCCGCAAAGGGGGGGGGGATTCTGGAACCCTAACCCTTTCCCGTTAGACGAAGAGAACCAGAAACGACATCTAGAGATCCGTTTTAAGATGTTCTGGCCCTTCTTCTCCACCTATGCCACCTTTGCAATAGGTGAGACCATAAATCCCATCTTGCAAGGATGATGGGATCCAATAGATCCCAAAAAATGGCCGTTTGGAGAAGCTGGTCTGAGTTAATGCTTTGGGCTTTTTTCTTGAGCCGCAAAGCTGAGAGGCTGCCTGTGATGGGGAGGGGAGCTCAGCACATGCTCAGAGGCACTTTTGCTTTCAAATTACTGTAATTTATTCTGTTCAATTCCTTTTGTGCTGTCTCTCAGTCTAAAACATAGAAAGTTAGCACTCTCTTTAAACCCGCAGAGTTTTTAAAGGTGTCTGGAGCATGCTTGTGTCTCCTTCATCTTCTGTCTCATGGGGAAGTTCCACCGGATGCAGGAGGATTACTGGAGAATCCGACTCTTCTTCTAGAGCTTCACATTTTTGCCTTGGGGTTGCCTTCGGCTTTAAGGCTGAGGAAGGAAAGATGGAGGGGAGGGTGATGAAGATGGGGATTCAGAGTCATGAAGGGGATGTGTCAAGTCAAGAAGGGGTGGGAATCATGCCTGTGAACATCAAGATGTTTAATGCATCAAGGCCCTGTGGTGTTAAAAGCAACCCAGCGGGCAGGAATCCAACGGGTGCAGCTCTTGTTCTGTGGTTCACTCAGCAAAGCTATATCTCTTGGATTTCTACCTGTAACATTCCTGACACAGAGCCGTGCCCCCTGGCAACAAACCACATGAATTTGATCTGTTTTCCTCCCAGCGATGGTTCGGTACGAGACCGGACCGGGCGGCTTGTGAATCTCTACCCCGAGGTACCTGCAGTTCTACAGCAACTACACAGTGCTGGGATTTCCATGGCAGCTGCTTCGCGGTGAGTCTGGGTCGCTTTCCTTCCATGCACACACTCAATCCCGTTTATTCAAGCCTGGGTACTTTAATCCATCACGTGGATTCGATCTTACGACTGCTGGTCTTCTGACCCTGCAGCACAGGCTTCTGTGGCTTAGCCCACAGTGCCACCACGTCCCTACACACCCTCATAACAATCCCTAAATCCCCCAAACCCGCCTAAAACTCATAGTATCCACACAACAGACAACACAACAGACCGTTGTAATAGTCATACAGTCCAACAACTCAATGCTGGTGATTCTTAAGGTTCCTTGTTATGTCCAATTCTAGCTGTAGGATAAAAACTGTTCAAAAACGTGTCCGAATTCGAATCGCTCTGTATCTTCTGCCGGAAGGCAACCTGTAGGATAAAAACTGTTCAAAAATGTGTCATCCGAGTTCTAATCGCTCTGTATCTTCTGCCGGAAGGCAACAGTTCAGAGAAGTTATAAGCAGGGTGTGAAGAGTCTCTGAGAATATTTAAGGACTTCCTCAAGCCGTGAGATGCAAAGATGTTGTCCAAGGTTGGTAAGCTGAGAGATGCAAAGATGTTGCCCACGGTTGGAAGCTTAAGTCCAATAATATTTTGGGCCATTGTAGTAATTTTCTGTAAAAAACATTTTTTAGACCTGCTCAGGAGTACTCTTGTCTCTTGCATGATTTCTCAGGCTGTACAGCTGCTGCATTTGGAATTCAAAGGATGGCCTTTAAATTAAGTTTCTCGATTGCCTGTCTCCCGAGCACACTCCCTTTTGCACGGGTGACTGATGGGTCCATCCTGGATCTCAGAATTTCAGCCCTCCTGGACTCTTACAGAACGGGATGCCATTGACTTGGGAACCTAGCAGGATATTTTTAAAAAAAACAACCCAGGGGCCAGAGTCCCGTTGTTCATCTCAGCCAGAGTAGACCCACTGACATTTGGAGATTCGTTTCGTGTATCTTCTCGCTAGTTAGGACTTCACAACAGAGACAGAGCCGGAGAAAGAGAAAAAGAACCGAAGAGCCAGGAGGGAGAGCAAAGAGTAGACCTTTGGTCTAGAGGGGTGGGATAGAAACCCAATAAATAAATAAATAAATAAAGGGAAGGAGAGAGGACATCAGAAATAAGGAGCGACTGAGGGATTCTGGAAGTGAAAGCTGGACCATAAAGAAGGCTGACCGCTGAAGAATTGATGCTTTTGAATGGTGGTGTTGGAGGAGACTCTTGAGAATCCCCTGGACTGCAATGAGATCAAACCTATCCGTTCTGAAGGAAATCAACCCTGAGTGCTCCCTGGAAGGACAGATCCTGAAGCTGAGGCTCCCATACTTTGGCCATCTCATGAGAAGAGAAGACTCCCTGGAAAAGACCCTGATGTTGGTAAAGTGTGAAGGCAAGAGGAGAAGGGGACAACAGAGGTCGAGATGGCTGGACAAGGTCATCGAAGCGACCAACATGGATTTGACCCAATTCCGGGAGGCCGTGGAAGACAGGAGGGCCTGGCGTGCTCTGGTCCATGGGCTCACGAAGCGTTGGACATGACTGAACGACTAAACAACAAAAGGGTTCCGATTAATCAGGCAAATGTGGTAACAAACTGGGTTGCCTTCAGGGTGTCACAGAACGCATCGCCCCATGAACCTGACCATGCCTTCCTTGACTTGGGTTCTGCTTTTCTCTCTTTCTCCCAGGACAGGTGAGGTCCGAGGAGCTACTCAACTGCTAGATCTTTTGGGCCTCGCTCACTACTTCCGCTACACGGAAATTTATCCTGGCAGCAAAGTTACTCACTTCCAGAGGTAAGGAGACGTCCTCGCTGGTCCTGCATTACAGACCACTGCTCCCTGTTTGAAGCAACACTTATCCCATCAGTTCAATGGATGGTGTTACTTTTTTTTTTTTTGTATAAAAACAGTGTTCAATGCCCTTGCAACTGATTTAAAATCACTGCTCCGGCAGGCTCCTGCAAATGACCATTCATCTTATTTTGCTGGGGAAAGCAATTTTTTTATTTGGGGGATGGTTTGTGAAATGGGGGTGTCTTTTGAGACTGAGGGATGCCCTCTACCCAGCCTTGGCTTTGAGGACGATGTTATAGAAAATGCAACGGAGGAAAGAAAGGGCTTTTTAAAAATCACATTTGCCGTCTGCCATTTTTTCTAGACGCTTCTAATTAAATGACATTTCTGTTTTTTAAGCCGATTAGATCAGAGTTTGGAAAGCATTTGTTTTCGGATGCCAACTCTCAGGGGTCAGGTGGGGGATTCTGGGAAATATAACATGAATCTTTTCCCAGCACTGGAATTTCTCACCCTATATTCAATCCATGCTGGCAGAAAAATGTGGAAATGGAGAATTTGGAGAATTTCCATGCAGGATAAACCAGGGAGTGGCTCAAACATCTCTCTTTTCTTCCCTTCCTGTTTTCTTTCCCTCTCAGGTTGTCTCAACAGAGCGGAATCCCTCTCTGCCAGATGCTTTTTTTTGACGATGAAAACCGCAACATTTATGACGTTAGCAAATTAGGTATCTGGAGCAACCCGTGACATTCAAAAGCAGAATACATTGGTGCAAACATTTCCATAACATATTTGCACGGGACCCTCCATGGCTCTGCCTTGAACCCAGTCCCAATCCAGACTAGCGCCTTCGAGTTTGCCCATCAGGAAGTAAAATGACCGGCTTTCACGAGGACTTATTTCTCACACATTTTTCCCCAAAGAGGAAGGGACGCATCTGCACCACACCAACGTCTTCTGTGCATGCCAGAATATTCTAGGTTTCAGGTGGGGCCATTCCAGGTAAACCTTAGCATCTCAAGATCGTTTCTCATCAGGCCAAGCGGTAAAAAATCCCTTTCGGCCTCAGAGCCTGAGTCAATTTTAGGTAACATTCATTGGGGGAGGCACTTTCGAAAAGGATGGTGTCCAATTGCCCCGTGAATTGAACTGCTGGATAGCTTGGTGTTTTAGAGGTTGGGAGTTCGATTCCCCCGTGGTGCCCTGATCCGGAGGGTCCCTTCCAACACTGCCGTTCTGTTAGTAAATAAGCCGTAAATAAGGAATTTAGATCTTTTCAGGATGGGAAGGGAGATTTATTTTTCAAAACATTGGGAAAACACCAGATCAGGGTGTTGTGACAAAAGAGGTGTGGGTCCTTGGGGTGGAGTGGGATCAAGGAAGGCCAGATTGCCAGGTCGTGCTTTAAGCCGCACCAGGGACTCGAACCTGACTCAGTTTTGGTTCCCCCCCCCCAATGATTTGGTGACTCGACTCAGAACCCACCCACCTTCTCCCTTTCTTTCTGAGGAGGAATTGGTACCAAAGACTCGAACTCAGCTCTTGGTACCAAAGATTCGGACTTGAGACTCGGACCCCAAGACTTGCCGACAATCACTGCTCTTGACAGGGCTGGATCCGATGGGCCAATGATTGGAGTCCGCATAAGCAACTTTTATGTCTGTGAGGAGAAGAGAAGGCAGGGAGATCTGTCAGATTGATTGATTGATTGATTGGCTCTCTTTTGCATCTGCCTAGGAGTCACATGTATTCTTGTCCCCAACGGTATGAATCTTTCCCTCCTTAACCACGGTCTGGAAGCCTTCGCTCCTTCCTGAGAGTTTGTTGAAGCTGGCCTCTTCCCTTCCTTCCTTGACGCATCTAGAACCTAGAACGTGTCGAGGTGTTTGGACATTATAAATAAACCATTCGTGCGTTTTCCTGCAACCCGATTCCCTAATCTGTGCGCAAATGGCCTCAACGCATCATAAAGAGATCGGTCCCGATCCTGCTCCCATTTGCTCCCCATCTCCCTACAGACCTTAAAGAAAATGCCGCTCAACCACCGGTCGGAACTTGCGCAGAACGTCTGAACCGTTCTCTGTGGCGGCCAAGTCCTTGTCGTGCGCAGCGCTAAAAGCATGGAGATGTTTTCCGAGTTTCACAGCACGCTTGGCTCAGATTTGTGCAGAACTCTGTGATGTAGGGAAGCTTACCCAGTTGTCTTCCACTTCGTGGCAAACAAATCAAAGACAGCTTTCTAGCTCAAAAGGCGGAACTTTGCCATCAAGGACTTACAGATGAGCTGATTTCATTGATATCCCGAAACTGGAACTAAAAACTGGTTCACAACAGATGAAGAAAGCAGGTAGAGTGAAAAACACTGTCCAAGGAGAATTTACTTTATGTCCCTAAATTTTTACTGTGATTGTTAGCTCAGGGGTTTAGGTCTCTAGCTGGGAGTTTGATTCCCCCCCTCAGGCCTCCTTGACAGGGGCTGGACTGGATGATCCATAGGGTCCCTTCTAGCTGCGCAGTACAAAGATTATTATTGTTCTTGTCATTATCAGCCAGACTAAGTTGATATCTGGGTCTGAAGTAATAGTACTTAAAGTAGACACATATTTTGATTTTAAAACAAAGATGAAAACTGAGATGCCAGGGATGAATTCAGCTAGCCCGCACAATCTCTGGTGCTCGTAGTCCTTAACTGTGTGGCGATCTGGAAGCTGCACAGTACAAAGATTATTATTGTTCTTATCATTATCAGCCAGACTAAGTTGATACCTGGGTCTGAAGTAATAGTACTTAAAGTAGACACATATTTTGATTTTAAAACAAAGATGAAAACTGAGATGCCAGGGATGAATTCAGCTAGCCCGCACAATCTCTGGTGCTCGTAGTCCTTAACTGTGTGGCGATCTGGACTGTGTTGTACATACTGCCAGTCTAAGTATATATTCTGTACGTGATCAGGAGCTAGCTTATGTTCCACGATGACACCTTTTTCAGTGCTGTGGCCTTTGGCAGGGCTCCATGGGGGAAAAAAACAACCTACACTGTTCAAAGTGGAGCAATACATTTCTTGGATCCCTAAAAAGTTACAGGAAAAAAAGAGGACATTTTTTCATTTCTCCAGGATTTTTTCATCAGGAGAAAAGGAGGAAGGCAAAGAGTTCAACAACTGCCCCAAATGAGATGCTGGATTCCCCCCCCCCCAAGGAAAGCAAAACAGAAAATGAGTTTTGCATGAACCAAAGTTGACGCAAGGCGTCATAGGATGCCAGATCCCCCCCAGGAAAGCAAAATGGAGAATGGGTTTTGCATGAACCAAAGTTGACGCAAGGCGTCATATGGCAGAACTGACGGCAAAATACTACTAGGGGGTTAAAAATTCCTTCCTCTTAAAACTTTGGGCTTGTTTATAGAGGGGGAAGAAAGAAAGGGGTCCACTCCCATGTCTCCCACCTGAAGCTGGTACAGACTACAACTCCCATCATCTCCATGTCCCTGCATTGTCGGACTACAATTCCCATCATGCACACACACCAGATTTCCCCAGCAGCCCTCATGGGGGGGGGAGCAGACAGTTGCTCCCCCCTGTGAAGGGAAGGGGAGCAGGCAGTGGAGTGAAAGGCTGCACCTGTTGAATATCTGAACAGCCTGAAACTTTGAAAGAGGCAGGATCACAACCAGGAAAAATAAGGGGAAGGGGCTGCTTGGGTGGTGGGAAACCTTTGAACCCCAAATTAATGAAATGGGGGAGGGTGTTTTATAAAAGCCACAACAGGGTGGAAAGCTACTGCGAGTTCCTATTACAAACCAAAAAAAAAATGGAGCACTTCCTAGGGGGATGATACAAATCCTTTTAAAATCAGAGATGATTGAGGGGCGTGGTTCCTTTAAGAAAATACGGCGGGAGGGGTGAGAGAAAAAGAGTGGGATGACGTCACGTCATATGATTTTTTTTCTCCCCTGTCCATCCCGTCCAAGGCCCCTCCCGCCCACGCTTTCGTCACGTGCCTTGGCTTGGGCCAAAGAGATATGAGAAAAGAGCCCCAAGCTTCTTTCCGGTTTCCGTGCGAATTTTCCAATGGGAAGCCAAGGCGGGGAGGGGGAGAGAAATGCATTGGGAAACAATAAATCGTCCCGAAAGACTGTTATAAAATGATTAAGCCTGTAAATTTAAGAGAAAATATCCTCAGAATGTTTTATAGATGGCATTATACTCCTACAAAACTGGCAAAAATTTCAGAAGGTAGCAGTAATATCTGTGGGAAATGTAAAAAAAAAAAAGTAGGACCTTATTACCCTATGTGGTGGACATGTGAAAAAGCCAGGGTTTATTGGTTACAGTTGTGGGAAATAATAAAAGAAATCATTCAAAAGAAATTAAACTTTAAACCCGAAATAGCATTATTAAATATTATGCCAGAAATTACTGATAAGAAAATCAAATATTGTTTGATGTATATATTCATAGCAGCTAGGTTACTCTGGGCCCAAAAATGGAAAAGTAAAGACATACCTACAATGGAGGAGTTCCTGAAGAAGCTGTTGGACATTACAGAATTAGACACACTTTCAGAAGCACTACGAGAACAACCAAGAGACTATGCAAAACAAAGTTGGAACTTAATACATGCTTGGGCCCAGGGACAGATTTGAAGATAGGGCAAAATGATTGATGGGCGTTGTTTTTTCCTTTTTTCGCTTTCAATGCTCTCTGGAATTTGGAAAAGTTGGGATGCAATGAGGTCTGAATCTCTGTCCTCAAAGGGGGGGGAGGGTTTGGGGTGTCTGTATTGTATTTTAGATATTTGTTTGTAGTTGATTAAAATTAAAAAAAAGAGGAAACAATAAATTGTCCCCATACAGGATTTTGCAAGTCAAATCCAGGCAGGGAAGGGAGATTCGCTGCCCGTGACAGGCCTTTTGACTTCTCCAGGGAACCGCCTGGTGCATTCAGGAACTCCCACCCGGGTCCCATTGTCTAGATAGACTCAACTTCTGCAACCACAAAGTGGACAGAGAAGCGCTCTTCTCTCCTGCCTGGAATCGCTTGATCCACGGCTCCTTCTCCTCCAATGTCTACTCAAAAGGCACTCCAAAGACCATTATCCTCCCATGGTACACAATACAGCTGGATCTGCTCAGACCCAGCAGGCCGCGGCTCTTAAATCTGAGGATTTAACCACAAAGCTGTTTCTCAAACTTCTTTTCGACAAAGTGGGGGAAAAGATCAGCCCAGCCAGGCAGGGACGCGGGGATGATCTCCGAAAAGGAGGGTCGGGTACACTGGCTCATCTTACAGTGGAATATCCCATCTGTGGCCAGGAGGAACAGTCCATGTGTTGTATATTGGAGACACAGGCCAGTCTCAACACAAAAGAAAGAAAGAAAGAAAGAAAGAAAGAAAGAAAGAAAGAAAGAAAGAAAGAAAGAAAGAATGAAAGAAAGAAAGAAAGAAAGAAAGCAGAAAACAGTCATTGTTCACCAGGGCTTAGAAATCAAAGGGGGACAGATCCAGACCCTCCATCTCTGAAGGTGGCTGTCTTTGAAGACTGGAACATCAAGCAGATTCCAAAGAAAAATAGCCAGGCAAGAATACATCCAAAGGTTCAACTCCCTGACTGTTGGCTTAAACAACGTTTAGACTTTCCAACGCCACTATACACATTAATCAGTTTGCATGTGTTACTACCTTACGGCTTCTTCTTCTGTCCTCTCTCCCACTTCACAATCGGTAAACAATATTTCACAATGGGGAAACAGGTTTGTCTATCAATCAGTGGGCCACGCTCTTCCATTCTCCTGAAGTCAAATCAAGACTTTCTTCCATCGGATATATTCCCCTCGTTATTCACGAATGACTTTTCACAGTCTGCAGCTCATGTACTTTGGGCATCTCTTTGAGAAGATGAGGCTCACTGGAAACGACGAGAATGGTGGGAAAAGGGAAAGGCGGCAGGAAAAGAGGAAGCCCGGACATGAGATGGACGGACTCAGTAAAGGAAACCACGACCTTCAGTTTGCAAGAGCACGACAGGACCTTGGGAGGTCACTCATCTATAGGATCGCCGTAAGTCAGAAGCAACTTGACAGCAATGAAGAATTTTTCTTAACCACCACTATTTAAATCTCGCAGGACCTTGGGAAGTCACTCATCTATAGGATCGCCGGAAGTCAGAAGCAACTTGACAGCAATGAAGCATTTTTCTTAACCACCACTATTTAAATCTCTATCTGTCATCTATTTGTCATCGCTAACTGACCACCAACATGTCTCGCCTCCCAAAAATAGCCTTTAATGGTCGCTAACTGACCACCAACATGTCTCGCCTCTTGCATTTCCCTCAGATTCCATCTTCTGTTCCCCTCACCACTGTAGGGCTGTCCCACAACCTTCTTTCCCCGCTTTTTTATGCGCTCACCTTGTTTTCTGTCTCTTGCGGGAATGCTTACAAAACCAGACTTCAGAAGTACTAAACACCAAACATAGGTTATTATAAATTATGGCACGTGTGAAATGCAACCGCACACCGCTGTATCGTAAAGCTGGGCATGAGTGTTTGCCTGTTTGGACTCTGTACTTCACCTCATGTGTCTATAGACATGGACTTGCCCATGAAAGCTCGCATTAAAATATAACCGTCTTTAAGGTGACACAAGGTTTTCGTCTTCTTCTTCATCATCATCATCATCAATCATCATCATCATCATCATCATCATCATCATCATCATCATCATCTACATAAAACTATAATGCATCCGAAGAAGCAAGCTGCAGTCCTTTAATGCACATGCCGAATAAAAGCCTGATAGCTTTCAGGCCGCCATAGGACCCTTTGCTGTTCTCATGATTTATTTTAAAGCCCTGTGTTCGAATCCCCTTCCACCCTTCCTCTCTTCCCCGCAGAGGATGTTTTTCCAGCGACTGCGATCAGCAACCGGTTGTCTCTTGAGAGAACCTCCATGACTGTGTCCCCTTTGGGCAAGGCCCCGCCCCGCCCCCTTTATCGTCATGTGACCAGAGGAGGGAGGGGAGGAGGGGAAGGAATGGGTGGGTGAAGCCGGAAGAGGAAACTCAGTGAATTCCCGACCAGCCGAGATGAGTGGTTTGGGGAAGCTCTTCGGGAAGGGTAAGATCTCCCTTTCCCATGTTCCCCCCCCAGGGAGGGACGTGGTAGCGCCCGACCGCCGTTGGGGATGGTGAACGCTGTGGGAGCAACCAAGTGGTTGCCGGGGGGGAGGCGAGGAAAGGGGAGGAGCCCATTTAGAAAGAGGAGGAAAATACATTGAATAAGGAGGGAAGGCAATATGGGAATTTATGTTTTCTAGAAATAAACATAGGTTGGATCCTGCTTCCAAAGCTCGGTGACATTTTTTTTTCTGGAGAGGCAATGGTAGATCTTTTTTCCCCCCTGTATTTTTCCCAGTGCCCAGTTCTAGGGTGTGGGGCTGGAGTCCCTCCCACCTCCATTTTGGAGCGGGGGGGGGGAACAGATGGGTTCCCATGGGTTGGTTTGGCCATGGATGCTGGGAAAAGCCCACAATGCACTGCTCTCTGGCTTGCAAGGGGCGCTAGTCCCTGGTGTTTTAAGGCAGATCACGTTAGCTCCCAGCCTTCTCTACCCTTCTGGCTCTCCAGCGGATGGGTGTTGTAGTCCAGCCTATTTTCCCTGGCCCCCCCTGTTCTGGCGGGGGGGGGGGTTAGTCATCCTATGCCTGTTTCTACCCTCCTCCCGATCCTGTTTTCCCAGGTAAAAAAGCGAAAGCCCCTACCCCACAGGAGGCCATCCAGAAGCTGCGGGAGACCGAGGAGGTGCTGGTCAAGAAGCAGGAGTTCTTGGAGCAGAAGATCCAGCAGGAACTCCAGGCGGCCAAGAAACATGGGACCAAGAACAAAAGAGGTCAGGGGGGGAAGGCTGGAAAGCGGCCGGTGAGCTGGGGGTCTAGGCCAGACAAGGGGAACATGGGCTCTTTTTTTTCCCAATCAAAAAGGATTTGTCATAGTAGAGGGGCAGCTAAAAGAGGGCGACGAAGTATCTCAAGAAGACAGCCGTCCATAGGAAGCAGTGAGATCGTCCTTGTAGGGATCATCTCAGTATGACAGAACTGGAAGGGACCCCATGGGATCATCCAGTCCAGCCCCCTGTTTGGGAAGCACTCCGTGGGGGGAATCGAACTCTCAAACTCTGGCTCTGCAGCTCCAGAGACTTCAACCCCACGGAGCTCTCCAGCAGCACTGGCTGACGGTCACGAAAGGCAACGGCAGGAGAGAAGATCCTAAAAGTTTCCCAACGAAGGTAGAAAGAGGCCAGATCCCAGGGCGGTTTTCTCCTGCCTCTTGTCCCCCTGCTCCAGGGTGTGAAAAAGGTCCTGAAGTTAGGGCTCACAAAACAAAACAAAAAAAGGGGAACTTAGCCGCATGCTGTGTCCCTTGGCAGACAACCTGTTGCCTGGAAGGAAGGCCAACGAGTGGAAGTGCGAGCTTTTGTAGAGGATTAATGTTCTCCTTTTGGAAAGTGAAACTAATCATGACTAATGCGTCTTTATTACTCTCTGGAACTGGGCCTCTGCTCGCGCTGTCGGAGGCATCCGCCAACTGTGTTTTTCTTAGGGTGTAATTTAATAACAGGAAGAAGAGTTAAATTTACTAAATCCTTTTTTTCCGGCCATCTGTTCTGCTGGCATCAAAGGGATAACTACCATAGACTTCCCCTGCTGTTCCTACCAAGTGACGGATATTTAAGGGGTACAGTGCCCCTGGATGGGAAGGCTCAACTTTTTTTGCAAACAGTTCCCAGGAGCAAGGATGAACTTTCCACATATCTTTTCTTAAGAGTCCTTCTGGGGTTGTTCATGGCTATCGTCGTTTCTCTCTCTCTCTCTCTCTCTCTCTTTCAGCTCCTTCTGGGGGGGACGGGGGATGCCTTGACCATTGTGACGTTCTTTTCTATCTCCCTTTTTAAAAAATATATACATACCTTGTCTATCGTCGTTTCTCTCTCTCTCTCTCTCTCTCTCTTTTTTAGCTCCTACGGTGGTCCTTGTTGGGGGGACAGGGGATGCCTTGACCATTGTGACGTTCTTTTCTATCTCCCTTTTTAAAAAATATATACATACCTTCAAAGGTTATGTTCTAAAAGGTGGGTTAAATTACACAAAGGTGCTCAGTTTGAATCTTTCCCTTGATTTGCATCATTTTAGCCGTGGGAAAAAGAGTCACAGCAGGTCATCTCCCAGATCCCCAGTTTGAATAGGCACTGCCGATGGCTGGTCTTCAGTAGGTCTTCTTTGCCACCATGAGGTCTAGAAACTTGAGCCGGTGCTTGGTTTTTGCTCTTCCTGTGAGGATCTCAGAAGCATCAGGTGTCCTGAAATGGGGTTGTGGAAAGTGTGGAGAATAACACCACGTTGAATTTATCTTGATTGTCTGGGGATACTCTTGTTCTTTCTTATTGTAGCTGCTCTTCAAGCCCTCAAGCGGAAGAAGCGTTACGAGCAGCAGCTGGCGCAGATTGACGGCACCCTCTCGACCATCGAGTTCCAGCGCGAGTCGCTGGAGAATGCCACCACCAACACCGAAGTGCTCAAGACCATGTCGGATGCGGCCCGGGCTATGAAGGAAGCCCATCAACACATGTGGGTATACCGTGGCAGGAATCTGGTAGCCTAGAGGGCTGGCAATACAGCTCAGGCCGTTGGGCACTGCCTCCTCTTCCTGGTGAAACAGCAAAAGTGAGTGCTTGGGAATGCTGCAACTCAGAAAGATATTTGCAAGCTTCAACCCAAAGCAAGCACGAGTTGACAGTGCAATGCTGTAGGGGAAAAAAGGCTAATAACGTTAATTAAGGTTTGCATCAACAGAAGTACAGAGTCCAGCCCAAGGACCTCTGTATCCGCGGGATTGGGATCTGCAGTTTCACTTATCCACTATCTAAAAATATTAAATGAAAAAAACCTAGAAATACTATTTTCACAGTGTAATTACCAGAACTTGCCATTTGAAGGAGCCAGAGAGCATGCTATGTATCCTTATTGAAGAATTCATAGCAAGGTTTCTGCATTTGAAGGAGCTAGAGAGCATGCTATGTATTCTTATTGAAGAATTCATAGCAAGGTTTCTGGCTCCATCTAGTGGCCAGTTCTGGTAATACATGTGAAAATACTTTTTTTCTAGATTTTTCCCCATTTACCATGCTCTGTATAGTGTTTGCTATTATCCACGGTTTTCAGCATCTGCGGGAGGGTTTGGAACCAATCCTCTGGGGATACAGGGGTCATACTGTACAATTCCATTCTACGGAAAAGGTATCACTCTTCGTGTCAAATTGCCCTAAGTTAAGAAATCGGAGTAGACTTTCTCTGTTGCATACTGAGTAGTGTGAACAGAGAAGAATGCCTGTATTCCTGACATATAGCAATTCACTGCTCACAGTTAACGTCTTTTGCTTAACTGTGCCACAGGATTTCATTCCCGTGTCCAGTTTGGGGCCCCAGAGTTTCTGATGGATCTGGAGAAGCTGCAACGGATCAAAAAGAGGGCAACCGGTGGGGGTGGGGGGAGAGAGATCTGAAAAAGGAAGCCGTATAAGGAATGCTAGGTGGTTCCTTTTCTGCTGATTAACAGAGTAAGAACCGAACCAGTGGATTCAAGCAACAAGGAAGGAGACCAGTTAAACATGAAGAAAAACTTACTGGTGCTAAGCTAGATAGCGAGACAGAATATAAACCCAAAGTGTGTTTGTCTCTTTCATTCAGCTGTGGATATCCGACACTGGCAGAGGGCTGGACTAGAGGGCCTTTGAGGTCCCCTCCGATTCTGCCATTGCATGTTTTGAATCGAGTTCAGACCAACTTTTCTCCAACCCCAGGGCCTTTTCAGCTCCCTCGGCTTCATACCCTTTCCCAAAGCTTTGCCCCTTCCACCCGGTGATTTTTGTGTGTGCCCCCATGAAGAGACTCTCCCTCTTTCTCTCCCCCCCTCCACCCCTGCTTTCTCCAGGGATATCGACAAAGTGGACGACCTGATGGCCGAAATCACAGAGCAGCAGGACATCGCTCAGCAAATCTCAGACGCCATCTCTAAACCGGTCGGCTTCGGAGACGACGTCGACGAGGTAACGGATGGGGGGTGTCCCTCTTCCGGGAGACGGGAGTTCCGCCTTGGAGACATATGCAAAGGGGTCCCTCTTTTAAGCTTGCAAAACTATGCAAATTATCCCCTCGCCCCCCCCTACAAAAAAGGGGGTAGAGCAGCAGGGGAATGCCCGAGCCCCCGTTCGCCACTTTTCTGCTTTTCTTTGTCAATCTTAGGACGAACTGCTGGCTGAGTTGGAGGAAATGGAACAGGAAGATCTGGATAAGGAATTGCTGAATGTCGGGGAGCCCACCCCGGAACTTCCCAGCGTGCCTGCCTCTCGCCTTCCCGGGGTTCCAGGTACGTGGGGGCAGAGACGGGAATAAGGGTCTTGTTGTAGCTGGGGTCTGAGCCGAACGGAGGTCCCTGTAGCTCAAGCGTTCTGCAGGTTTCATGGCCAGAGGCTCTGAATAAGAACCATCGTTATGTGTCATAGGACAACCCTTTTCAGCGTTTTCTAGGGAGGAAATAATAATAATGATAACCTTAGATTTGCAGAGTTGGAAAGGGACCCTGTGGGATCATTCAATCCAGCCCATCAGGGAGGCCCAGTGGGGGAATTGAACCCCTAACTTCTGGCTCCGGAGCCAGAGGCTTAAACTATAGAACTTGATCCAGCAGTAATCAGAAGTGGTTTACCACTTTGTGGTACTAACAATGGGGCTGGTTTTAGCCGTCAGAGACCTCCAGGACGGGGGGGGGGGCGGAGATCAGTGCGGTGCAACGGTAGTGGAAACCTTGACGCTGGGGACCAGTGGCCCCGACCAAAACGCCCCCATAGATCGCGGCAGGGGGAACCTTTTTTATCTCAAGGGCCAAATTTCATTTCTGGGACTGTGTTCTACCGTCAGGAGAGTCAACGTGTTTTCGTTTAAAATGCTCACTGCTCGTAACGAAGCCTTAGGAGCAAGACTGAAACTTACAGAAAAGTTTGGAAATTCCCAAAACGAGGATGTTAATACAGTGGTGCCTCGCTAGACAGTCACCCCACATGACAGTTTTTTCGCTAGACATTGACTTTTGGTGATCGCTATAGCGATTCACAAAACAGTGATTCCTATGGGAGAATTTCACTGGACAATGTTTGGTCCCTGCTTCGCAAACTGATTTTTGCTAGACAATGATTTTGACAGCTCCCTCCATGCTCGCAAAACAGGTGTTTTCGGGACCTAAGTTTCACAAGACAGCGATCTAAACAGCTGATCGGCGGTTCGCAAAGCGGCTTTCCTATGGCCGATCTTCACTAGACAACGACGATTCTTCCCCATTGGAACGCATTAAACAGGTTTTAATGCATTCCAATGGGGAAATGCTTTTTGCTAGACAATGATTTCGCTAAACAGCGATTTCAGTGGAACGGATTATCATTGTCTAGCAAGGCACCACTGTACCAGGGAAAAGAGGTGTGCCTTCTTCGGCCCCGGACTCTGAAAATTCCCCCCAAATGGGGGCTAGAATCCAGAGGAGAACCAGAAAAGGCCAGCCTTTATCCCCTTTGAGCTCTGATTTTTCTCCTTCCCCCCCCCCAGCCTCGAAAGTGCCAGCGACGGCCGTGGATGACGACGACGAGGAAATGAAGCAGCTGGCCGCCTGGGTGTCGTGATGCATTTTGGGGGCACTGCCTTCCTGTCTCCTTTTCCTGTGTTTTTTTCCGGAGGAGGGGAAGGGGAGAGGACCTTTCCACCCCCCCACCCCCCCACCCAGTTCAATTCCAGAGGGCAGGAGGGGGTGGCGAAACGAGACACCCCGCCTGACGTGACCTTATGTGCCGAATGTAAAGAGTTTTATAGACAGATTTATATATACATATATCTATATATATGAACAGATTGTATTGTTGTGGGGTTGGGGGGGGCATCACATGGGGGCCTCGAGAGAGATCCCACAAATTTAGGACCCGCCTTCGTCCGTCACATGATCCTCACCTGTTTTCCGGCAAGGTTGGAAACATGGAGTGGGGTAGGGGCACCCCAAAATCTTTTCAAGCGTGGCACCTAAGGTGGGGGAAAGGTCACCATGCTTTTCAAGTTACATTCCTATGGGGGAGTCTTCCCCCCCCGGCCTTTCTTTGCCACCCACGCCTCTGATACTGATTAGGGAGATGTGGCCTGCCACCACCAGCATTCCCCCCCAACGTGAAAATGAATACGGCGGTCTGGGGTGAAGGGGTGGGTGGTGTTTTATGGTGCCAAGGCGAGAGGATTCTCATCCGGGAGGGAGGGTGGGGGGGGTGTCGAGGAATCACAGCGCTGCTAGGGCTGGGGAGTAACAGGTACTACGTTTTTGTCAAGTCGGATGAGCAGTGTGTCTGTTAACGTGGCTTGGGGTTCGATGTTTACATGTCTTTTTCTCTTTTTACACTTGCTGTGCTAATCTGCTAATTTTTTTAAGCTCTTCCTCTCTTGTCTTGGGGGTGTCTTCTTCTTCTTTTTATTTTAAATCGACTTGCGGTCAGGAGTTGGGATCGGTGGGGAGGGGGACACAAAGGAGATCCCTGTACACGCACACTTGCTAGAGTGGCCTTTAACCCTGTTCCTCTCGGTCCCCAATGAATAAAGGTGGCTCGGAAAAAAAGATAGCCTACTGTTTCTGTCGTCGAAGAGAAAGGACGTACTGTAGAGTTGACCAGACCCATCAGCCACATTGGAGACTTGGGGGCTGTAGTCCAAGGAAAGAACTTTATGAAGTTCGGAAATAATGTCACCCAGAACTTTATCCTCTGCCTGATCTTCGTTGCAACAGCCAGATTGAGGCAGAATAGGAAGCGAGATTTAGGCTGAATATCAGGGAAAGAAGGACCCCACTGGAATGGAAAACTGGTTCAATCCAGAATTTTTACTCCTGGATTTCGCTGGGTATAAAGACTCTATAGCCTTCCACTGCTGGCGCTCTCCCCCAATACACCAGCTCCCAAGGTATACCATCACTGCACATGGAGGCTCTATCGAATTTTCTTTTTGCCAAAAGCCTGCCTTCCGTAAATGTGTAAAACCATCTGTGCCCCTTTTCTTGTGGCTGCCAGTCCCTTAAATTAATCCTGTGCCCTGTGAAACGATCGCTTCTGACCTGCAGGTTGTACATGATCCGGTATGGTCTGTTGTTTTCATTGCGGACCTCTGCACATGCTCTGAACTTGTCGGAGCAGGGCGAGATTTCCATGTGGTTGTGTGATTTTAGAAAGTGAACTCAGGACCTTCAAATTTGGGGGCTCGCTTAACGACTGCCTCACTTAAGGTAGGTGTGCATAATGGCTAGAGGCCAGCATGGGGAGCTGTGTATAACACACACAATTGTGAAGGTGCTAAAGAGAAATGAGACACAAATAGGTGCTGTAGTAACGAGAAAGTGGGTTTGTTGATTAGAGACACAATCCCCTGTTTTGGTGCTAACGCATACCCTTTGTATGGTCCTTTTTAAGACTTCACAGGTACCCTTACATCTCATCCACCGGTCACCCTTAACGCAAAGCCTGAATGGCGAGCCAGCATTATTAGCCCCCGTATCTCAGGTGACTGAACGGAGGCTGCGAGGTTGCCGTGAGTATGGCCATCTACTGAACGTACGGCAAATTAGAACTCGAGGCTTCTAGCCACGTCCGTAGCAAGCACTAGGGAAGCTGGATTGACTCATTTTTTGGTCCTTCCCCCCCCCGTGAGGTGTGTGTGCAACACATACACTGAGATTGGTGAACACAAAAGCCCTCCATCTGGCCAGCCTTCGTCTTAGGTTTCCTCGCGGCCGGCTCGGGCTGCCAGAATCCCCAGCGCCAGGGCCCCGAAACGAACACGGAAGCAGGGAAAGGATCTGGTGGGGATGTGGATCAGAACAGAGACCTCTCGCCCCGAAATCCAGACCCGTCCCTTTAGATCAAGCTTATAGCCAAGCCGCGATAAGTCACTGGATCTCCGGTGGCCCAAACGGACTTTTAGAAAGATCTGTCTTTGATTTAATATTTTTTTTTTCCAACTCGGATTTCTCCTCCCGGGCGGTCATGTACAAATCGGAGGGCCCCCCCAATCTCCAAATTAGGGTGAAGGATTTGAATGGATCCACTCTTGCTCGCTCGCTTTTTTTCCTCTGGGGTTCACCTATGCACCCCCATCTCTCTGGGTCCGTTTCCCTCTGTCCTCTTCCCTCCCCCATTAAAAATAAGGCGAGCCACTGAAGGCGAGGGGTCTAGCTAGGAAAACTTGGGCTTTCGACGTAAAAGAGTCCCATTTCTATTTTTTTTCAACCTGCCCCCTCAGCTGTTTTTTTCTGTGTTTTTCGCCCCCTTGATCTGGCCGGTGCTCCGCGTACGGCTGGCGGCCTTCTTCTTATCCGGCGTGAAGGTCAAGGAGCGGGACTTTGTGCTGGGGGTGGTGGTCTTCCCCTCGGTCACTCGGGGGCCACAGATGGCTTCCAGAGCTTTCATCTCCGTGGTGGGCTTCTCCGCCAAATACTTGAGCACCCATGGGACTTTGAGTACTTCCAAAATGTTGAGCCGCTTGGAAGCCGGGCGGAGGATCCGATGAACCAAGTCCTGCAATTTTTAATTGGGGGGGGGGAGAGAGAGAGAGCAGGTATGGCAGCGACTTACATCTCTCCCAAAAAGGACAACCACAGACGGTAACGACGTGCATCAAATTCGTACGCTCGGATGTTAGATGGACTACAACATCCATCATCCCCCGCCAGCTACATGGTTCGGACTTTTGGAAGCTGTTGTCCGAAAGACTCCCTACCCCAAGATCTTCTTATCATGTTTGTGTGTGTGCGTGTAATATCCCAAAGCTCCCGACTGACAGCATCAAGGTGCAAAAGTGCAAATTTTTGTGTAGAATTTTTGTACAGAATTCAATTTAGGCGAATCACGGGGGCAGCACAGGAAGGGCAGGTTAGTTTCTTTAAAAGGTGACGGGGAATGGTATATATGTGATTTGGAGAATTGTGGGGAATAACTTTGTATTTACTATTTGTAATATGGTCGGTTGTCTTTTTTTATTCTTTAGAAATGAAATTAATTAATTAAAAATAAATAAAAAAGGAAGGGCAGGTTAGAAGCTGCAGGTATTTGGAAACAGTCTGCAGTCGCTTTGACATACACGACTCATCACAGGCACATGTCATTGCGTCTGGGGTGAATGGGTAGTGTAATCCAGCACCTTAAGAGGCAGCTGACGGAAATAAAGGTTGTAAGAAGGTCCCTCCTAGTTTTAGCAGTAATAAAAAAATACTAGTTTTACAACAAGAAAAACATATTATCTTCACCGAGGTGCTGTCTTGTTAAGGGGGTTGGGATATTTTTAACTGACCGATCTGTTAAAATCATCATCAGTCTCTTGGAGCCCACTTGGGTCCTTTTAAGGAGAAAGATGGGGTTAAAAATAGTTTTAAAAAAATAAACAGGCTTCAGAGCTGGATGAGACCCCATGGATCATCTTGTCCAGCGCCCCTATCAAGGAGGCACTGTGGGAAATCAAACTCCCTGGATAGCTTAGGGGTTGAGGTCTCTGGCTGCAGAACCAAAGGTTGGGGGTTCGATTCCCCACAGTGCTTCCTTGATGGGGGGGGACTAAGACTCATTGATCCACAGGTTGCTTTCCAGCTCTGCCGTTCTAAGATGACGACGACGACGAAACCACCGAGCGAAACAAGATTTCTGATAAGAAAAACTTGGGTGATGACGACGACGAAACCACTGAGCTATGCAGCAAAACAAGATTTCTGATAAGAAAAACTTGGGAATGAAGGGGAGAAAAAAATTCTTCCGGAAAAAAAATCCCAAAATCCTGCAGTCACCTAGCTGGGGGACGATAGGAATTATAGATCTAAACATTAAAATGTTGCTGAGCCCTGAGAGGAGAAAGCGCAAGGCAGACGTGGAACGAGGAGGAAAACCGAGCTGGCATTCGGAGGAGGCAGAAACCGAGCAAAGCGTTCCTGCCACCCATATGATCTTGCCTTGGGGCTCAAGGTAGGTGGAGAGGTTCAGGTTGGACCAGCCAGATAGGTTGACTGATTGTTATCCAGGATTTATTTATTTTATTTTATTAGATTTATACCCCGCCCATCTAGACCAATGGTCTACTACTCTGGGTGGCAGAGGATGACACTCGACAGGTGGCCATAAGCCTTCTTGCAGCAGGAATGGGACGGGACCCGTTTTGGCAAAACAGGGGCACTCCCATCCGTTTTCTGCCAAAGGGAGACTCTTTCCCACCAGCGTACGGAGACATACTGGTTATTGCAAGCGGGACCTCTGGGGTGTCGGCTTCCAGTTCTTTTTAGATTTTAAGGGCTGACGTCAAAGACGTCTTACACTGGGGAGCTATTGCAATCTTGCATGCTGCCTCTCTTGTAGGTGGGGCTGGGAGGGACTTTTCTGACTGTCACTCCATCCAGCGGTGACCAATGGGGGCCTTCCCTGGGAAGCCACTCAGCAAGGTTTGAGAAATTGTGCCTGACGGACCAGGTGGAGATTTAAAAGACTCAGACATGGATTCCAGCCACAGCAGCACACACATACACACACCCCAGGGCAAAAGACGAGAGTGCTCCAGAGCACGTCTCAATGGCAAGCCCCGAAGCCACAAAAATGAACCCCAAGACGTAGGCTGCCAGATTGGCCGCACCTCATTCTCTCCCAAATCCACACCCAAAGAGAAAGCTTTCCAAAAAATAAAACAACCCATGCTTTTCTTTTGGACTGCAGTTCCCAGACTCCCCCAGCCCACATGGGAGATGTAGTCTCCAAGGATTCTTTTGGGGCTAGACATGATCTCCTCACCTTGATCTCCTCGCCGATCTGGAGATGGGTAGGGAAGGTCACCTCTTTCTGGGTCTCCCGGAGGAGTTTCTTGAGATTGGTGTCGTCAAAGGGCAGGTGGGCCACCACCAAGGTGTACAGGATGACGCCCATGCTCCAGATGTCCGAGAGGAAGGGGTTGTAGGGCAGCCCCAGAAGGATCTCCGGACAGGCGTAGGCAAAGCTGCCGCAGTACGTCTGGCTCAGGTGGGAGAAGCAACTCATCATGCGGTAGGAAGGGGTGGAGGAGGACGCCGCCTGGGCGGCCACCATCTTGGAGAAGCCAAAGTCAGAGATTTTGATGCTTTCGCGCTTGTCGAGGAGAAGGTTCTCCAGTTTGAGGTCCCTGAAAATGTCAAAAGGAAGGGAGGAAACTGAAGATCAGGAATCTGGGTTAAAAACATCCTACCTAACTTTTGTGAAACACCCCGTCTTAAGCTGGGGAGCTATTGCAACCTTGCATGCTGCCTCTCTTGTAGAGACTTTCCTGATTGTCACTCCATCTAGCAGTGACCAATGGGGCCTCCCCCGACACTCAATTCAAAGAGAGCCATGCCCAATCTCCTCTGAACTCTTTCCCTCGCTTTGTTATGCTGCCTCTCTTTGTAGAGACTTTTCTGACTGTCACTCCATCCAGCAGTGACCAATGGGGCCTTCCCTGACACTCAATTCAAAGAGAGCCATGCCATCTCCTCTGAACTCTTTCCCTCGCTTTGTCTGTCGGAGGCAGTCAAGTGAGTCCGCTGAGGCCTGTGGATGAAAATCAGACGACCATGTTTCCAGCACGCCGTTTGATCTGTTGTTCCACTGTAAGTAAGGAAATATTTTAATACTGGTGTCTCGGACGAAGTTATTGAGGCCGTAAGTGCCAGTTGATGAGAGAAAGGGGGTGAACAAATCTGGTGAACTTGAAGCTAATTCTGCTCTGCGAATTTCTGCACTTCTGTTGCCCCGCTACAAGAATGGAACCAGAAATTCAAAACGCTGCAACACCATGTCATATAAAAAGACAAATGTTTCCTGGCTCTGAAGGGAATCGGTGATCGCATAAGTGTGTTGAGGCTGAAGGGCATGAAGTCTGATCCTGCGCCCCTCTAACGGGAATACGGGAGAGGATGGGAGAGAGCTCTCTGTCTGAAGTGCCACAGTGAGGATCGTGGCCGGTCTGAGCAGACCATTAGGAAAAATCTACGTGGACCCACAGTTTGAAATTGAACCTTTGCAAAGCAGCTTATGGTACAACATGGAAATGGGGAGGGGCAGGAATCACCTGGAGCTCAGAAAAATCTGCTCTGATCTCATCTGATGGAGTGAGGAAACTGAGTTACACTGGGGTACAGCCCACCAGTGGACCGGATGGATCCATGAGAGCACAACAGCAAGCTAAGAGCACAGGATGGAATCTGATCTCACTCTTATGGACTGAAACAAATTCTTACCAAGCATACAAATTAATAACAGTGTGTCATCAAGATGATTCCAGCAAATTCCAGGGTTTTCTGGGACAAAGAACCAAAAAAGTCGCTTCCCACACCCTCCTTCGGCTGCTGCCCAGGGACCCGCAGGCAGCTTGTCCAGAGCTACTCCGTTGGCAGGGCAGGAAAACCCATTAGCCATATGCAATCTGGGGAAATCTCGATTGTCCCATCTCCTCGGAGGCACGGTGGGGATTCGAACCCCTGGCCCCGGTTTTCCTCCAACCCTCTAAGCTATACCAGCTGTAAGCATACAGAGTACAATTCTATGCATGCCTTGCTCAGAAGGAAGCCCAAATACAATAAAACGTCTATTGTTGCCAACTCAGTAGCTGCTCCGCACAACAGCTTCCAGCCTTCGAAAAGCTTGTTGTCTCCGATCAGTGATCAGAGATAACAGGAGAAACTTGTGGTGAGTGGGGAACCACGAGGGCTGCTTAGGGGCCCAGTGTTTGTTTTTTCACCCTTTTCTTGGAAGAAGAATCAGATCTGTGTGCCATCAATAAGGTCAACCTTTGTATCTCGCAGTGGTATAACATTCCAAACACCCTTTCCGCCTTCGGTTCCGGGCTTTGCTCGTGAGCTAGCACAAAACTCCGGTGCCTTTCCCCCTTGCATGGAGCAGATATGCAACGGGTGCAGCTTTCCTCCCTAACCAGCCGTGAAAAAGTGGCAACTGTTGATTGCTATAAATTGTCCAGAAAGGCTAAGGGCAAAAGAATCCAGACCAGTGGCCTCTGGTGTCCCCTCTCTATCCAGTGGTCAGTTCTTCCTAAGGCCGACATAACATGCTCTTTGCTCCTTGGAAAGTTTCCTTATGTAATAATTGAAGTCATCCTTGTCATTTGACTCAGGCAGTAATTGACCTTTGAGCCACAGAGGATTTGACGGTTGTTATCCGGGAGGCTTCCACTGAATCTTAAAGCCACCTTTGTTTTGGGTTGGGCTGAATTCTGTTTATTCACGGGGATCCACGCACGCAGTCCTACCCAGAGCTGAAATATAACCCATCCCCTAAAAAAATAAAATAAAAATAAAAGAAGTGTATATAGAAGGCAAGGTTAAGAACTTGAAGAAGTTACTCTGATTTGGAAATCTCTGTAGGGATTCTCCCACCAGTGGCTGGAACCCACGCGTGGGGTGTCTCAACAACAAATAAGCGCTACAGATGGGAGGCTTTGAATGATCTCAAAATGGCAGGGCAAAAGTCTGTGGAAGAATGTGGTGTGATGATTGCAGACCTGAAGTGGATTCAAGCATTCCCCTAACCAATGGTTGTTGTAGTTTTTTCGGGCTGTTTGGCCGTGTTCTGGAGGTTTTTCTTCCTAACCTTTCGCCAGTCTCTGTGGCCGGCATCTTCAGAGGACAGGAGTCACAACTCTGTCTGTGCTCTGGTGTAGTGTGTGGGATAGTTGAGTAGTATTTGTAGCTGTGGGATCAGCTTTTTGTCCTTTTCAGGAGACGGGGTGATTAGGGGGAAAACCTTCAGAATGCGGCCAAACAGCCCCCCAAAAAATGACAACAACCATCGGATCCTGGGTGTGAAAGCTTTTGAGAATACATTCCCTGAAACCTTCAGCTCTGCTGAATGTGCCGCCTGCCACCTGGACTCTGTATCCTTTGCACCAAAGGCGTATCAAGTTAGCAGCATCTCACTCCCTGAGATGCCGGGGCCAAAACCCACAAAGGGGGCAGGTCCTTGTGATGTCAGAGAGGAAGGGCAGGTAAGGTTTGGGAATGAAACAAGCGCCACCCACATGCCAATCCCTTTGCCCTGAGCCCGTAAGGCATGGCACCAGCTGGGGAGAAAGGCAGAGATGGGTCCCCAGACTTTCCACTCCTCTGATGTTTGTCCCAAGAACGGTCTTCCCACCTGCAGGCAGAGAAGGGCATAGCAACTCCCTGATCTTTCAGCCAGCACCCAGGGATCTGGCAGCCCTATTCAGGCCATTGCAGGCAGAAATTCATCGGGTGAAGCCTTCTTTCAGCGTGGGAGAAAGCGGCCGAAATGGCATCTCCACCAGTCATACAAAGCCAATCATGGGATTCCGGGAGACGTGCTGCGAAACGACACTTTGGCACGGCGGGCTGCCTCTGACCGATGGCTGCCCCTCTCTTCCCTCTCCATGCTTACCGGTGGACGATGCCCTTCCCGTGGAGATAGGCGATCCCCAGGGACAGCTGGGAGAACCACTTCCCGGCCAAGGCCTCGGAGCAAGCGCCGGACTTTTGAATCCACTCCAGGACGTCGCCGCAGGGAGCCAGTTCCATGATGATGTAGTGGCGGGAGGTGGTCTCAATGGCCTGGTAGAAACTGATCACGTATTTGTGGCGTAGGCTTTTCATCACCTGGAAGGAAGCCACAGACGTGCGATTACACAGACGGACGGACGGCTTTCGGTCCCACCGTATGAACCCCTTCTTCCGAGGTTCCCATCCCCTCAGGAAGAGAAGGGAAGCTGCAAATCCCAGTAAAGTTTTCACGGCTTTGGCGCCAAGGAAGAGAAGACAAAACCTCGTCTTCCGTCTGAAAGGGCCCTTCATTTACCTGTAGGCCTGGCCATGAAGGGAAATATGCCTCTCATAATCGAATGAACAGAATGGAACATTTACTCTTTTTTTTTTAGTACAACATCCAGAACCCACCAGCTTGGAAGCCAAAGTTTTAAAAAAGTAACTTCTCCAAGTTCTGCCTACCAACATTAATTTATTATTGAGAGAAGGGTATATGTGTCAATATAGGTTCCATTTATTGTTTCATCAGCAGAGGAACAAATTAGTTCAAGTTTGTTCCTTACCACTTTGGCCGTTGCTCTGGTTGACCATTTTTCAGTGTCGTATTCGTCTGATCCTTTTTAATATTTGTATCCTATTACTTTTGGCTTTAAATACTGTCTTTTAATGGTGTGAGCTGTCTGGGGTCATTTTTAAGGAGAAAGGTGTAGGGGGAAATATTTTAAAGAATAAAACACGTGCAAGATTTACTCGGATTTTGCAGCCTAACTTCTCTTTAAACATCCACTTAAATTTTCTTTAAGAAATCTTTTAAGAAAGCGACTTCTCTACAGGAGCTCTGCGTGTATGTGTGTGTGGTTTGTTTTTTTATCCTCTTTATGTTCTAATGGAAAGTTCCCACTGGGAATTTCTCACCACGAAGTCCACTTCAAATGGAAAGCTGAACAGCGCTAAACCTCCACCGCTGCTAGAAAGCAAAACAAACAAGCTTTCTGTAGCAGAAAGTTATGGAAAAAGAATTCTGCACTAAGCCAGACAAGAGGGCTGTCGTACGGATGGCAGAACAAATACTGTCAGTGTAGAAATGAGTTCTCCACCTGGAAGAGCCTTTAATTTACCTGTGGGCCTGTCAAGTACAGCTGGTTCCTTCCTTGTTTACCCTTCTCTTTGTGCTGGTTTATTTCCTGTTTTGTTTTAAGCCCCAGGTATATTGATCGCATTGCAGAAAGAATAATGATCAGCTGTCTTTGCTAAGTGCACGAACGGATGCATCGCAAAGCGTAGCATGGGGATTAAAATGTTAGTCCTAGCAAGAATAAAATGGAACCAGAATATTAATATTGTACACTCGAGATGCTATGCTCAGCAAGACCAGTTAAACTCTCATGTGCTGTTAAATACCACCATGTGCAAACGGTGACCCCAAAGCCATATTTACGCAGCTTCTAATCACCGTTTGGAGGCCCTCCAAAACTCACTGGGTGACCTTGGTTCAGGTCCTCTCAACCTGATCAAACTCGCAGCGTTGTTTTGGAGGCAACGTGGGGGAAAGGAGAGCCTCAAGCTCATTAGCGGCAAAGTAAAATATAAAGGTAAACAATCAATACAACAATAATAAATACTGTAGTAACAATGGTCACTTCATGTTATCACCCAGCTTGGGAAGCTCTGAATACCAAGACAGCCCTGTAAGAAATGGGAGAAGCAACGGCGTAGGTGAAGGTATCTCTGGGTGATGTTCAGAGTCTCCTTCCAGGCTGCACCATATTCTCTCTGTTGAGCCGTTCAGGGCTGGGGATACTCTAAATGGCCACCTCTGTTGAATACTCATCCGTTCAGATCTCTGAAACGTGTCAGCTTCAGTGGTTGCAAGAAACTGCACCTTCTAAATTGACCCGAGAGATATTCCTACCAGCCCAATATGCAAGCCACAACCTGTATTTCTCTAGGTAGAAATTTAGTGAGATAATCCTCCGAAGCCTTCTTTTTAGAGATGATCTTGATGGCCACCATCGTCTTCTGCTTGGCGAAATAGGCCTCGTAGACGGTCCCGTAGGAGCCGTGGCCAATGACTTTCCCGATCTGGTAGCCATACTGGTCCATCACTGACACGTACGGCGTGGAGGCGGTGTGTTCCACCATGATGACAAATTCGCGGGACCTGAACTGCCTTCAGTCTTCCGATGGCTTTTAGCTTCAGATCCGGGAAGAGGAACGGGGTGATAGGGAGGCCGTGAAGATAGCCTTTGTGTCAGAAGGGCGCTGGTAGGACCCACCAGACTCAACGCGGTGAGCAAAGGATGGAGCGTGGCGGTCAGTTTCTCTCACTGTGCGTCCCCATTTGTGCGGATCAGGCTGATTCTTGATTTACCGAGGATGGTTGGGTTTCACCTCTCTCACCCTACTTGAGTCCAGGAAGGGAGAATTCAATTTGACATACTTCCCCGTAATGGCGTCGAGGGAAGTAATGGGGGACCCACGCCTCCGAGATTCCCTCCACCTTGACTCCCGTTCCCCCTTCATCTGGACCCCCCAGGATTCTGATGATGCAACAACCTGCGCCCCAACCTTCCGATCACATCCATTGGCCATTGAGGGTTCTGGTTACCGCAGGCAAACTTCTGTGGATAGTCATGGAAGGATTGTCTCCCAACCAGGCAGGGAGGATGATCTCTTAAGGGCAGACTCGGAGTCGAGCATCAGGATTCTAGCTGGTTCAGCGTGGAAGCCCGGGTCCTCTTCATCTGAGCAAGTGCATCTCTCGTGATGCAACTGGAAGGCTGCCACGGATGCTGTTTTGCAAACAGGACCCACTTGGGCAAGAAACAGAGGGATGCAGTCGACAAAATGGTGCAGACAAAATTAACGGGGAGGTTTGTGGGCCTAGCTCCCTAGCGTGTACCAGTTGGGGCGCACTGAACTTCCATTGGCAAATAGAGGAGGGTAGCCAATTTTTTTTACAGTTCTCTTCTTGAAAGCCCGTCAGGCGGCTCTCCTCTTTCTCAAGGGCTGTCCAGGGCTATATAAAGATAAAAAGAACCACACGGAGGAGGATCAGGGACCCCAAAGGCACCCAGCCACGATCTGGACCACAGAGAACCGAAGCCGGGCCCATCTGTGTCCCGACCGCTGTCTTCCCCGCTCCGACGACAGGTATTGTAATCCTGTTTAAAAAAAGCATTCCTAATTTCTTTTTATATAGCGGTCAGCCTGTGCAAATTTATGCAATCCGGTCTCTTTGGTGTGTGTGTGTTCTTTTTAGTGATATGGGTCTTCTTTTCTGCTGAAGTATTGAATGGACACTCTGAACTTTATATCACTATGTACAAGGTGTTTCCCTTATTCATACCCACATGCAAAAATGCATATTTTGGGGTATTTTTTGGGGGGGGGAGGTCATCCCACATTGCCGTAAACAGCAGATGGGCTCCCTTCCGCTTTTCTGCTTGCCATTTTTTATTGCCGGCCAAATTCAAAGTGTGAAAAGGCGATGCTCTCGTTTTTGGCCCTTGTATAACCCAGTTTCTGTCTGTGAAGCAGTGGGAAACCAGTGTATACTTGAAGTGTGGCTGCCCAGATCTCCAGCCTGGATGGAGCGGCAGATATAGTGGCCGTATGAAGACCTGGGCTACTACTCCTTAGTGGACTTGGGTCTTCCCTGTCAGAGGCCAGGTCTACTTGGAGTTGGGGAGATCAGGCCCCTGGACTGGACAGAAAGTCACCTTATTCATGTATAATCCGTCCGCAGGTAGGGTATTTTTATGTTCCAGAAGGCTTTTAATTGAAATGCAGGACAGAAAGTCAGCTTATTCATGTATAATCCGTCTGCAAGTAGGGTATTTCCCCAGGAAGGAGGATGCGATTTCTGCCCCGTTGTTCTTCCTGGAGCTGTAAAAAAAAAGACTTCACCAGTTGAACCAGCCATTTTGGCCATTCCATGAAACACTGGCACTCTGCCCATGAGCAGAGGCCCCCCTGCCCTCTGAATCATGTGCCCACCCTCCCGATCAGACCCTGCTTTTAAGGCCTTGAAGGGAGTGCCCAGGAGGCCGTGCATCCCGCCTCCCATTTCTTTCCTCAGTTTCCCCTCTTGAAAATAGAGCCCTGGCCCGTCGTAACTCCCGCCCCTGCTTTTCTCCCAGCGTGTTATTCCCTATGCGCCTTGGAGAAGGCGCCTGTCTCTTTAAGAGGTGGGCGGGGCCAGAGCCGAATTCCCTTCTCCACGTTTTTTTCTTCTTCGCCCCGCTGGTCTCTATGGAGCCGGCCGGCCGCAGAGTACGGCGTCACGTCTCCTTGTGGGCACGTGAGGCCCCCGCCGTCGGGCTGAGGGCGGAAGTAGGTGACGGACGTGGCTGGGGCTGCCCGCCGAGATCGCCTGAAGGACCCCGACGTGTGGGAGGCCGCGGTTCTTCAGGGAATCCCTCCCCTTCGGAAAGAATGGCGCCGCTCTCTTCCTCGGGAGCCAGAGGACGGAGATGCTGAGGAGCGAAAGGGCTGGGTCAGGAGCGAAGGGAAGAATGGGATCAGGCAGTTGGCCGGGTCGCCTCGGGGGGTGAGGAGACCCCCCCACGCCTTTTCCACCTCTCGCCCGCCTGGGTTCCTCTGCACTTGGCCACCCGGCGCCTTTCTCCCTCCCCCCCCAACTTCCAAAGGGGCCACAAGACCCTCAGGCGGGGACTAGGGCAGCCCTAGGGAGACAGGTGAGTTAGGAATATTTGGAGGGTCTCTGGGTGGGTGTTTGGGGGGAGGCAAGGGGATGGTGCCATCGTGGTGGTGGTGGTGGTGGAGGATGAGGTGGGGGGGCACACCAGCCCCATAGATAGACCACAGCTCTGCTGGGGGGAGGGGCTGATCAGGGCTCAGCAAACCCCCCACCCCACCCCAGCTAGTGTTTCCATGATGGGCACTGGGTGGGAAGGGGGGGGAGGATCCTGGAGGGGGAGGTTTAGGGTAGCACTTCCAACATACACACACACACACACACCCCTGCCTTGTTTCTAAGGATGGACTTACAGACAAGGATCCCCAATCAGCATGAGCCGGGAATTTCCAAAGTGAGAGGCACATGGGGTGGGTGGTGGGTGGGTGTCTGGGACTTAAGCCCCTTTGCCAAGGGAGGAATGGTCTCCCTATTACTTCTGTACTTATTTTATTTCAAATGATCTTCACCTCACCTTTCTCCTTAAGAGGAACCAAGGCAGCTTACCTGGTTGAAAAGACCAAGGTTTTAAAAGCGAAAAACAGGGAGCATGCAGATATTTAAGTAGAATTTAACCGGTATTAAATTGAAAAGGGTAGTTAATGTACCTGGTTAAAAAGACCAAGATTTTAAAAGCGAAAAACAGTGAAAATGCAGATATTTAAGTAGAATTGAACCGGTATTAAATTGAAAAGGGTAGTTAAAAATCAAGACTAAAAACACATGAAAAAGCAGCAGAGCACAAGCACCTATTTTTTTTAAAAAAACCTACTCAGGTAGCCGGTCAGTCGGGGAAAGGCTGGTCTGAAGAGAAAGGTCTTTGATTGCTTGCGGAAGGACAGCAAAGATGGGACCAGTCTGGCCTCCAGTGGGAGGGAGTTCCAGAGTCTAAAGCAGCAGCCACAGAGAAGGCCCTCTCCTGGGTCCCCACCAAATGTGCCTGTGAGAATGATGGGCCCAAGAGAAAGGCCGCTCCTGATAATCTTAATTCCCAAACAGGCTGATAGAAGGAATGTGGTTTTTTAGATAGCTTGGACCCAGGCCATTTAGGGCTTTATAGGTTAAAACCAGCACTTTGAATTATGCCCAGAAATGGATCAACAGCCAGTGGAACTGCTGGAACAGGGGAGTTGTATATTCCCTGTCACCAGGCTCCAGTTAACAATCTGGCTGTGGTATTTTTGGACTCTCTGGAGTTTCCAAAGACAGCCGGACGGAGAGGGTGTTACAGTACATCCAGCCAAGATGTCACAAGGACATGTGTCACCCTGGCCAGGTCAGAAAAAAACGCGTATCGCTGGTGCATTTGTTTTTCCTGTCCCTGGAATACAGAGGGCTCCTTGGTAGGGCATTGATTCTGCCTCCGCCACTCCAGCGGTGGTTGGAGCCATAGCGCTGCTGAAGTTGTCTGCAGTCCTCCAAGCTTTTGTTGACATGAAGTGGCCAAAATCCACAGGTAAAGGGGAAACTCCATAATCTAGGCATGGTGTTAAATGAAATCCAAATACAGTAATAGTCATGTGGATGTGTACTTGCTTTTAGAGATGAGGGGGAGGAGAATATGACAGAACACCTGATAGGGTGATCGCTGGGTGTCGTATTAAAACTGGAAGCACTTCCAACCGGTGCAGCCTTAACAGCTGACGTTGAAGAAGGCGTCCCAAGAGAGCAATCCTAGGATCTTTTGACATTAGCTAAGAAAGTAATCCAGAACCTTTAGTCAAAGTGGGCGGCTTATGGCTTTCCAGAAGCGATGGGACTGCAGCTCACAACTGCTGTACCCAGCTTAGCCAGTGATGAGGAATTATGGGTGTTGTTGTCCTACCACATCCAGAGGCTCACATACGACAAATGTACATGCAAGTCATTTCTGACTAAAGGAGTGTTTTCTCTCTCTTTTCCTCTCAAATCGCAACCCAGTTTCCATCCCCTCTTTGTCCTCCCAGTATCGTCCCATTATGGCCTACCCTCCACCCTTCCTCCTTCTCTTCTCCTCCCTTCTGCTATTCTCCGTTGCCTCCTCAGAGATGCGCTATAATCCAGGGGACCCCGTGATGCTCTACGTCAACAAAGTGGGGCCGTACCACAATCCTCAGGAGACCTACCATTATTACCAACTCCCTGTCTGCTCCCCGGAGAAAATCCGCCACAAAAGCCTGACCCTGGGGGAAGTGCTGTACGGAGACCGCATGGCAGAGTCCATGTATGAGATCCGTTTCCGGGAGAATGTGGAAAAGAAGGTCCTCTGTGAAATGAAGCTCTCCCCTGAGCAGGTAAACCTGGCTGGAAACGTTAGGCTCCAGTATCCACCTTGGGAACAGTTGTGTCCCTCTCACACTGTTGGTTCTCCAGAACCTCTCTAATCTGATGTGTGTGTATGTTCGTTCATTCATTCATTCATTCATTCATTCATTCATTCATTCATTCATCTTATATACAGCCCCATAGTACAACACGTTTTCCGGGCAGTTTACAGCACAGTATACAAATAAAGAATAAATAAATAAATAAATACAAAGCAATAAACAAACTGACAAACAATTTAAAAAATCAGTAAAACTACTGAACTAGCTAACTTATCTTTAGATAAATAAGCAAGTTAGAACAACATTGGACCTAACAGGTGCAATCGCTAATAAAAAGCAGCTTTAAACAGTTCTGGTTTTGTTGCTTTGTGCTGTCAAGCCACCTCCGATTCATACCAACCCTATGAATGAGCGATCTCTGAAACGTCATGTCCTCAACAGCCCTGCTCAGCTCTTGTAAACGCAAGGCTGTCGGTTCCTTGAGGGCAGTGGCGACATACCTTTTTGGGCTCGCTTGCCCAAACCGAAAAAAACCAACCAACCCACCCCAGTGGGCGGCATGTCACGGCAGAACCGGAAGTGGCAGCGGAAGGGGGGCATACCTTTTTGGGCTCGCTTGCCCAAACAAAAAAAAACAAACAACCCCAGTGGGCGGCGTGTCATGGCAGAACCAGAAGTGGCAGCGGAAGTGGGAATCTGGGCATGGAGGTGCCTCAAGACTGCACTCCAGATCTGCCAGCTGCTCTGGATCCACCTGTCGAAGCACCAGCGCTGCGGCTGCAGCGCCTTCTCAGATTTGGCTGCGTGGGGGAGAGTAGCGATCTGGCGACTTAGGGCTCCTGTGCCTGCAGAAGGGGCTGTGGCATGCGTGACATAGATTTGCCATTGGTGTTTTAGAGAGTCAGTCTGTCTTGTATTGGGTCCTCCTGCTGCTGCTTTCCACCTTTCCCAGCAGGATGGTCTCTTCCAGAGAATCCTGCCTTCCCAGGATGTGCTCAGAGTTGAATAGCTTCAGTTTTATCATTTTCTTGTCTAGACAGAGTTCAGGTTTGGTTCGATCCAGGGCCCGCTTGTTGGTTTTTGCTGGCAGCCCAGGGGATCCGCAGAATTCTCCTCCTCCAGCACCACCTTTCAACCCCGTTGGTGACCCTACCTTTTCCTTTTCGGCAGGTGGAGCGCCTCCGCCAGGCCATTGAGGAGCTCTACTACTTCGAATTTGTGGTGGACGATCTGCCGCTCCGTGGCTTTGTGGGTTACATGGAGGAGAGCGGCTTCTTGCCTCACAGCCACAAGATCGGGCTCTGGACTCACCTGGACTTCCACCTCGAATGGAACGGCGACCGTATTATCCACGCCAACGTCAGCGTCCGGAACGTCAAGCCCACCAGCCTGGACGATGTCCGAAGCGTGGTCCCCATCACCCACACCTACAGTGTCCGCTGGTCGGAGACCACCTCGGAACGGCGAGGCGAGCACCGGGGCGGCCGGGGCGGGGACGACGGCTTCTTCCCCCACACCTTGGAGATCCACTGGCTCTCCATCATCAACTCCATGGTCCTGGTGTTCCTCCTGGTGGGCTTCGTGGTGGTCATCCTCATGCGGGTCCTCAAGAATGACCTGGCTCGCTACAACCTGGACGAAGAAGCCTCCTCTTCGTCCTCCGGGGATGACTTTGACCAAGGAGACAACGGGTGGAAGATCATTCACACGGACGTCTTCCGCTTCCCGCCCTGCCGGAGCCTCCTCTGCGCCGTCCTGGGTGTGGGAAGCCAGTTCCTGGCGCTGGGCACGGGCATCATCGTGATGGCTCTCCTGGGCATGTTTAACGTCCACCGGCATGGGGCCATCAACTCAGCCGCCATCCTCCTCTACGCCCTCACATGCTGCATCTCCGGCTATGTTTCCAGCAATTTCTACCGCCAGATTGGTGGCGAGCGATGGGTCTGGAACATCCTGCTCACCACCAGCCTTTTCTCAGGTGAGGCCCCTACCTGGCTAGGTCCCTGTGGACTGGGGGAGACGGGAAGTGCATGCCTCCATCTCTCTCAGAGGCCTTTTTTGACTGGGTCACTCTGGTCCCTTCCCAATGTCATCTCTCTGACCTTTATTTTCCCCGGTTTTTCCTTTGCAAGTGTTGGGCCTTGAGCAGTCCACCCTCATGGCCAGCTTGAGGTTTTCCCTCTGCTTCTGCCAATCCTGCCAATAGTCTACCTTTCCTGATGTTCTTGGCCCACATCTGGCATCAGCCGGGAACCATGGGGACCTGACCCTTTCTGGGGACCCATGCATGCCCCCTTGCCTGGCGTAGGATGAGGAATTTAAAAGCCACAAACGAAAGCCCATGAACTCTACCCACAGGTCAGCCAGTGGCCTATAAGAAGTTCTACTCTTGCATATAAGGGTGTCACTGAACTCTCTATTTTACGTTCCTTGGCAAGTGATGTACACAAACACACTTCCCCTGACGCCAGAGAAGAAATATAGCCTTGATTACTAGCCTCACCTCAAGGAACTTTAAAAAACAGTCCAGGATGCAAACATACGAACAGGAAGAGCTTCTTGGCACCACTGTGCATCAAAAATAGTCACAGTGCTCCTTGTAGGGCGGGGGAGAATCAATCTTCTGTAACTTTCCTTTCTATTGACCTTCTGTAGGGTGTTTCTGATCAGTTGGGTGGGTTCTACCATCCTCTGCTGGTCATCTGTCTCAGCCTCCCATAACCTCATGCTTTCCCAGTACATTAGATTGTAAGTCCCATCTTCCCCAACCAACGTGGCCATTGTTAGCCGTAATACATTTGAAGCGAGCCAGGTTAGTCTTTGTAATCTCGATGGTCCCCTTGTTGAGAACTAGCTTAGGCAGAGGCCACTGGATCTTTCTCCAAAGTTGACTATGAAAAAAGAGTAGAGGTTTTAGTGAATGGAGCTGAGCTAATACTTTCTGGTCTCGTCTCCAAAGTTGACTATGAAAAAAGTGAATGGAGCTGAGCTAATATTTTCTGGTCTCGTTATCTTCTAGAACAACCTCCCCCCCCCCCATTCTGGAGATGGCCAGTGGTATTTAACTACACCTCTGTGAGGAGGATTTGGTTTTTCCTTTCTTTCTTTTCACTATGACTAGTGGCCATCATGATTAGTGGAGTTGTAGTAAAAAGAAATGAATCTTTTCAAGTTCCAGCTAGATCCGAGGTTCCAGACCTTTGGGTCCCCCAATGTTCTTGAACACAAATTCCCAGAAGCCTTCGCCACTAACCGTGTTGGCCAGGATTTCTGGGAGTTGCCGTCTGGGAACATCTGGGGACCGCAGGTTGGGAATCACCAGGAGAGATGAAAGACACAACCCCATCAGATCTTTTCCAAGGGGGATAACTGAAATCTGGGGAAGGTTTGAAGCTTCACACGAAGCGTGACTTCCTATTTTTAATCCATCTGTTCGGTTCCTTCCGTGTCACGGTGAGGCAACTTACATGGCTTGGCATAAACTCCCATTGATCCTGGACTTTGATCGATCCAGGCTGGAGTCCATTCATTCAACGAGATCTGGAGGGCCGCACTTCATGGGGTTTGCAAAAAAAAGGGGTGGAAAGTCTCTGTTCCTTCCCACTTGAGAGGATCAATTGGGACATCGGTGGGTCGCTTCTTTGCCCTTCAAGGATAAGGCCCGTGCTTGCCTTTGTAAAATGGAAGCCATTTTCCCCCCTACAGCCGCACTAGATTCCCACATGCCATGGTGAGGAAACCTCCATAAGGCTGCTTCTTAGATCTATCATCCCCAGGGGTTTGTTGCTGATCCAGGTATCACTTTTCTTTTCTCTCTCTCTCTCTCTCTCTGCTCAGCTCCCTTCTTCCTGACATGGAGCGTAGTCAACTCGGTTCACTGGGCCAACGGCTCGACGCAGGCCCTGCCCGCCACCACCATCCTGTTGCTCCTTACGGTGTGGCTGCTGGTGGGCTTCCCCCTCACCGTCATCGGGGGCATCTTCGGCAAGAACCGGGCGGGCCCGTTTGACGCCCCCTGCCGTACCAAGAACATCGCGCGGGAGATCCCGCTGCAGCCCTGGTACAAATCCACGCTGGTGCACATGACCATTGGCGGATTCTTGCCCTTCAGGTAAGAGGCCAGGTGGCACACCCTGCGTCGGTTGGGAACCTTTCTTCCTCTCCTTCCCCTAGCCACGTTGTCCCTGATTTTGTACTTGAACCCTTTTAATGTCCGGTTGAGTCGTTTCTAGCTTAGGGTGATCTTCGCAGAGCTTTGTTTCTGAAGCATGTGAGATATTCCAAGACTAGTTTGCCGTTTACTGCTGGTTTACCAGTGAGATTCTAGGGTCAGGTGGGGATTTGAGCCCAGCTCTCCCGAATCCCACTCTGAGAGTCCATGCACCATGTCTGAGTTCTGAATCCAATTCTTTGGATTTAAGCCTAGAGTCCTGAGGATTCACAGGCTTGGGACTCAAGACACAGACGACATATGTGCCACCCAGCGGATAGGCTGGTGCATGTCCAGAGATGGTGGGGCTGGAAGGGAAACTGGGTGGGCACATGCACCTGCACATGGACAGCTGGCCTCTGTTTCTGCGCATGCGCCGGCCTGTCAGCTGGTTGGGAGGTGCCACCGGTACAGCCAAGTAGCCGGCTCCAGGAAGGGGCCCACGACCTCTGAGGATGGGAGCAAGAGCAAGAAGGGTGGGCCGTCCCTCCTAGAGACTCGAAACATGACTCGGGAAAATAGTTCCAAGTCACAAGTCGAGTGGGAGTCTTTTTTAAAAAGACTGAGTCCAGTCCCCAGTGCAACTTAAGTCAGACTTGAAGGAGAGTCACCACTCACAAGTCTCTGTCCTTGTTATCCACTATGCTATGTGGCCCCACATTTGCCCACTTACAGTGGGCGCTGTGTGCACTGCACCTGTTCCTTCATGTCTGGTGGCATCTCTTAACTTGCTTATTACTCCCCAGTTCCCCTGGTCCACGCCTCTCCCAGCAGATAAAGTGCCATGTGTCAGGATGTATCATTTACTTACCATATTTTTCCATGTATAAGACGCCCCCCCTTTTATAATCCAAAATTAAGAAATCTAAGTGGGGCTTAGCAAGTGTAGGGGGAAAGGGATCAAAGCCCTGCAGGATCGCTTTGATCCCTGCTTTCCCCTCCACTTGTTTTTGTTCTCTCCTCAGCTTACTCCCGTGCATAAGACGACCCTCAATTTTTAGTCTAAAGATTTTAGGCAAAAATATAGTCTTATACACAGAAAAATATGGTAATTACTCTATTTCGTTGGAGAGCCAATATCGAGAGTCATAAATGGCAGACCTGTGGATGAGACAGGCTGTAGATTGCACATATACTTTAACATTGAAGCCTTGGAGGGAATTCCACCTCCCCCCCTTTTTAAAAAAAATCTGTTAAAGAATGGGCATTTGGGTAAAAATCAAAATATACGCCCTGCTTGCTTTCATATCCAACCCAAACTTGTTTTACTGCTTTTGCCATACAAAATGTTTCATTCGTAACTTTGCTAGCCCATATATTTTTTAAAATCTGATTAGATTTATAATATATATTTTATAAAAAGAGAAATGCAAGCAGTTGCACCACTTATGCATTACAGGCCATCAGCAATGCCTTCCTCACATGAGTACTTTATATTTGAATGTTGCATAGGTCTACAGCATGCGTAGGAATTGTGATCTTTTAATTCTGTTGAATATCTTTTTTAAAAAAAACCTTTGGACTGTGCAGTTCCCTGCATTTTGACTGTGTACGACCTTGTCTTAGAAAGCATTTCATTCATTGAGAAGGCAAAAAACAAAGCCATATATATATATCCATCCTTGAAGTATTTTCTTGGTTTCTAAATCTGAATTTTTTTTCCTGGGTGGGGAAGGACCAATTGTTTGAGGGTCTCTCTCTCTCTCTCTCTCTCTCTCTCTCTCTCTCTCTTTCCCCTCCCCCCTTCACATCTTTGCAGTAGACTCTGGTTTCCAATCTGTACAGTAGGGGTAAAAGGTGGCCTGCCTCGTAGGGTTGTCATGAGGGCAAACACCATTTTAGACCTCAGGGTAACTGGAACAGTGGCCTCCGGTGAAATCCATGTATAATGGCTTGGAAAGTTGGCGGGCGGATCTTGGTCAGAGGTGGGAATTGCTCTCACAGAGTTCTCCCCTCCAGTAGACTCTGGTTTCCAATCTGTACAGTAGGGGTAAAAGGTGGCCTGCCTCGTAGGGTTGTCATGAGGGCAAACACCATTTTAGACCTCAGGGTAACTGGAACAGTGGCCTCCGGTGAAATCCATGTATAATGGCTTGGAAAGTTGGCGGGCGGATCTTGGTCAGAGGTGGGAATTGCTCTCACAGAGTTCTCCCCTCCCTTTCCCTCTCTTTGCAGTGCTATTTCCGTGGAGTTGTACTACATCTTTGCCACGGTGTGGGGCCGGGAGCAGTACACGCTCTACGGCATCCTCTTCTTCGTTTTCGCCATCCTGCTGAGCGTCGGGGCCTGCATCTCCATTGCGCTCACCTACTTTCAGCTCTCGGGCGAGGACTACCGCTGGTGGTGGCGCTCCGTGCTCAGCACCGGCTCCACCGGCGTCTTCATCTTCCTCTACTCTGTGTTCTACTACTCGCGGCGCTCCAACATGTCAGGTGTGGTGCAGACGGTGGAGTTCTTTGGCTACTCCCTCCTCACTGGCTATGTCTTCTTCCTGATGCTGGGGACCATTTCTTTTTTTGCCTCCCTTAAGTTTATCCGCTACATCTACGTCAACCTCAAGATGGACTGAGCCGCCGCACCTCTCCTCTGGTTGACTGGGTCTGCGCGAAAGCGCAATTTTCCTATTGGCTAGGATGGGCATGTCTAAGAGCGTTGCAAGAGCTTTTTACGGGCCGAACCAAGCGAGGCGGCTAGAGGCGTTGGATGGAATCTCAACTGAGCAATGAACACTTGGGTGTTCTGTCCTTCCGTTGGGTAGAACTGACTGAGAACTTCCCAGCTCATCACAGCGGCTGCTCCTTTGCAAGAAAGAAGGGAGGGCACCCTTTCGTTTTCCTCTTCTGTTGGTCAACATAACTAGCCAATTAGTGAGCTCTGTAAATCTGGCCAATTAGTAAACACTGCTATGGATTTCTTCTCTTCTCTCTCCACCCCGGGGTGTTCAAAACTGCATTTTTAAAAAATACTGGATAGGAGTAGTATCAGTTTATTATGTTTGTCTCACTGGTTGAAATACAACAAATGGTTAAGGACATTTTTTTTCCTTAAGCGTGTACAATCTGGTCATAACTGAAAGCCAAGCCGAGTCAGCCAGCAAACCCCTTCTTCCTCGAAGGACCGTTTGGCTCTTGTTGCTGACTGATTGAAAAAGGTGAAGATTTGGTTTCCTTCTTGATTCACTTCCTTCTGGGTTCTTCTGCAACTGGGTGACCAATCCCACATAAAAAATGGGACATAGGAGAAAAGCAGTTGCCGACAGAAGGGCTGGCAGGGGCCGGCTTCAAGAAAATAAAGTAACCCAGCCGTTGGCAACGGGGTTTCGAAGAGAACGGGCTGGCAGGGACCTCCCAAAGGTGTGCAATACTAACACCGATCTTCCCCAGCATGCCACAAAAAACAGAGATGATGTGAATTGTAGTCTAAAAGGCATCTAGAAGTTAAGGAGCTGTGCCCTTAGAATTTCACTTGATCAAATCATTTCTAGGGGCAGATATTTAAGCCCTCTGATCTTGGAAGGGATGGGCAGAGGGAAGAATCTCTGCTATTATTATTTTCCAGTTTGAATGGAAGGTTGATTTTCCTTTCCAGCTTTAAGGAGGCCCTTATTTATCACTTCCTAGACTGGGCCACCCTCTCCTCCTCCTGCCTGGTGGATCCTTTGCTTCCTAAATGGCCAGTGCGTTTTCTTTCGCTGTTCATATCCTTTGTATTCCCAAGGTGCCTGGCGCTGTTGAAATAAGAGTTGGGGAGGAGCTGTCTTTTCCCCTTCCATGTGGATGAAGAAAATGCCTATAATTATATATGAAGATATATATATATATGATGAGTTATGTATATTAGCAATGATTGAAGTTGGATTATTTTTTAATTTTGTGTTTTTGTTTTATTTTTGGTTGCTTTGTTTATTTCTCTTCCAACAGTTTCTTTTTACAGATCTCGAAATAAAACTTTATTAACAAAACCAAAATGAAATGCCGGCTCTGGCTGTTATCAAAACAGAATCGAAGTAGCTAACTGTTTTATTCTGTCTCTCTCGTAATCAAACACATAGGCACACACAATTCCTCTTCCCTTGAAATCTGTGTTGACTGCGTCAGTGTAGAGTTTGTTAATGGGTGCAGAAGTCCGCCTTGTGAGAAATCCTTGTGTTCTTTTTTGAAGAAGCAAGTTTCTATTCCTAAAGGACTTTTGGTAAGTGACACTAAAGCTCACACAGAAGTACGTCTCCTGGCGTGGATGGTACCTTCAGCCTGTTTTTCATTTTGATTTATGTGTTGAAATAGACTAATGCGCTACCTCTATGGAAAATTATTGACGATTTATTTGAGCACTAATAGAGCAGCTTTCTCCATTTTACTCTTGTCTTGTTCCTCCGCCAGCAAGCCAGAGAAAGCACCCAGGGTTATTCTGGCGGTGGTTTCTCTGGTGTAGTGGTGAGACAGTGAAATCCGTGCTGTTTTGATGCCTCCATGGCAAGTTAGAAGCTAAAATTTCCCCAGGAGAAGGACGGAATTGTAGAATTAGATCAGAAAGATCCTTAGTCCAAAACCAGTGACTTCTATCGTTATTGGTGAAAACAAAATAAAATAAGTTAAAACCGTGGTGGCACCTTAAAGGCTAACTTTTTTTTTTCATGCAAGCTTTAGTGGACGTGTCCACTTCATCAGACATAAGAGGAGAGAGAATATGACAGATATTTAGGTTGTGGTTGGTTGGTACAAAAGTCAATGGGTGTTCAACATTGTGATGATAGTGTCTCGGATATGCAAGTCTTCAGTAGGAGCTGTGCTGTAAAGAATGTAAGAACCTCTGTCATAGAGTATTTTACAAGGTAAGATGATGATCACTGGAAGGACAGATTCTCAAGCTGAGGTAGGGTATTTTACAAGGGTAAGATGATGATAACTGGAAGGACAGATCCTCAAGCTGAGGCTCCAATACTTTGTCTGTCCCATGAGAAGAGAAAACTCCCTGGAAAAGACACCGATGTTAGGAGAGTGAAAGCAGAAGGAGAAGGGGACGACAGAGGATGAGATGGCTGGACAGTGTCATCGAAGCGACCAACATGAATTTGACCCAACTCCAGGAGGCCGTGGAAGACAGGAGGGCCTGGCATGCTCTGGTCCATGGGGTCATGAAGAGTCGGACAAGACTAAACAACAACAAGATGATGGTGGTTTTCACTTATGCTTGCACGGACAAACACGGTTACTTCTTTTACATCTTATGATGGTTTTCACTTATGCTTGCACAGACAAACACGGTTACTTCTTTTACATCTTATGCCTAACAGCGTTCCTTGACTGTAATGCAGCCAGCTGAGGTCTGATCCTGTGATGTTTAATGCCTGTAGCCGCATGACTCCTTTTGCAACCTTCCTGGTGTGTTAGACCAGTGGTTCTTAACGTGGGCAATGCAGCCAGCTGAGGTCTGATCCTGTAGTGTTTAATGCCTGTAGCCGCATGACTCATTTTGCAACTACCATTGCCAATGTGCAGGGGTGGCTGTGTGAGACAAAAACCTTGATCTCGGAAAGAGAAACCCGCAAAAGGAAGTTGCTGTGGTTGTTTAGCAAGCCAGCCTATTTGCCTGTCGAACCTGGCACAGTAGGCTCAGACGGACAACGTGCGTGCCAGGAATAATCTGCCATGTTCCTTGCTCTTCTCTCCTACTTGGTCCTTGGATTTTTGGAAGTTTTTCACACAGGACAGACCCCAAGCTTGGGTCCCCCACATCTTCTTGGACTACAGTTCCCAGAAACCCCAGCCAGTGGCAAAATCTTCTGGGAGTTGTTGTCCAAGAACATCCAAGGACCCAAGGTTGGGAAACACTGTCTAAGAGCTTGGAGGGGGGGAATCAGCCAAGTGGACTACAACTCCCATAATCCCCCTGCACCATCACCTGCAATGGTGGTTGGGGGATTTGGGGAACTGTAGTCCAAATGAGTAATGTTTCCAGGTTCTGGGTTCTTTGTTGGCATGTGCTTCCCTCTGAACTTACTGGGCCTTTAAAACCTTTGCTTCGTGGCCCTTCAGTCTAATTAACGTTCTTGCTCTCAAGGCAACCAAGAAATGAACACGGGAGGGAGGCAGTGAGACACTGCCTCTGACCGTGTGCAAAGTGCTTTTTTTATTGCTCTGAGACTTCTGACAGGCAAGAAGATCAGTCCCACCGCCTCGCCTCCACATTGTGTTAATTATTTGCAGTTCAATTTGTTGCTGTAGGTGTGTTTCATTTTGATTTTATAATTACTATATGTTTATTGTTTTAAAGTTGTAGTTTGGTCTTATAAATATTTAACGCCCAGAGTGGCCTTGGCCGCCAGATAGGCGGTATAAAAGCCAAATAAATAAATAAACCAGCCGGTCTCAGGCCCTGGACTAGGCCTGGCGCGCTCCGCCCCGTTGCCATGGAAACGGAGAAGGCCGCTGGGAGGGAGGAGGGACGCAGGGAGCGGAGCCTCCCAGCAACTTAAAAGCTGGGAGGCGAGGAGAGCAATAGGCCCTCTCCGCCAGCAGGGGGCGCGCGAGAACTAGAAAGCACATGCCCCCCGGATGCCATTCCGTCCCCCGGAAGTTGCAACTTGTCTTCTCCACGTGCGCTGGCAACGGAACGGTTGTAGCCGACAGTTGCTTAGCGGCTCTCTCTCGTAGCTGTTTTCCTTTTGGGGGGGGGCGGGGCTGTGCCTCCCACCTTTTTCCCCTTTTGGGGTGCTTAAATACGTCCCCCCAGCAGCCCATTCAGCCCTGTTGGTTGGGAGGGGGAGCTTCCCCTCCTCTTCCCTCCCCCCCCCAGCATTCTAGGTGGTCTTTAGGGGGGGTTTCATCCCCTTAAGTTTTGCCCCCCCACACAAACCCACCACCACCTTCTTCTCGCTTCACCATGGAAACCTTGCAGTTGGAGAAGATTCTGGCCGACTTACTACAGCCGGACAATGCCGTCATCCAACAGGTAGAGAGGAGCAAGAGGGCAGAGGGAGGAAGGGGGGGTCCTGATAGGATATGGGTGGGTGGAGTAGATTTGAGGACATGCACGCAGCCCTTCAGGGTGCCAGAAAGACGAACAAGAGGGCCCTGGATCAAATCAAGCCTGAATTCTCCCTCTCTCTGGAGGCAAAAAAAAAATAATAATTATGATGAAACTGGGACTGTCCTGATTTGGGCACATCACAAGAAAGCAGGGTTCTCTGGAAAAGACCATCATGTTGGGGAAGGAGGAAGGCAGCAGGAAAAGAGGAAGACCCACTAGGAGATGGACGGACTCCCTCAAGGAAGCCACAAGTCTACAAGAGCTGAGCAGGGCAGTTGAGGGCTGGACATTTTGGAAATCGCTCCTTCATCATGAGTCAGAGGCAACGGGATAGCACGGAAGAGCAGTGGCAGTTCAGGGTTGAAGGAATGGGAAGCTGGGGTTGGACTCAGGAAGCCTTTATGGTCCACATACTATCTGGTAGGTTTTGAGGGTTATCGTTCAGAAAAGCTCCTTTTCTCTCTTCTCCAAGCTTGAAATGAAAGGTGGGAAGAGAATGTTTTGGGGTGGGAAATTTCATAAAGAGGGTAGGGTAGGGGGTGAGGGTGGAAACCAGACCCGTCAGTCATTGAATTTGTGGGAAGCCTTGATCCCAGGATGTGCCGTGAGAGCATCTTTAGAAGTTTCTTTTTCTGGCCAGAAATTTTTACTGAGTATCTTTGATGGATAACTTGATTTGAGATACGTACTTGGTTTTTAAAGTCCTGGCAAGCCATCCTCTGTTATAAGATCCAGCAAAAACAATGAAGAAAAACAGCTTTCTTTTTATCCGGTCCATCTGACCAAAGGGATCTAAAGTGAACAAAAACCTATGTCAGAAATGTAGTACCTGGCTTTTTGTTGTTTCTGTTTAAGTGACCTACAAGTCTCTCAGAGATAAGGAAAAAAATGTGTTTTCAAATATTATGATTCCCAGATGGACCAGCCAGCATTGCCAGCTGGATGTTATATTTCAAAAAGATAACTTCTCCATTTATGGGGCTTACCGCTTAAAAATGATTATCCACAATAACACTGGATGGCCTACAGCTGTTGGAGCAAAGCAAGAGGGAGAGAGTTTTGCTTGGATCAATTTAACACCAACGGGCTCAAACCTTCGTTTTTCTCCTCAGGCTACAACCCAACTGAAAGAGACTCTAAAACAACCCCAGGCCTTGTCCCATCTTACGCACGTGATGTCAAATTCTGAGAATCCTCAGGTGAGTCATAGCAGGGTTTAAGGTGTAGGAGTGGGTGCTCTAGACGTGATTCTCTGGGAAATGTGTAGCCTTAGGATTTCAGTCTGAGAATCATCCGTCGATGTGACAGTGTAAGTTCTGATTGAAGGCAGAAGTGGAATCACATTTCCTTTAGAAGACAGGAAGCAAAGCTACCTCTCCTTAAAGCTATCCTTGTACTTCTACAATTCTGGGCATCTCCCTATGGGGAGAACGGTGGCCAGTCAATCAAACATGGACCACAAATGAGTCCTGCTTCATTTAGTGGTGCTTAATCCCCTGGAGAAGGGACGTGGTGGCGCTGCGGGTTAAACCGCAGAAGCCTCTGGGCTGCAAGGTCAGAAGACCAGCCGTCGTAAGATTGAATCCGCGTGATGGAGTGAGGTCCTGTCTCTTGTCCCAGCTCCTGCCAACCTAGCCATTCAAAAGCATGTAAAAATGCAAGTTGATAAATAGGTACCCCCTCAACGGGAAGGTAACAGCGTTCCATGTCTAGTCACGCTGGCCACATGGCCACAGAACTTGTCTACGGACAAACGCTGGCTCTACGGCTTGGAAACAGGGTTGAGCACCGCCCCCTAGAGTGGAGTACAACTGGAGTAAATGTCAAGGGGAACCTTTACCTTTAATCCCCTGGGAAGGGTGTATTAATGCCTTAAATGAGGGATCAAGCCTTTCCAGTACCTGTCTAGAACAGTCAGATCTCCTCAACAGGCCTTCACCACAACTCGAGGGTGTCTGAACGGGGAGAGCTGTCTTTCCCATGGATTTGGAGTTAGGCTTGTGTATAGCAGCAGTGGGTGTTTGTAAGTAGACACACAGGTCTTGATTTCCACCCTCTCCCTCCGTCCTAGGCCAGATTGTATGTTATGTAGGATATAAATACTTTCAAATCTTATAGTGTTGTTTTTGCTGCTATTCAGATGACTTTTTCCACACAGCTGATGTGACAACCATTTTTTTTCTCTTTCATCTTCATAATGAAGGCTGTTTTTTATCCTCATGTGCCAGAATTCTTGCTGTTTTTCTCCATTTTACCTCTAACTGTCTCGTGATTCTCTCTCTTCTTTATCTGCCCGTTTCACAGATCCGGCAACTTGCTTCTGTGTTGGTGAGAAGGCTCTTAACCAAGCACTGGAAGAAACTCAGTGGAATCGAACAGGACTCGTAAGGGCTGACGCAGGGGAGATTCTCCTCCTCTTTTCACTTCTCCTTCTTTTGGTCACGTGTAAACACTGCATCCTAAGTGGCAGTATTACATCTGTGTAATATGTTTAGACCCAAGTGCAGGCATTGTGATCAGTGGATCTTCACAAATGTGTTGTTTTGTAGGGGGGAAAACCCCCCTGATATGATGAGTTCAGGAGGAATAAACAGGGACAGAAAAATTCCCTGACAGGATGAGTTCAGGAGGAATAAACAGGGACAGTATGTGGCTAAATAGCAGGGAGGTTGGCAAGTCTGGGTCTGTCTGAGTCCATATTAAAAACAAGCTCTTTTCCCCAGAAAAAAGGGAGAGGTGGGTGGGTTCCAAGTCAAGAGTTCGAGTCATGGGGGGGGAAACATTCGAATCCCAGTTGAGTCACCAGTGCAACTCAAGTCCGACTGGTGTCCCCATCCCTGAGATAAGTAATTTGATGTATAGCTCAGTGAATTAAATATCTGGCTGAAAAGTCAGAGGTTGGGAGTTCGATTCCCTCCTCTACTGTGCCTTTCCGGGAGAAGTGCCAGCCTGGGTGGCCTTGGTCAAGTTGCACAGCCCCAGGGCACCCCCAGAAGAAATTATAAAAACATTGACTGGTATAATATAACAGATACAAGCGTTAACCAAAAACCTAAGTATCTGTTAAATATCGGGGCAGTATATATGCTGTTCTTAATATTTCCATTTTTTGTAGCTCTTATGGTGTGACTTCTGAGATCTGCAACCACTTATAGTACTGTGTGAAATTTCTTGATATTGTTCCCAAAGCCCCAATGACGACAGGGACCGCGGAAATGTGTTTCATCCAGAAGTGAGAGCTTTCGATGGCCAAATCCTTGTATTTTGTTAGTTTTTACAATTTTTTTATCTTCAACTCTGCCATCCCCTGGAATTGCAACCAATTATTGACACATTTTGATCATTACTATGTCTGGTGTGTCATGGATTTGGATCCAGAAATCCCACAAGATCTTGACTTCCTCATATTCTGACACCTTCACTACCTGATGTTTCCAGGGGTTTTGGGAAGCTGGCAAGTTATATTTTTTGCCCAATGACCAGTGCACCACTATTACTGTTATTCCTATTATTATTTCCTCTGCTTTCTTTGTTCATATTTTTCTTCCTCTGCCCTATCAGTGGTTTTATTTGGTTCATGTTAGCTTTGGCATAGCGTAGCCTTCCTCCTTTGTTGCCCTCTGAATAGATCGGACTAGAAGCACCATCATCCCCAGCTGAAGAGCAGTGCTTGCAGCCGTTGCTGCCTGTTGACCTTTGTGGGGACGGTGGGGGTTCCCTTTCCGCACAAATCGGAGGCGAGGACTAAGAGGGGGCTCCCCGAGTGGGCTTTCTGTCCCCACCTCTTGATACAGTTGACTTGAATACCTGCACTCTTGTGTCTTCCAGGCTCAAGACCCTCGTGTTGAACACCCTACAGAAGGAAAGAGAGTGAGTGTTTCTGCAGAGGGAGGGGGCCGTTGCGAAGGGATGGGGGGGCCGCTTTCCAGAGGGAAGGTCTCACCTTAAATTCATGGCAGCCCAAGTTTTTTATTATTATTATTATTAAAAAGAGGCCAGGGGTCTCAGAAAGTGAAGAGGCCTCCGTGAGGACCCTAGGATCAGGCAACTTCTGATGTGTGTAGAAGAATGTTTCCCCAAACAACATTAGACAGGGTTCTTACCTTGCCTAGAAAAGTGAAGCATCCTGGAAGCTCTGAACGCCTGGTCTGTACTGCAGAGGGGAAACAGCTGTGATTCAGCCTGTGAATGTCAGCCATATCATAGTGGCCCAGGCTGGATTCTCTGTGGATGTTGGCCCAGGAGGCAGTATTAGACCCACAGTTGCCCAAAGTCTTGTAAATTCTGTGCTAAGAAGACAGTTGTGTCTATGTATGTTGCTTATATGCCGCCTTTCTCCCCATAGGGAGCCCAGAGCGACTCCCAACAGATGTAACAACAGATTTAAAAACATGGTAGAAATGAGACATTTTAAAAAAATAGTTAAACCTAGGTTGAGGCTTTTTTCCCAAAAAATCAAGTTTAAAAATATTTCAAAATCTAGAAGTTAAAAAAATTCACATTTCTGAGACGACATACAGTACTGCTTAAAAGCCTGCCTGAAAAGAAAGGCCTTTTAAAAGAGTTTGTTTTAAAAGATGTTCTTCCTCCTTGACCAATAGCTTGTTTTCAAGGAGTTTGCATCCTTCTCCCCCCTTCGCCTTACAAAAATCTATGTTTAACAATTTGCAAGCAAAGAGAGAGGGAAATTAGAGAGCTGACGATAGGTGTTTTGCTTCCTTGGAGGTAGTCCTGCTAGCCCTTTATGGGAAATGGGTTAAGGATGAAGAGACTTTGCTATTTATTTATTTAATCTAAATTGTTTAAACGGCGGCTTTCTCATATGCCGGAAGACAAGACAGCTCACAGAAGGGAATGAGCGGTGTGACTAAAGCAAAGCGTGCTGCTTGTGTATCGTCCCATACCACTGAAAGCACTCTCTAGATGATTTACGATTTAACTCAGCAGGCTGGGTACTCAGTTTACCAACTTCAGAAGGATGGAAGGCTGAGCGAACCTGCAGCCGGATGGATACCTGGGATTGAGCCCAGGTTGTCGGGCAGAGTTTTGGCTGCAGTCCCGCAGTTTAACCATTACCGTCATGAGGCTTCGGTTCGGGGTGATCTGTGATGGCTTGGGTCTTAAGCTTTCTTCTCCTTCCTCCAACATCTTCCCACCCCCAGCCACAAGGCATCTTTAGGTCTGGCCCAATTGGCTGCGGTCATATTGAAAAATGAGACCTTAGAGAAATGGCCACAGATGCTGCAGCTCATCCACCATGGCGCCCGTTCGAGGGACCCCACTCAGTCCCAGGTAAGGTCTGGGCTTATGCGACAGTCGGGAGGTAGGAAAGCTGCCGCAGAATTAAACCATCCTGGAGAAAAACAGAAGGCCCTCTTCTCTCCCCCACCCCCCAAAAAACCTTCTGGCTGCAGGTTGGATTACTGCTCTTGCATTCAGCCCTGGAGCTGGACCCCGAGGTCTTTTCCCCCCACTATAAGGATCTCCTGCGGCTTTTCCACCAGACCCTCAACAGCCGGGACCAGCCGGCTACCCTCTACTACACGCTGCGGAGCCTCAGCACCGTCGCGGCGGGTCTGGGCTCGGACGAGGTGGTGAGTAAACGTCATGTTTTTTTTCCATCCGATCCTTCCCTGTTTGTTGGTTCATTCCCCCTCCCTCCTTCCAGTGAGTTAATAATTTCCATCAGCCCCCCATCCTGTCGCGTAGCTGTGCCTGCATAATTCAAAAGTTGTGGAAGCAGCTGGGAAATTTACACCAGGCTGGAGGACGTATCCGGTGAGCCATGTCGCAAAAGCAGTTGCACAGCTGGATGAGCGGTCCGTCGCTCAATCGGGGTCCCCAGGGCGGATTGTCGTAGCATAACTTCCTGAAAACGTCCACAGTTATAACTTTACGCTGTGGAAAGTGCCAGGGGATCTCAGCCATGGTTATGTAGAGCTGGGTAAAGTCACAGTGTCGAAAAGCTCTTACTTGGAGTAACATGGTCAGAGGCTGGGTATTCTGGTCCAAAATATAACATTTTCTAAAGCTGGAAATTACTTAGTTGTTAGCAATGCAGTGGCCTGTAAGTTATTTGAGTCAGGGGTGTGTGACAAATTTGTGTTTCGAAGACCACGTAATGGGTAGAGTTATATTTGTGTAGCAGGCAAAACTTTTCTAGTTATTTTTGAAAGTTGCTTTTTAATGGCATTTTGGGGTATATTTTGACAACGGTTTTGTCACATTTTGTGTTACTTGATTATCAGTCCTGAGATAGATTTTTTTTAAGTACTGTAATAGAAATCAGTGTCACAAATAATGGAAGTGTTTTTTTATTATTATTATTTTCTGCTCTACGGCTTTTCCAGGCTTTGTGACCAGTTCCAAGGTCATCAAAGCAAATATGGCTGGTAACATGTTCTTGAAGTGTTTGGGAAATTATTTGCATTTCTGCAGTGTATTACTCTAGCATTATCAGAGAAGCAAAGCAAAGCGTGCTCCTTACATACCGCCCTGTAGTGCTTAAAGCACTACAATTGTGCAGGCGACACCTTGCCACCTCCACCCCCAGCAAGCAGGGCACTCAGTTGACCAACTTCAGAATGATGGAAGGCGGAGTCAACCCTGAGCTGGCTACTTGGGCTCTTTGGGATCGAACTCAGGTGGTGAGCAGAGTCTTCACTGCGGTAATGCAGTTTAACCACTGTGCCGTGGGGTCACTCTTGACTGCATGCATGTTCTCAGGGACATGCATGGTTTAAAGCCTATAGCATCTATGAAGTGATAAGACTGTAGTGCAATTAAAGACATCTAAGTAGAATAATTGACCTGAGTTTTATTTTATTAGTTAGTGGATTAAATCTGCACATATGGCTAAAATAGCCCTTCCCAGGAGAAAGCGATGCTTTGCTTTAAGTGATATTTGCACGTATAGCTGTAGGACGGACTTCCCCATTCCGATGTAGTGGTCTATCGCTCCCATTGTCCCCAGCCACCATTGCCCGGATTAGAGCTGTGCCCATAACTCCATATTTGGCCTACAGCTGCCAGCATCTATGCTGTCTGGGGCAGTGGTGCCCAACCTTGGTCCTCCAGATGTTCTTCTGCCAGCGTCTATGCTGTCTGGGGAATCTAGGCTTTGTCGTTTCAGAATGCAAATAGAGACCCCCAAAGCCCAGCTCCATAGCCGTGTGGTCTGTCTGGGTGGAGACAGGTTTGCAAAGGTTGACTTTTTAACCCAGCCAAATACTTGATCTGAAGCCTGCCCACCTGACAGTATTTTCTGAAAGCAAAGCTTCACGGTTCAGAACAAAGTGACCCAATGCTATTTATTCAATGCTACGAATCTAGGCTTTGTCATTTCAGAATGCAAATAGACACCCCCAAAGCCCAGCTCCATAGCTATGTGGTCTGTCTGGGTGGAGACAGGTTTGCAAAGGTTGACTTTTTAACCCAGCCAAATACTTGATCTGAAGCCTGCCCACCTGACAGTATTTTCTGAAAGCAAAGCTTCACGGTTCAGGACAAAGCGATCCAATGCTATTTATTCAATGCTACAGGTATTTCCAACCCTCTGGTTGTTTCCCGTTCCATCTGTAGGGGTTCTCTATGTCTTGCAGGAGATGGTGGGTTGGATTTTGGAGTTGAACAGCTTCCCCTAACGTTTCTTAAAAAAATATTCTTCAGCTTGGTCTCCCTCCCCACCCTAAAACCTGGAAAAAAAAAACCCTCTCTTTTTCTGCTTCTAGAACCTGATGTCTTCCATGGTGCCTAAAGTGATCTTGGCCATCCGGGAACTTATTGCCGTGGATGAGGTAGGTGGGGGCGGGTTGCCCAGCCTGTCCTTGGGAGGTAGCCCTTACCTGCCCTGAGCGTTTTGGAATGGGGTGTGAGTGTGCCTCGTCTTAGGGGCAAACGGGCGCAACCCTCCCAACCCGTCTGTTTCACTCACCCGGGGTTTTTCGATTGCACGGTGCACATTTGCTCTGTGCAGAGTGTCCTGCTTGGTCACGCCTTGCATGTTCTTAGCATGTACCTTTTTTTTGGGGGGGTTCTAAAGTCTTGTCCTCGGACAAGCAAAGCATAACCTTTTGGTTTAGGTCTTTGGCTGCGGGGCCAGAGGTTGGGAGTTCGATCCCTCACTGTTCCTCCTTGACAGGGGCTGGACTTGATGATCTATAGGGTCCCTTCCAGCTCTCGTGATGATTAAAGCCAAAAAAGTCGTTGGTTATTGTTACAGTTTTAACAGTAACTCTTTATTTCCCTCTTCCTTAAAGTCATTAAAATAGACACTTTGGATAGGTTTTTGCTTGTTTGTCTGTTTTCATTCTGAATGCTACAGTTTGCTAGCCTCTCGAACTTATTGCCGTTGATGAGGTAGGTGGGGGGTTGCCCAGCCTGTCCTTGGGAGGTAGCCCTTACCTGCCCTGAGCGTTTTGGAATGGGGTGTGAGTGTGCCTCGTCTTAGGGGCAAACGGGCGCAACCCTCCCAACCCGTCTGTTTCACTCACCCGGGGTTTTTCGATTGCACGGTGCACATTTGCTCTGTGCAGAGTGTCCTGCTTGGTCACGCCTTGCATGTTCTTAGCATGTACCTTTGGGGGGGGGGTTCTGAAGTCTTGTCCTCGGACGAGCGAAGCATAACCTTTTGGTTTGGGTCTCTGGCTGCGGGGCCAGAGGTTGGGGGCCCGATTCCCCCCCGACTGGGCCTCCTTCACAGGGGCTGGACTCCGTGATCCATTGGGTCCCTTCCAGCTCTGCAGTTCTTGGTGGTGGTGGTGATGTTGATCTTCCCCAAGACATAGTTAAGCATGTGTGGTAGTGATGATGATCTTCCCCAAGACATAGTTAAGCATGTCTCCAAATTGCACATTCCTCCCCATGCCAGTCGTGCTCCAAAAGAACTGAAGGGTGCAATTGGCCTTGTAAATATATTCCCCGTCCTTTAGGGTATTTGAGGTCGATGGCAAGTCACCGGCTGGTCACTTACAAGGTGCTTGGGAAGAGGGCAGAGAAACTCATCCAAAAGTCCTTCAGCCCACAAAAACCCGGCACTAGCCTCCTTCCTTCCTAAGGGTGCAATTGGCCTTGTAAATATATTCCCCGTCCTTTAGGGTATTTGAGTTGAGGTCGAAGTCACCGGCTGGTCACTTACAAGGTGCTTGGGAAAAGGGCAGAGAAACTCATCCAAACGTCCTTCAGCTCACAAAAACCCAGCACTAGCTTCCTTCCTTCCTTCCTTCCTTCCTTCCTTCCATCCTTAACACACTGGCTTTGTTCTCACTGAAGGGTGGCTCATGCCTTCCAGAGTCTTTGAGGACCCTTGGAAGTTGTTTGCCATGTTTTACCTCCAGGAAAGGCCCTGTCGGTGTTTTTGAAGCGTTGTTCCTCTGATAGGAATTATTTTGAGGAAAGGGCTCTGAAAGACGCCCCTTCTGCCTCTTCTTACAGCTTGCTTTTGTGTTCGCTTGTGTAGGCAGCGCCTCAGAAAAAACTTGAAGGGAGTGGAGATGAACTGTTTTAAAGGGACTGGTGAAATCTTAAGTTTCTCCTCTTTTTTGGCCTGTTTCTTTAAAGGCCAGCCCAAATCAGGGTCTCCTTGTCTCTTGCAACCGGAGTCAGCATAACCTCAGAAGCTGAAATTCCCAAATCCCACGGCTGCCCCACTTTTATGCCTAATTATTGCCCTCGGTTTAATGTGGGTGTACTGAAGGTATCCATGGCAACCCCTTTGGATTTCCAGCCTGCCTTTACATGGTTTCTGGCCCTCCTTATTTGTTCTGTCTGCCCCCCCCAAAAAAAAAACCACCAGATTTTTCATTCTTGTTTGATTTAAGGCATGGGGTTTCCGCCTTTCCATGGTTTCTGCCCCTCCTTATTTGTTCTTTCTGCCCCCCCCAAAAAAAAAACCACCAGATTTTTCATTCTTGTTTGATTTAAGGCAAGAGAGGTGAGCCTTACCTTGCTTCTCCAAAAACGTTCTTTTCCGGTGAGCTTTCCTCCCATGGGGAGCTGGCAGATCCAAGATTCCTACCTCCAGCGGCAGTGCTTGGGTCAGTCCCACTGCCCTGCCTTGGATTTAAGAAGCCGGGCGCATTATTTAGGAGAAGGTTTGCTCTCATGGCAGCTGACATGTGTCCTCTACCCAGGCTGTTCTTGGGATCCTGCTAGAACCTGCTGTAATTCTCCATCAAAAACGTTTGTGTGTGTGTGTGGAAATACACATTTTTAAAAGCTGTTTTTGTCTAGAGGCGCTCGAGAGCCTCCAGAGGTAAAAATGGGGGGGGGGGCTTGCGTTTTCAGAGATTATCCACCCTTTTGCATTGGGAAGCCATTTGGTAAAAGTGCCAAAACTTTAGATGCAAATGCAGCAACACAGCTGTTTTTGTGAGCGTGTGTTTCGGCCACCAACCGCACGACAGGCAACCCAGTAAACTGGCTCTCGCCTTCACGGCATCCGGCTTCTCTCTGTCCCGGCCTTCCTGCCAGCTCCGGTTTGAGGACCGGCTCCTCTTTCAGCCGGAAATAAGCCACGTTGGCGAGTGGCGTGGTTCATAACCAGGTAGGGTTTTCCCAAGCTGGTTTGTGTAAGCCGGCAGCAAACCATGGGTTCAGGGGGGCTGTTTCTGCTTAGTTAGAAAAGCACATCCTGTTAGACGGAGGTGGGTTCTACATATCGTAGCAAGCCATGAACTGCGGGTTCTCACACTGAGCAGACACGGCCCTTGACTTCGCTCATGCCTGTATGTAGAGTTCGCCCTGTGTGACCCTGCAAGCTTGCTTGTGTGCCACGTTAAGAATCCCTTTCAACCAGAAGGCCCAATTCAGCCTCAAGAGAAGCTCTCGACCTTCCAGTGCTTATTGGAATATTTATTTATTTCTAGCATGCATACCATGCCCCACGACTCTGGGTGGTCTTAGAATGTGATACAGAGTCGATTGCGCCCCCACTCCCCCTGAAAAGTAAAAATAATAAAGCAAGGCGCAAACCGATTAAAACACAAACCAATAAATAAGCTGATGAAGAGAAACCAGTTGACCTCAGCTATGAAGGTGGCCGACTCACTGGGGGCTGGGGGGGTGGGGGAGATACAAACCAATAAATAAGCTGACAAAGAGAAACCAGGTGACATCGACAGACCTCAGCTACGAAGGTGGCCGACTCACTGGAGGATGATCTCTAAAGGCTTCTTTGAAAAGTGTAGCTTTGGGCAACTTTAAAAAAAAACTCCAGAAGGAAGAGGCCCGTCAGATCTTGATGGGGAGGCGGTCCCAAAGTGGAAAATAGGAACAAAATGTGACTTAAAAGTTTTTGCTGTCCATAACTATTACGCCAAGGAAAGAAATTTTTAAAAATCAAACTAGAAGTAAACCTGCCGGATACGGTGTACTGGGGAAAGGGGGGGCATTATCTGGGGAATTTTGGATGGGCCACCCTTGGCTCAGGGTATGAGGTTGCCGACCCACCGCCTCCTTGGGCGACCTCATGCGTGTGTCCATTGGGTGTTTGGCTTGACGCCACCATCATCTTTCTCTCTCCTTGACCCCCCCAGGCCCAGGCCAGCGAAACGATGGAGGTTTTCGACGAGCTCATGGGGACTGAGGTTTCCATCATTGCCCAGCACGTCCCAGAGATTGTCGGCTTCTTCCTGGAGGTGAATGCCGGGGAGGGGGGGGGCTTCTTTCCCTGACCCTCTCTGCCCACTCTTTGCCGGGTCGTGCCCCCCCTCCTCTCTGGAGAAGGAACAGATCTTGAGTTCAGGGCTCCCAGCCTTTGGGTCCCCTAGATGTTCCAGGACCACCACTCTCGCGAAGCCTTCTCCACTCGGCTGCCCTGGTTGGGGTTTTCCGGGCGTCGCAAGTCCAAGGACAGCCGGGTGATCCAAGGTTGAGGAACCATGGCTTCCGAGTGAAACTTTTCAACCCCACACTTGGTAGGTGGCTTCCAACCAGGCGCTGGGTGACAGTCTCCGAGTGAAGGCTTTATCCTGCATCAACTTCCTCATCTCACTCAAGAGCAAGGTGAGTTACGACGAAGCTTGCCATTGTAGGGGTCCCCCTTCCAACTTCGTTTGAGCCTTGTCCAAATACCATTCAAAATGCTAGTTTTATGAACTTTACAATCTAGGCTTTCAGAAGGAGGGTTTCTCCCCCCCCCCTCCAACCAGCCGAGGCTCAGAGATCTTGTGGGAGGCCATTACAGCAATACCTCGCTTTACGAAAGCCTTGATTCACGTAATTTTTGGGTTACGAACCGAAATCCATAGAAAAGAATGCCCTGGTTTACGTTCTTTTCTTTTACTCCGCTGTACGAAAGGGTTTCCTCCCAGGATGCATCGCTCCTGGAGGTTTCTAACGCCAACCCCATTCCTAGCGCAATCTGCGTGTCGGTTTACGAAATTTCCATATGTGACGTCCCGGAGGACGCATTAATTTTGTAAACCAAGGTACGCCCCTAGGTCTGTGCTGCCACATTCAGAGTCATGATCCATGGGGGGCACAAAAGAAGGCCATCTCGGTGGCATCGCTTCCTCCCATGGGGGGGCTGGACTGTTGTCCCCTCCCTGTTCTCTTTCCGTCAGCAGGCAAAGACATGTTTATCCAGGCAAGCCTTCTGCAGTTGTCCTCTTGCTGAGCAAAAGAGTATTAACAGATGAGTGTCAAATTATTATGCATGTCTTTAAAACTCAGTGTCGCTTTTATGCTAGACTTGTAAATCATTGCTTTTAAAGTGCCGCAGCTTTTGTCTGCTTCACATATGCATTTGCGTCTCTCAGGTTTTGACCTTTAAATTGTGGTCAGCTGAAATCCATGTTGTGGATAATAACCCTTGTGAGTCCCACTGGAAAGGCAGAGGATGCCCTGTATTGTCTTTCTGATCTCAGATGTTGCCTTCAGGCACAAAAAAGCAGGCTTTTGGAGGAGAGGGAGGCTTGATCTTAAATACGTGTAACCCGCATCGAAAGCAACAATCCCTCTAAAGCTTCTTTTTGAGAGCACAGGCGACCCCCCCCCCCGAAACCTAAAACCGTCCAGTGCAAGGCCCACATTTCCTCATGTTGGAAGAAGGCAGGGGAGTTTTCCCGCGGTCTCTGAGCTGTCAAGGTGGGAGGGAGTTTTAGATACTGGGTCAAGCAAAGCCAGTGAGCAGAAGCCCATGTCGACCGTTGTGCCTTTGGTTGAACGGGAATGAGGCCTCTGGGATTTGAAGTCTCAATCTCGGTTTTCATCTGGAGTCCTGCTCTGGGCAGGGAGGCAGGTTACGAATCAGATCCAGACGTTAGGCCCACCCCTCCACCCCACCCCACCCCAACGCATGTTGGCCGTGGTGCCCCTCATTGAACCCGGGACAGTCCAGCTCAGAAGGGTCTCCCTTTCCTTCCTTCCTTGCTTTCCAGGCTGTCTTGAAGCACAAGCTGGTCCCACCCATCCTGAACGCCCTCTTCCCCATCATGAGCGCCGAGCCGCCCCCCGGCCACATGGACGTGGAGGATGAACAGACAGAGGAGGAGATCGAAGACCAGGCGGAGGTCCAGACGCCCAAACACTACGCTGCCCAGGTTTCCGTCCTTTCCTAAACCCCCCTCTCTTTTTTTGACTCTCGAGGTCTCTCGTTCCGGCCTCGTCCGTTTCAGGCCGAGTCCGGGAAGAGCCAGCCTCGTTCCCCCCCAGACAAGCAGCATCCCGGCCACAGTCAGTCAGTCTCTCCTGTCCAAGCGTCTTCTGAGCCCCTTTCTTCTCCGAGTGCTGTCTTTGCCCTTCCACCAGCATTCCCTGGTTCTCTCTCTCTAGCTCTCTGCGGCCTCCTCTCGCTCTGCCCCAGGCGTCTCGCTCATTCAAGCAGGGGCTTTCCTCGTTCAGCCCCTAGCATTCCCCTTTCTCCTGGAAGCCCCACCAGCAGGCAGGGTGGATAAATGTCAGTGCTTTTAAAAAATAATAATAATAATCACAATTTCTAAATCCTTTTTTAAAAAGTAAAATGTCCCCCCAAAAATCATATTTTGAAAGATTTAAATGGTCCCCTCAAAAATCTGTTTAAAAAAATAAAGAATTGGAATCATGATTTAAATTGATTTGATTTCAATCCAGCCCACGTTGCCACCTTCCCCTCAATTTCCGGCATGCTCTCCCAGCACCTTGCGCGCCTTCTTCAGCTTCCTCCAGCAGGCTGTCGGCCCTCATGCAATGTGGCTTTCTTTCCTCTCAGGTGGTGGATATGCTAGCCCTGCAGCTGCCCCCGGAGAAGCTCTTCCCCCACCTGGTGAGTGTGAGAAACACATTAAGAAACAAGGAACTTGAAATAGAAAGGAGGTGGAGAATTATTTTTTTTTAAAGGCCGCTGTCTTTCCTTTCTGTTAGACTCCTCTGATGGAACCAGCGCTTCTGAGCCCGAATCCCTACCATCGGAAGGCCGGCCTCATGTGTTTGGCCGTCTTGGCGGAAGGCTGCGGGGATCACATCCGGAAAAAGTACGTGCCTCGTGCTTCAAGCTCAGCAAAATCTTCCTCTTGGCATGACATGTCCCAGAATCCCCATAGCTGAGCTAAGCCTGCTATGGGGATCCTGGAGATTGTGGGGGGGGGGGGTTCCCCCATAAGGGGTGCAGCTACACCTCGCAGGCTTCGCCCCCTCTCACCCTGTCGGGTTCGCCTTTCCTGCGGCATGTTTTCTTGCCTGGAATCCTGTTGGTGTTCGTATAAAGTTACCGCAGCGTACCTTGGCCAGGTATTGCACCCTGGTGACGTGGCACAACCTGGAAGTCGGTCACACGGAGGAGGCACTGAATGGGGTCTAATGGAGAGAAACCTTCCCTGTGATTGCAGGCATCTCCAGCCCATGCTTCAGGTGGTGTGCCGGGCCCTGCTCGATGAGAGCCAGGTGGTGCGTAACGCGGCGCTCTTCGCCCTGGGGCAGTTCTCCGAAAACCTGCAGGTGAGCCGGGTGTGATGTGAGGGGTGTGTGTGGAAGGGTCCTTCATCTGATCAGGCGTCAATTGTCCATCCACTGAAGAGAAGCCTCTCCCCTCCTCTAGGGTAGAAAAGGCCGGGCCCTTCTTGGTGAGGAGCTCCCTTTGGACTTGCAAGGTCCCCCCTCAGACGGTGCTCTTTTCCTGTTTTGGGACTCCGGCTCCTAGGATTCTCCCAGAATCCCCCCAGGCCTCGGTCTGGGAGTTGTAGCCCACAAACGCAAATCTGCAGACCTCTCTAGAGTTTGACCCCCCCCCCGAAAAGGATTTCTTGGTTTTACCTCGGACCCTGTCGTGCTCTTATCTGTTGTTATTTATTTTAAAAAAAGAAGACCCCAAGAGTGAATGCTGGGAGTTGTAGTTCTTCAGGAGGCGCCCTTCCGCTAGAGCCTAATGGGAAGCAAGACTTCAACTCCCAGCGTCCTCCATGCTCAGGAGGGCCTGGTGTGAACCACCCCTTATGTTACATGGTTGTCCTGTGAGATCCAGTCCTCGGAGGACGCTGGGAGTTGTAGTTTCACTGCCCGTTAAGCTCTATAGAGGGCACTTCTGGGACAAAGGCAGCTCCCAGGACTCTCCACTGCAATTTTCTCTCTCTCTTTTTAAATTGAAAAGCCAATGACCTTTTAGGTGTGGGGGGCACAATCTGGAAGTCTGTCCATCTGTGTTTGTGGGCTCCTTTTAAGGAGAAAGGCAGGGTAAAATATTTTAAATATATAAAGAAATAACTCCCAAAATTTTGCCTGTGGAATTCTTAAAAGAAGTCAGTGAGAATTAATAGCAATGCTGTGTCTTTTTTTTTTCTTTTCCTTCTTCAACGTTCAAGTTGTGGGGCCAGCATCCTGAATAACGTGCTCATTTTTACCCAACGCCAGTTGCTTGTTCTCAAGAGGGGGGAATCTCATCAAGGTGGCAAAAAATTTTTTTTTGCTGGAGGTTGTGCAATTATTTCTCTTTTCCAAGGACGTACGACAGTTCTTAGAAGCGCAAAATCTCGTGTCTGCTGGAGGACAGACGCGCACCAAAAAATGCTTTAAATCTCTCTCTTTCTCCTCCCTGCTTCTCGCCTTCGGTGGGACTTAATAGCCCGATATAGCCCGATACGCCGATGACATCATGCCGCTGCTTCTGCGCTACCTGGAAGGCATCCAAGTGGCCCACACGAGCCACATGGCCAAAGCCTACTATGCCCTGGAGAACTTTGTGGAGAATCTCGGTGAGAGCCCCTGTCCAGTTGGGCCGGCCCTCCTCGTTCCACCTCTTCTCTCTCTCTCTCTCTCTCTCTCCATAGTTTCGGTCTGTTCTAAGAGGATGATGATACTGTATATGCCAGGCGCTTGAAGCCCATGGACTGCATTAAGCAATCCATTTCTAGTGTGTTGAGCTCAAACAAAGGCAAGCTAATGGATTCTGTGGGCTAAGAGCCTCCCTCTGGGCCGGAACGGGAGTAGCACAGTCCCATCCTCCACCACCACCCCATGTAAAAGAAGCCCCCAAACTGGAAACAGCTGTAAAGTCCATTTCTGGGCTTGCAAGAAAGCCCCAGCCTTTTTGCTCTTAAAAGGTGGTGGAAAGCTAAACCTTGTTTAAAGGAAGCAACACTGCTCCAGGGTGTGTAAAATGTCACCCGTCTGTGGGTGTGTGTGTGTGGGACTCTGAAGCAGCCAAGGCCCATAGGGAACAGCCTCGAGGATGGGTCTCCTGGACCACATGAAGGTACCCCTAAGAATCTCTTGGAGGTATTACAACCTCGTATGCTGCCTTCAGTGGGCCTGGCCGGAGTGACTGCCAATCACCCCAGCAGTAACCAATGGTTCCTTCCCTTCCTCTGATTTTGAGGAGAGCCACGCCTCTCGGCTTAAGAGTCTTTTTGCCTCTCTTTTTAGTCTGCTAGAAGTTAGTAGTTATGCTGTTAAGGCAGTCAGAGAATGTAGTCCGCAGGAGTCTGCTGGAAGCAGGCTAGTGTGCTGAGGCCTGTTGCTGGAAGCAGTCATTTTTTTTTTGTACAATGTGCTGTTTTTTGATCTATTCAACTGTGAGTAAATGAAACCTTTTTATTCTTTTTTTTGCCAAAGTCTCAGAGTGAGTCGTTGAGACTGCAAGCGCCAGTTAATGAGACCATAAGGGGTGGCCTACTCCAGGGGGACTTGACACTCATTCTGCTCTTAAATTCCATGCACGTCTGCTACACAGCTAGAGGAGTTTAGCCAAAATTGAAAACTGAAACAGAATCCAGTATTTCAGCTTCTCTTTTGCATGTGATCCAGGGCCTGGGTATCTCGTGAATGGTTTCACCCTGGCTCTTTCTCTCTTTTAATTTTATAATCCTGTTATCCCAATCTTCTCTTATCACTCTGGCCCTAGGAGACAAGATCACGCCATACCTCCCATCCTTGATGGAACGGATGCTCACCACCCTAAGCCACCCCGGCAGCCCCCGTTGCAAGGAGCTGGCCGTCAGTGCCATCGGAGCCATTGGTATGCTTTGATCGGGTCCAGTTGCTTTAAGCCCATTGGGTCTCTCCTGAGCATCTTGGGAAGAACCTATTTTGGGACGGGGTCCTCCAGAAACAGGTGGGCTGAAGACAAGCCAACCTTGGGAGGCAGGGGCTCTGGAAGCCCCAGCTGAAAAGATGTTCTGTACCTTCATTATATTTCAAACAATCCTCTTCTTTGGAAGGCTCCATTCACAGAGGCTGGCCCCAGGGTCTTGGATGGAAACCCAGCAATGTATTTCTTGCTCTCCATATCACATGTTTTTTTAAAAAATCATGTTGTTGAAAGAGGGCACAGAAGGGGTGTGATGAGCCAGGATCCCTCGATTCTTTGCAAGGGGACGGAAGAGGGGGTTTGAATTGGGTGTGCTCCCATCGCCTCCAGGTCCCTATAGATCGGTCAGGGAAGGGGAGGAACGGAGTGCCAGGATCTTTTAATGATGGCTTCCCTGGGGGAACCTGATCGTGCTTGTCTCCTCTCGTTCCACGGTCTCTAGCCCAGGCGGCCCAGGACTCCATCCTGCCATATTTCCAGGCCATCATGGACCACCTGATGGGTTACCTGCTCACCGTCCAAGAGGACCTCAGACCAGTCCAGATTCAGTCCATCGGTGAGCAAGGCTTCAGTCGCTTTCGACACTGAGGGTGTGTCTTGCCATCATCCCAAAAAAACCCTACCAGTTTTCCTCACCAGAAGTAACCCGTTTTCCAGGAGTGGTCGATTTGGACTTAAAAACACCCCCCAGTCCTCAAAAACAAAGCTGCGATTGGATAGTCAAGGACTTCTGGCTTTTATTTTCTCTTGTATTGGTTTTCATGGGAGAGAGAGAGGGGAGGGGAAAATCAGCTGCTAGACTCCCAGAAAGTTGCTCATCTCTGCTATATAGTTGACCATGGAGTTTGGAAGCTCTTTGGGGCAGGCATCTGCTTTCCCCCTCCCCCTTTGCTTATTCTTCCACGTGACAGAGTGGTGGCCATGCTGCGCTAGGGAAGCGGCAAATGGCCGTCACCCAAAAAAAAATGACTTTCGTGAGCTCTGGCAGGTTCGGATTTAAAACAGAAAGACCCTGAAAAAACTGAAATCTTCCCGTGTCTCGGTCCTGTTTTGCTCCTCATGAATTGGCAAACTCAACTATACAGTGCTAATCAAGCTGCTGTAGGTTGTCAAGGATTTTTCACACGGTTGCTCAGCAAAACGTCTGTGCCTGTTTCGGCTGGATAGCTCCAGAGAGGGATCCGGTGGTGGAGACAGAAGTAAAGAGTTTGATTCCCCCACCATGGGCCTCCTGGAACAAAGGCCAGCCTGGGTGGCCTTGGGCCAGCTGCACAGTAGTCCCAGGGCACCCCAGGAAGGGAAGAAGGGAAGAATAAACTACTTCTGCATATTCTCTACCTAGAAAATCCTGGCAAAGGGTCATCAGAAGTCAGAATTGACTTGACAGCACACTATTATTATTATTATTATTATTATTATTATTATTATTATTATTAGTAGTAGTAGTAGTAGTAGTAGTAGTAGTAGTAGTAGTAGTAGTAGTAGTAGTAAACACTAATTAAGCGGACAGGAGATGCAGGAAAGAGGGTGTGATGCCAGTTACCCACAAAACCTGTTCCTGTTTTTCTATCATCCTCTATCTGCACCTCACCTTCTATTCCCACCACACACACTCTGGTTTTCCCTTCCAGAGACTCTGTCCGTCCTGGCCACCGTCTTGAACCGGGACGTCTTCTTGCCGCTGGCCGAGCAGTGCTGTCGGCTTGGGCTGGACCTCTGTGACAAAGTGGACGATCCGGACTTGCGGAGGTGCACGTGAGTGGACGCTGCCCTTTGGACTTAGGGACACGCACAGAAAGGTGGCTTCTAATGAGCCAGGGACCTTTAGATCCATCATGTGGTCAGCTTGGACTGGGGGGCAGCTGCTCCCTATGGATTCAGACACGAATGGGATATGTGCCTCGCCTTCCCTGGAGATTTTGAGGGTGCAGATGCTCCCCCTCTGAGCCATGCTGCCTCTTTTCCCAAGGCAGCATCTGGCCGTTTCCACCAAGTCCTATTTAGGGGCCATTTTTTGGCTTTTGAGATCATATGAGAATCAGATACATTTGGGGCGAAATGTTGTTGAGCAAATCCCATGGGTTATCTAGAAATGTCTGGAGAAGTGGCTTTCTTGGACTACAGCTCCCACAATCCCTCCGCCACCCATGGAAATGGTAGTTCGAAAAAGTCCCATTAGCATGTTTTGGGGGGAACCGTCCACTGAGTTGATCTTAACTGTGGTTATGTTAGATGTCCCCTCTCTTTATCCTTCTCACCCACTCTTAAAGCTCTGCTTTGGTTGCATTCCAGAGCTGGGATCAAACCAGAATTCCCACAGTTCACTTTGGGGGCCTCGTTTAGCAGGAGGGCTCCCCATTGTCTTTGCCCACCTGAAAACGGAAGCCCGTGAGAAATGCGGATGCTTTTTGCTATCGTAGGTACAGCCTCTTTGGCTCGCTCACAACAGTGTTGGAGGATGCAATCGCTCCCTTCCTGCCTCGCATCACCACGCTCATGCTCTATTCCATCAAATCGACGGAGAGCGTTCAGGTGAGGCCCAAGCAATTGTTCTCTCTGCCACCGGATACTGGACCTCTCAGTCTTTATTTTGTAAACAAAGCCAGCAGCAAGGAACGGGGCCTTCTCGACGGTGGCCCCTACGCTGAGGAAAATGCTTCCAAACAAAGTGTGCCAGATTCTGCCCTTCCTGATATTTAGGAAACTAGTAAAGACCGAACTCTATAAAGCAGCCTGTAAGAATGCATCTCCAGGTGTTGCTAATATCAATTTTTTTTTTTAATTTAGATCCGTCCTTTTTTTTCTTAATTGTTTTTGAGTTGGTGTGTCGCCGTATTTATTGTGTTGATCTAGTGGGCTGGAACCGGGTTGGTTGGGAGGGTTTCGTGTTTTATTCTTATAAAATGCTCAGGGAAGTGAACATCTGCCTGCCTGCCCCTGGATCATTGATGGACATCCGCCTTGGCCGAAACCAAGACGTCCACCCCTATTCTGATCAAGACAGGTGTCTTTTTTTTTTAAAACCTCAGTGCTTCCTTCCCAAGGCCAATAAAATCAATGATTTTTTAAAAAATCAAATAGATTTTTAATTTTTTTTTATTTAAACCATTAAAAAAATCCAGTGTTTAAAAAGGAAAAAGGTTATGTCATCTTAAAGACTAACTGCTATATTTTAACATGTGCTTTCATGGACAAGTCCCCTTCCTCAGATCTTGTCCACAAAAGCTCACATTAAAATACAGCAGTTTGTCTCAAAGATCCCAAAAAAACACTTTTCCTTATTTTTCGGTTTTTTTATTTTTGGGCTCTCCTATGCTAGCACAAACAAACTCAGCGACCTCGTCTAACATGTGTCTTCAGTCTCTCATCCATTTCTCCGCGTCTTTTGTTTTTCATTTTGCCCAGCTTCCAGTCAGTTCCGGGAATTCCTTCCTCATCTTTGACGACGAGGAAGAGGAGGCTGAAGTGGAGGGGGACGAGAGCCTGACCGACGAGGAAGAGGATGATGACTCTGAACTCACAGGGTAATTAGCACTGAGAAAGTCCAGAATGTCACTGGGAAGCTAGAACTGGCAGGTCACCAGGATAAGAGGCGTGCAATTCCAACAGTGCCCCTAAGCTGTGTTTCTGAAGCTGCAGCACAATGATAACGTCGGTCTTTTTTTAAAAAAAAAAATGTCTCACTATTCAAATTTATGGACTTAAGTCTGGCATTTACTGCCTGCTCTGCTGGATAGAGATTCATATCAGCTTAAGTACGAGTAGCTTTTAAGAAACAGCAGCAACAAAACATTTCCTGCCCGCAGGCTTGCTATATAAAAAAAGACACAACCTGGAAATAAAGCAAAGCAACTCAGGGGCAGCTTCTTAAAATATTTGCCAGCCTGAATGAATAGCGTGATGCGGTACTGCTCATTCATTCATTCATTCATTCATTCATTCATTCATTCATTCATTCATTCATTCATTCATTCATTCATTCATTCATTCATTCCACTTGTATACCATACAGTTGAGGAGGAGCAAAGTGGAAATAATTGGTTGTTCAGGAGGGTGGATGGAGGCCTTTCCCTTCTCTCCTTCTTCCAGCTGCTGGAACAGCTTCCAGTTCTTGGCTGAAATCCTGTTGCGTACTTACGCAAAAGGTGTACGTGTCAGAGACAAATTGCTACAATGTCTACAGACATTGCTTATCTTATCTTTTGCCCACCTAAGCTTCTAGAGCATCTGACCATCACTGTGAGCAGAAAGATGGACATGTTTGTCCAGTCCAGACTAGCTGATCCTTTCAACTTATCCCATCTCAGATCCCTTTTTCTTTATTGATTTTTCTGCTCTTAGGATAAAAGCTTATTTTAATGCCATTTTTATCTTGTAAGCTGCCCAGTGTAGATTCCTGAATCTAGATGGGCAGGGTTAAAAATGGAACAAATAAATAAATAAATCAACTTCTTCATGCTCTCATTCCCCAATTCTGACTTGGCCAACACTGAGATGCAAACAATCATCATGGAGAGGCAGGTCCCTATTATCTCTCTTCCCTTCCTTTCATGCAGGATAAGCGTGGGAAATGTTTTCATGGACGAGAAGGAGGACGCCTGCATAGCCCTGGGCGAGATTTCCACCAGTGCCTGGTAGGTCCACATGTGTTTGTCTTCCTGCATTAGTCCCAGTTGGAGGGAATCTGGCGCATCTTTATCATAGAATCATGGAGCTGGAAGCATCCATCAAGTCGAACTACCTGCCTGCTCTGCAGGAATCCAAACCAAAGCAGATCAGACAGATGGCTGTCCCATTTCCTCTTGAATTCCTCCAGCGTTGGAGCGCTCCCCACCTCCAGAAGTCATGGGTTCCCTTGTCGTACTGCTCTAACAGTTAAGAAGTTTCATTCTGATACTCAGCTCAAATCTGGCTTCTTGTCACTTACAGTGGTGCCTCGCTTGATGACGTTAATTCATTCCAGCGAAATCGCTGTAGAGCGAAAATGTTGTCAAGCAAAATAAAAAAGCCCATTGAAATGCACTGAAAACCGTTGTTTTGCGATCGCAATTGCTATCGCAAAAACATCGCCGTAAAGCGGATTCGTCGTTAAACGGGGTAATTGTTAAGTGGGGCACAACTGTATTAGATATCCTGCCCTCTGGGATGATCGTGAACACATCCTGCCCCTCCTCTGGAGGATGGCCTTTCGGTTATTTGAAAAGTGCTGTCTTATCACCCCTCAGTCTTCTTTTCTCAAGGCTAAACCTTGAGAAGTCTACCCGCCCGTAATAGACTTTGTCTAAAAGGGTGGGATAGAAATCAAATAAATAAATAAATAAACAAAACAAACAAACAGACCCAGGAAGAAGCAGAAGTCCCTAAAGAGCGGAAACAAGTGCATGTAACTCACCCATTTTCCCGTGTTTTCTCTGTCCCGTCGCAGTGTGGCCTTCTTGCCTTACATGGAGAGCTGCTTCCAGGAGATCAGCAGGTTGTTGGAGGTAACGGCGACCCAGCAGGGACTCTGCCAAACCCTGCCGTTGGCTGCAACAGGGAGGCTGCGGATGAAAACCCAGTTGAGGGTGGGGGAGAGAATTTTGTCAGAGCAGGAAGAGGGGAAAGGAGAAGCCCTCGTCTCCCCAAAACAGTGGGGTGAATAGAGGGTTTTTAAGCTCTTAGCACCCTCTGCCTGGAAGGGAGGGCATTCGGCCGCTGGAGGGCCACCCCCAAGAAGGCCCCTCCTCGGGTTCCCACATCACGGCCTGGATAACCGTAGGCTGATGTTCCAGTAGCAGTGCTGGCTTCGTAGCTTCCGTCAGTTTTGCTGCCAGAGTCAGATTTTGGACGGTGCCTTGCTCCCATGAGTGGCGGGACGCCCACATCAACTTTGCCTGCCAACTTCTGTACTTGGTCCCGACATAAAGAGTTTCTTGAGCTCTGCATTTTGTACTTTTTTCCCCCCGGTGCTTTCGATATTAGCACAAACTCCTGGGAGGGATGCAGCCCGAAAGCCGAGGCGGTGACCGTCATGGGACGGGTGCCAAAGGGTGTGTGTGGCATTTGCGGGGTGTGTGTGTGTGTGTCTGTGCGCACAAGAGTGAGGTTCGGGTCCCTGTGAAGGTGACCCCTGCCTTCCCGCTTCCGTTCCAGTGCCCCCACATAAGCGTGCGGAAATCTGCCTACGAGGCCGTGGGGCAGTTCTGTATCTCGCTGCGTCGGCTTGGAGAGCGGGACTCCTCTGAATCCCACCGTGCAGGTGAGTGAGTCCTTGGATGGGGAGGGAGGCAGGTTAGAGGACCGACCTGGGGGGGAGCGTTCTCTTGGCCCAACCTTGCAACTCGGGTATCTTCCCGATGCTTCGAGACACCCGTTCCCAGAATCCCCTAGTCAGGAGGGGTGGCCGTTGGCTGCTTCAGGAGGGCACCGGGGAGCACACTGTTTCCCTTGAAGCTTTGTGGGGCAGCCTCATGGGCTAGGATGTCACAGAAGCCACACCCCAAATCGCAGCATACATTGTGAGAAGATTGTGGAGAGACATGCAGCATGGAGTCACATGGCTGAAGCAGCGGAACTCTGTGCCACCGGATGTGGCAACAGCTACTGACGCTGGTGGCTTGACAGGGAATTAGGTAGATTTAAGGAGCATTAGTACCATGGGTGCAAATCTCAAGGGCCGTGCAGTAGGACCTCTGGATCCACCAGATCTGTATCTGTAGTTTCACTGATCCACGGTCTTATCCTCGTAAGGCCATCGAGTCCAACCTCTTGCTTCAAGGCAGGAATCCAAATCAAGTGATATCTGACGGAGGGTGGTCCAGTTTTCTCTTGAAGGCCTCCAGCGTTGGAGTGCTTCTAGAGATTCTTGGATCCTTTGTCATACTGCTCTAACAGTTAAGACATTTTTCCTGATATTCAGCCTAAATCTGGCTTAATAATAATCTTGCAACTGCAAAACAGGAAGGGACCCTATGAATTACGGCGACCGGTCACTGTCAAAGGGAGATCAAACTCCCAACCTCTGGCTCCTCAGTCGTAGGCCTAAGCCACTTTGCTATCCTGTAGCTTCAGCCCCCAATGACATGTCCTGCTTTCTGGGATGACCGAGGACCGATCCTGCTCCTCCTCTGGACGACTGCTTTTCAAGTATTTGAAAAGGGCTCTCCTATCTCTCTTCAATCTTCTTTTCTCAAGGATTTACAAACCCTGGTTCTTTCGGTTTTTCCTCCGAGGGCTTGGTTTCCCGTTTCCCTGGTCCGTCCCCGCTGGCCCTCCTCCGAACGGCGTTGACCAAAATCCATTCTTTCCCTCTTCAATCTTCTTTTCTCAAGGATTTACAGGCCCGGTTCTTTCGGTTTTTCCTCCGAGGGCTTGGTTTCCCGTTTCCCTGGTCCGTCCCCGCTGGCCCTCCTCCGAACGGCGTTGACCAAAATCCATTCTTTCCCTCCAGCCCTCCAGAAGCTGCTCTCCATGGTCCTGCCGGTTTATATGAAAGGGATCCGGGAAGACAAGGAGCGCCAGGTGGTGATGTCCGTTCTGGACATGCTGGCAAAGCTGCTGAAGGCCTGCAGGCAGGAGGCCTTGAGCGAAGCCGGCCGACTGGCTGAGCTGTGCCGGGTGATCCGGGAGGTGCTGGAGAAAAAAGTGAGTGTCCAGAGCCAGAGACCCTTTTCGCCCGAGGCTCCCGTCCTTTCTGGGTAACCGTCGTTCCCCTTCTCCCCCACAGTTTGCTTAAGTGAAACCTTGTTAAGCCATGGGATTGCAGATTTTCCTTTCCTTTTTTGGGGAGCAGGGTAGAGCGGGTCTTCTTTTCAGCTTCCTTCCTTTATACACTGAGTCGTGCGGGGATTTTTTGCTGCTTAAACTGTTTTTTAAAAAATATTCAAGAAAAAAGTGACATTTTTTGCAAACTTTTGCAGCTCAAAAAATTCACAATGTAAGCGAAGGGTGAAAAAAAGAATCAGAAGCATGATTTGATAGAGTTTGGTGGGTTTTGGAATGCCTGTAGGCAGAGTCGGGCTGGAAGTTCAAATTCCCGCCACGTCTCACCGGAGAAGGGCGAGCTGAGATCACCCAGTGGAAGGGGCCGGGAGATCGATTCTGAGCACCTTGTCACTAGGCAGTTCTTTGAGGGTTGCCATGAGTAGCACGCCATGTGTAAATGCGCCCATGTTGAGCCACGAGTGACATAAAACTCTTAAGCTCATACGGTGCAGTTTCATGGGAGAGCACAGAGTATGCGCTGGAGCCTTTTATCTTTTGAAGAAAAGGAGGTACTGCTTTGCTTTTCCAGGTCGCTTGCCAGGGCATCGATGAAGACGATGATGAAGACGACGACGATGAAGAGGTGGGCATGGCCAGCCGCTGTCTTGAAACATCACTCAGGTTTTTGTTTTGGGGAACTGGGGCTACTCCAGATGGCGAAGGAAGTGGCCGAGTTTATATCCTAAAAGCTGGCTTTCTGTCTTTAAATTCCAGCACAATATGTTTTTATGGCATGTGTGCACTTTAAATTTTCATTGCCCTTTTTTTCCCATGAGAAAAGTCTTCAGGTGTGTTTATCGTCAACATAATAGCAAAAAAAGGGGGAAAAAAGGGAAAAAAAGGAAAATTTGGCAAAGTGAAAGGAAGCCACAAAAATAGACCCAGGGCTAAGGAAGGGAGCAAGTCTGGATGGCTGTTGATGTATTCATTGGGCACCTTTATATCTGAGTTTTAATTAGTTGAGGTGGATTGATGCAGCAAAGCAGTCGTTTCTCCTCCTTGCCTTCAAACCGACCCTGTGAGGTAGGTCAGTAAGGCAGAAAGAGAGGGAAAGGCTGATCCGAGGCCACCCGGTGGGTTCCATGACTTGGTGGGCCCTGGGACTCAAGATTTCCCAAGTCCTAACTGAATGTTCTGAAGTTACGAACTGAAGGCCAAACAAAGCCCTTGTAGAAAACCTGTCATTGGAAGAGGGGATTCCTTAAGGGCTGAAAGAGGTGTGATTGTCGCAAGGGGAGCTTTTCACGCCTCCCGCCGTGGGCAGCCTGGCTTGCTTGGTGTTGTAGTGGGCCTTCTGCACCCCAACAAGGTTTGGCTTGGAAGCTGGATTACTCAAGTCAGTCTCTCGAACCCCAACACATTTTGGTTTCTGATGAGGGACTGTGTCTCTAAGACACCATTTGGTCCCAAAGCCGGGGAGCCCTTTAAAAGTATTGTAGCCGGGGTGGTGGGGTTTGATGTCTCTCGCTGCTGAGCCTTCTACTGGGGAGTAAGCCCTTCTGCAGTGTGCTTCTGAGCACACCTGGGGAGGGGAAGCCCCCAAGGGTTCCTCCTTGGCCATCTGGTTCCCTATGGGGGGGTCACGGAAAAAGAACCCACCGCCACTTTCTGTGGGAGGTGTGTTCGGGGAGGAGAAGAGGAATGGCAGGCCTGGGAAAAGTGGTTTTGCTCCTCTCACCGCCTCCGCTCCCTCTCACCGCCTCCGCTCCCTTCTTGCCCCCCCCCCAGGCAGAGTACGACTCCATGGTGATTGAATGCGCCGGAGAAGTGATCCCAGCCCTGGCTGAGGCTGCCGGTGGAGAAACCTTCGCTCCCTATTTTGCCGGCTTTTTGCCTCTTCTCCTCAATAAGATGGTGAGTTATGGGTTCTCTGGTGCCCCCTCTGCTTACTGCACCCCAGACCTTTTGCAAGTCCTGCCCCTCCTTCCCCTCCCCCGCCCCAGCCAGTCTCCTCCTTTCTGTCCTTCCCTTTCTATATTGACCCCTCTGCCATGTCACTGGCTCTCCGGACATCTGTCTGAAACACCGCCAAGTCCTCAAAAGACCCTCTTGTCAGCTGGGGATGATGGTCAACCCTGTCCAACACCTCTGGACGGGGTTGGGGGGGAGCCTCCATGGTGGGCATTGGGGGGGTCGCTCCTTAGCATCTTTCGCCCCCAATGATTCAACTGGATTTTAATTAGCATATTAATGTTTAACTTGCTATATTATTAATTCCGTCCTTTTTAGGATTGTGAGCTGCCTTAGATCTCCTTATGGGGGGGAAAAGATGGCCTCTAAATAAAGCAAATCTGTCAGTAAAAAGTTTGGATAGGGCCCCTACCCCGTTTGCTAACGCGGAGGGGCATTGGGGAGTCTCTCCCCCAGGGGAACTGTGGGTTTCGCCCTCCTCTTCCCTGCCTCTGGCCTTGCCAACCTCCTTCCCTCCTGGTGTCTCCGCAGAAACCCAGCTGTTCCTATGCCGACAAATCCTTTGCCGTGGGGACGATCGCGGAGACCATCCAGGGACTGGGCCAGGCCTCGGCCCCCTTCGTGCCCCGCCTGGCGCAGGTGTTGATGGCGGCGGCCCGCGACGAGGACATGGAAGTGCGCAGCAATGCCGTCTTTGGGCTGGGCGTGCTGGCGGAACACGGCGGAGGAGCCATGCACGAGTATCCTTCCCGGGGCTGGCCCATTTGCCCGCCCGCTTGTGCGGCAAAATGGGGCAGATCGGGGGAGCGGCTCAGCTCTCCCGAAAAATCTCTCATTCTTGGGCGTTCTCCCTGCGATATCAGAGGCAGAGAACAGCCCCAGCGTCACTTTGGTGGAAAACCCGCAAATTTGCAAATGCGGATTTGTTTTTCAAAGTCTCCGGTGCTCGCTCTGGCCTTAAGCAGAGCCGAAAAGCCACGGCGTCCCCTTCGTCTTTCCTCTTTTTTTCTCCCTTCCTTAACCCCTTCTCCTCCCGGCACAGACATTACCCCAAGCTGCTGGGGCTTCTGTCCAACCTCATCTCTCAGGAACAGCGGGGCCGGGTGACCGATAACGTCTGTGGAGCCGTAGCCCGGATGGTAATGGCCAACCCTGGTGGAGTCCCCATTGGCCAGGTGAGGAGCCCGAAACCCGCCCCCCCGCTCCCTGGCAAGGAGCTCAGGACCCCTTTTAAAAGTGCCTGGAACCATTGACAGCTATGGATCGATCCTTTTAGTAAGAGGCAGGACTCATGAGCCACTCTCCGCCTCCCCAGGCCATCATATTTAATTCTTGTCTCCCCTTGTCCTGCCCTCCCCCAGAGATTGGGGGTTTGAGGGAGAGAAAACTCAGAAAAAAGGCTGGAGAAGAAAAAAAAAGGGGGGGGGTTCCTAGTTTATAATAATTGTTATAGTTATAATGAGGATGGCAATGACAATGATAAACCATTGGAAAAACTAAAAAAATACAGAGACCTGGCAGTTGAAAAATCTCGCTTGTGGATGAAACACAATTCACTGGTCCCCATCGTCATCGGGGCTTTGGGAACAATATCAAGAAACTTCATACAGTACTATAAGTGGCTGCAGATCTCAGAGATCACATAGTCAGAGCTACAAAAAAGGCACTATTAGGGACAGTACATATACTGTGCCGACATTTAACAGAGACTTAGATTTTTTGTTAAAACTTTTACCTGTTAGTGTTCATATAGTTTTGATTGTGTTTGGTATTTTATAATAATAATAAAATCCGGAGCTGGAGTCCCGAAGGCAGCATGTGTCCTTCTGCCAACTCCTGCGACATTGCTGGAACCAGTTGTATTGGCTCTTGCCTTTCCATTGGACCATTTCAGCAATGTGGAGAGGGGGGATCTGCTGCTTGGATAACAGCCTATCCTCCATATTACCTTACCCGGGCTTCATGCTCTGGAGAGGACACTCCTCGATTCAGAGCATGTTTACCAAATTTAGCCCCGGTCAAGGAAACGCACAGTGGGGGAATCGAACCCCCAACCTCTGGCTCCACAGCCGGATACCTAAACCACTGAGCTGTCCTGCTGTTACATAACCCACGTGTGTGATTCACAAGGAAAAAAAATGCTGCTTACCAAGGGAATACAGGGTCAATTACTGTACAGAGAGCAGAGAAACTGGCAGATTTTTCTTTTCATCCCAAAGCTTCTTGAAAAGGGCAGAACCCTATCCTGCCTCTGGTAAGCTGGCCCTTCTGCGCTTTAGGGAGGCCGAGTAAAGATCCCACTCCTGCTGCTACATAACTCACGTGTGTGATTCACAGTGAGCACAAGGAAAAAAATGCTTACCAAGGGAACACAGGGTCAATTACAGAGGCAAGAGAAACTGGCAGACTTTCTTTTCATTCCGAGGCTTCTTGAAAAAGGGCAGAACCCTATCCGGCCTCTGGTAAGCTGGCCCTTCTGTGAGCTTTAGGGAGGCCGAGTAAAGATCCCACTAAAACCAGGAGTGGATTCACACCTGCAAATCCTGTATGGCCGTTGTGTGGCACACAGCTTTCGCCTCCAGCCCCTCGGCTGCCGCCCCCCCCCCCGAGACAGCAGCTTAACTCTGGCTCACAGGAGGGCCAACCCTCCTTAAGGCATGTTAAGGACGGGGTTGACCCCTAACCGGGTGTTTTTCTCCCCACTCCCTTCTGCAGGTCTTCCCCGTCTTGCTCCACGCGCTGCCTCTCAAGGACGACTTCGAGGAATACCAGACGATCTTCCGTTGCATCAGCTTCATCCACAGTCATGATCCCCAGCAGGTCGGTTCCGTGGCCCAGCCTACAGAAAGGGGTTGCTTGTGTGCCCCACGGTGGAGCAAAAGATGTTGTTTCCCTCCTGGGCTTTGGAAGAAAGTGGCGATGCTTAGCGGTGGGCGAGAAGGGGTTTGCCATGGGGTCTGCCCACACTGGAGCAGGGCAGCCTGGGCATCCGGCAGATGTGCTCTGCCAAGGTTTGGATTTCTGCACCTTGTGCGTGGAGTGACACACTCCCAGGCGGGGTGCATTCGGGATCCTTGCGAAGCACAACATAAGCTGCCCTAACACCAGGTCGGGCTGTTATTCATCTGTCTGAGGTTCCCTGCTACAGATGAGCCGATCTGTGGTTTTTCGACTACAACTCCCAGAATGCCCAAGCCAGCCGACTCATAGCCCCACTCTGCGCCCCCACAGTGTCCGGATTAGTTGGACCACAACTCCCGGAATCCCCAGGACAGTTGTAGTCTGACCATTTGACCAGGGGCCTTCTCGATGGGTTGGGCGACGACTCCGACACCCATTGTCTAGTTGTGACAGGAAGCAGGTCTCTGGGATTTTGGGCCGAGAAAGGGAGGAACCCCCTCTTCCCTGCCTTTTCTGTTCCCCAGTTAAATGGAGAAATAAAGGCATAGAACCTAGGATTTTGCGAAGGAACCACATTGCCACCACGCAGTGCCTGCCCACCATTCCTCAAGAAAGCTGAATGGAACCTCCCTGTCCCATTGCAGTCAGCCTCAAAATCCCGCACGCAATGAGACAAGAGGTGGAAAGGGGCTTCACTACGTAGGATTTCCAGAAGCTTATGGGAGACATAAGATGCTGGCCTTCTGGATATCAAAGGTGGGAATCCTGTTCCCCAAAAGCACCCTAGCAGAAATAATGCAGAGGGGTATAGGCCAGTATCCATTCCTGGGAGCCACCGGGAGCAACAATTTTGCCTTAAAACAAGGCACAGACTCTCCCTATACTTCCTGTTGCTCCCCTTGCAAAAGACATTTATAAAAACAGAAGTAGATTTCCAGATCCTTTTTGGAGATAGCTTTCCAGAAGGTTTCTGAAAGTGACCCTCCGATCCCTCCCAGCAACTCCAGCGTGGGGCCACTTCTGGCTCTCCTGACATTCCCGATGCGCGCCGGAGGCCACCAGAAAAAAATTCTTTTTGGTTTCCTCTACCCGCACGGCTCCTTGATTTGCGCCGTACATTTGCACAGCATTGTGGCACAACTTTCATCTCTCCCGCGGACTCTGGGCATTTCGCCTTCCTGCGCACTGGAACGGAGCCTGCTTCCTGGCATGGGTTTTAGAGACGTAATGTTAAAAAACAAAAACTTCCAGCCCCTTTCTAGGTCATGTCGCTCTTTCGTGTGACGGGCTGGGAAATAAATGACCTTAGAGATCAGGCGAACAAAACACAGCTCAGGTGTGGCCGTGTTTTCCCAGAAAAGGCCTCCCGTCCCGTGTGACCGGGGAATCGTTTCTGTGTTTTAGGTCTTGCAGCAGGTTGGGGAAATCGTGCGAGCCGGCAGTGCCATCCTCGGCAGCAAACAACTGCCAGCAGGTACGTGGTCCAGGTGGCGCCCCACGCTTACCACCTTCCTCCCCTCCTGTCTCTTTTGAAAAGCAAAAGATCACCACCAAGTGTTTGGAAAAACACAGTTGCACTAATTAACGGTGGGATCTCGCCTTGAGGTTCGGCTTTTTGGGGACCTCCCTTTCCCTCCCCCCCCTTGAGCTTTTAGGTCTCAGCTGTGTGTCACTTCCCGAAATAGGCCGAGGATGATGCTGGGAAGGTACAGAATAAAGACCAGGGTGGGCTCGCTCTGGGATCAGGGGGGGGTCCCTGTTTAGCCCCAGCGCCGAAAGGTTGTACACACCTCTTAGAATGATAGAATAAATGAGTCGGGAGGGGCAGCTTCCCGAAAGCGTCACTAGCAATGGACAGGAGTCTGCCTTTCATTTTGTAGAACCTCTTTGGGGAACCTGACGCGCCACCCAGGGTGTGGAAAGGTGTTCTGAAAAGATTGAAGGCGGGCAGGCTTTCTGCTATGCCTCAAGCGATGCATCTGGCGCGGTTGTGCCGTTCTAAGCCCCCCCCCTCCTTCTCTCTTTTTGCCCAGAGGGCCGCAACAGTCTGGTGGCGCTCCTCCACAGCCTCTCCATCAGCTGCCCGGCAGAGTTCCAGACGGCCGTCCTCTCCCTGCCTTCGGACGCCGGGGCGTTGGTCAACGCCGCCATCAGCTCCTCCGCTTGAGGGGGGCGGCAGGAGGAAGAGCGCTGGAGTCCACCCCCTTTCGGACCCTGCATGTGGAAGAGGGCGCCGCTCGCCAAGGCCCTCCACCTGTACGTCGCCCCGCTTTGCGACAGGCCCGGCGCCCCACCTGCAACACGAAGCGGCCCATCCGTTGCCCCATGCATTGGCCTTCCTGCTGCCGGTGGGGCTTCTGTACATCCTCTGTCGTCTTTCGGCCTTCCCGGCCGGGGCGGCGGTCGCTTTTTGGGGTCGGGGTGGTGGTGGTTTCAGCCTGTTCCCAAAAGGCTTATTGGGGCTTCCCCAAATAACCACAGAACGACATTTAGTGCCATGGATCCATTGTTCTGGCCGGTTTTCTTAGGTGCTAGACAGGGATCTCATCTCGCCGGCACCTTTCATGGGTCCCCACTCATGTTGCTCTCCAGGACTGTATCGGAGCCGTTCTGCTCTCCAGGATCTTGCCAATTTTCTGACGGTTGTTTTCTGGGCACATCCGGCACATCCGAGCTAAGCCAAAGAGGTCTGCCCCCCACAGTAGCTCGTGTGCTCGGTTCCAGAGTCCCACCCCCTTTCCCTTTGCACCCCTGCCCTTCGGGGCGAGAGCCAAGGTTCAAGTTTGCCAAGCGGGGCCGCCGCTTAAAGCCTGCGATCGCCTGCACCCCCTCGCATTTAACGACACCTCTGTGCTTCGGTTTGGTCGCCGTGAACGGAAAGTGCGTTTTTGGTCCGGATGCTTTCCTTCACGTCGACTTGCCCGTGGGTGGATCGGAAGACTTTAAAACCTGTTTGAGTTTCAAAATGGGGAGCTCAATCACGCACTGCCCCTTGGCCCCAAGAGGAAAAGCAGCGGGGCTGTTCCCCTCTGGCCTGTTTTCACCACCTGGTGCTAAAGAGGAAAGCCTGTATTATCTGGTTGAGATGATCGTGTCTTTCCAAAGCAATGCAAAAGGGAGCTGGAGGCAGGGAAGGGAACGGAGTGAGTCACTGGATCACTGGCTTCCTCGCAAGGCCAGAAAGTTTGTTTGCTGGCTCAGCGGGATTGGCATCCTTTGACCCCCAAGTGGGAGCTTTACAAAGCCTTTTGCTGCCGTGTTAAAACAACAACTCCGGCCTCCACCCAGCCAGCACGTGTCTTCCCCAAAGGAGAGCAAACTTTCCGAATGGATGTACACATTCTGCAGACACCAGTTGTGCGTGCAATGGGCATACCGTGAAACCGTTCACTGCTCCTTAACTGTTGTTTCGGCCCTCCGATTCTTCCCTGTTACTAACACACACACACACAGAGGTTAGGATAAACTCTCCTTGGGAGTCTGTTTTGGTTTGATCACTCTCCCTGCGTTGCCAAAGGACGTGTTTTGTGTTTTGAACCCGCTGATTATTATTATTTTTTTGCCTTCCTGGCCGTGTTCGGGACACATTCCCAGAGCTGCTACCCCAACCGCTGCCCCCTCCACGGTTGACTTGCAGGGGAAGGATCAGAGTTTAAGAGTTTGGTCCGAGGTGGTTCCTCTGAAGCCGCCTGGAGGCCAGCCAGTTTTCGGATGAGGATGGTGGACCCCTGTCGTTTGTATTTAAGATTTTAACTTCCTGGGTTTATTCCTTTTTTTCTCTCTCTCTCTTTTGGAATGAATGAGACTAAAATATATTGTGTTACCTTGTAATAAAAATCTGTTGCATCTGAACGATCGTTCCTGAACGGATGGTTTGAGGGGTGTGTGCATATGGTTTGATCTTTCCTACACTGCCTGTCTATTATGGGAGTTGTCATTCCAGAACAGATTAAGTGGAGGATCGTGGGGGAAGGGGTGCAAATTTATATGAACCAGGAGTTGGGACGGGTGTTTTTTTAAAAAAATTACATCTCTCTCTAAGCTAGTCTGGAAAGTGGTTTAAAAAAAAAAATCTCTGGGAGGAACATCAGAACCCAGCCTAAAAGTCTGCATCCCAGATTTTCTCAGGACGCCTCAATGTCGGACAGACCGTTTTGGTAAAGCCCATAAAAGACCGCCCTAAGTTGATTCTTCCTGCCAACACCCGGCCGGCTGGCCACCCAAAGGGGTGGGGAAAGTCTGCTTTTAGGCAACCCTCTCGCCCAGAGGATGGCAGAACGGGCAAAGCCTCTGTCCTGGCTGGGACCCCCAGAGCCTTCCAACAGCTAAGACGTCGAGGCTGCCGTGCGCCCTGGGCGGGGAAGAGCGAGGGCAGGGAAAGGGGTGGCCAGGGAAGCCTCTCCGTGGAGGCACCTGGAAGGAGCTCAAGAACTCTAGCGGGGAACCAACCAACCCCTCTACCTGCACTTTGCACAGCTGGTGACAGACGATCTTTGAACCCCAGGGGCCCAGCCCAGCCCTCTGGAGCTCTGCAGCTGGTCCTGCCTTCACCATCGCAAGAACACAACCTCAGAAGAGCCCTGTGCTGGATCAGGCCAAGGTTCCCATCTAGTCCAGCTCCCTAGATCTTCCAAGCGGCCCCACCAGATGCCTCTGGGAGCCCACGAGACGACGAGATATAACTGTCTCCTGATCCCCTTTCCCCTGCATCTGGCCTTTGGAGGTCCCTTCCTTTTAAGCCTGGAGATGATGCCTCCCCATCATGGCTCGTCACCTGCGAGGGACTTTTCCTCCAGCAATCTGTCCAATCCCCTTTTAAAGGCATCTAGGCCAGATGCCATCTCCACATCCTGTGGCAAGGGGTTCCACAGACTAACAACATGCTGGGTCAAGAAATATTTTAATCTGTCTGTTCTCACTCTCCCAAGACTCCATTGGTGGATATCCCCTGGTCTCTGGTATGGCGTGAGAGGGAAAAGAGCTGCCCTCCCTCACACTTTATATCCATCCCCAGCATTTTATATGTCTCCATCATGCTCCCCCTCAGGCGCCTTTTCTCTAGACTCAAGAGCCCCCAACGCTGTAGCCAGTCCTCGTCCGAGTCCCTCTCTTCTGTCCCTTTTCCAGTTCCACGATATCTTTTTTGAGGTGCAGTGACTACGAACACACAATACTTCGGGTTGGCCTAACCAGCATTTTGTGCAGCAGCATTATCGTGTTGGCTGTTTAATTTTCTGTCCGCCTTTTTAAGGAGACCGAGCACGGAAGTGGCCTTCTTCGCTGCTTCCGCACAACTGGGTTGACCCTTTCATCTGTCGGGTTCCCGGCGTTCACAAAGGGATGTTCCTCCTTTCTAAAAGATTTAGCCTCCAAGTAATAATAATAATAACAGCCTCAGAACTGCAGAGCTGGAAAGGACCCAGGCAAGGAGGCCCCGTGGGGGAATGGGACTCACAGCCACTGGCTTTGCAGCCCGAGATCGAAGCCTCTGAGCTCCCCGGCAGGTCTTCGCCGTCCAACTCTTTAGCCCTCATTCAACCAAACGGGACATTTTAGTCCCCGAGAATTGCAGGGCAGGGCAGACTTCACGCAGGGCAGGACGGCCAAGCAAGCCGTTTGCAGGACCGGCCAGAAGTGTTAAAAACGTCTTTTGGGGGCAAATGGCTACACGAAAGCAGACAGGGGGGTGGCAGCTTTTCCTATCATGTGCCAAGCCACGTGCTTGGGTGTCATAAAATAATGCCCCAGTTGCCTTTTTCATTGGCATCCGTTCACAGAAAGTCACACGGCTGGCACTCCATCCGTGAGGGACACAAACCGGATCTGCTCACTGGATGAGCTGGGGAGGGGGAAAGAAGTGGTACCTAACCTTCCGTCGTGTGACCAGGTACAAGGTAGGGTTCCCCCACCCCACGGGGCGGGAAAAAAGGCTTCCTGAGAATCTCTCCCAGAAAAATCTGCTTTTTGCTAGTGGTGTTTTTTTCCCCCAGCCAGTGAAATACATCCAAACCACCCAAAACACACACACAAAAAAAACACTGGATGTTCAAGAAAAAAACCATAATGCAATGTGCATCTTCTGGTTGACCCCATTAAGGATGAAACACTAGCATTCTCCTTCATGATCTAACCTTTATACAAACAATGCATTAGCACAGCTACCCACAACACCCCGGGTGTGTGTGGGGTGTCAGGAAATATGGCAGAACACAAGGCAAGTATTTTAGATCTAACCTTTATACAAGCAATGCATTAGCACAGCTATCCACAACACCCCATGTGTGTATGTGTGTGGGGGGGGAGTTCAGGAAATATGGCAGAACACAAGGCAAGTATTTTTTTTCCTTTCAAAAATTAGCTGCCTAGCAGTAAAGCTGAAATACAATAATATTTGTAGTTCTCGCCATTTTCCCTTGGCCTGCACCCCCAGAAACGGTACTCATTTTTGAACTCGGACTGCGAAGGCACTGTTTTAGGGGGAGCATGGAAGAATGCAACCCTGTGAAGGTGTGTTTCTTACACAGGACATCCCACCTTCAGTCCTGTTGAGGAAGGAGTATGGAATTCAATGGACACACAGCAGCCCCCCCCCTAATCCAACGTGGGGGGAGCAGGGAAGAAGGCAACCCTGTGAAGGATGGTGTGTTTCTTACACAGGACATCCCACCTTCAGTCCTGTTGAGGAAGGAGTATGGAATTCAATGGACACACAGCAGCCCCCCCCCTAATCCAACATGGTTCTCGTTCATTTGGCCCTTCAATGCTAAGAAAGCGGGATCCAGGAGGAAAGAGCCAAGAGGATGGCCGGCGCTTGAAAAGATGGCCATGTCAAGCCTGATTCAGAGTTTCCAAGACCTGCTCTCCCAGAGCTTAGAAAAATTAGCCCTTCTGGACTACAACTCCTAGTATCCCCACCACCACCACAGCAGGCCCAGGGGATATTGGGAGATGCAATCAAAAACCCAAGTCGCTTTTCCCAACGCTGGGTGTTGCGCTTAAAGACGATCCTTGCTCGCTGTGTGTTGTGTTGAGGCTTTTTGCCCGCTCAAAAGTCTTAAGGTCGGAAAGGCTATATTAACGCAGAACATCTTTATTCAATTAGGTAGGAAACAAGGATTCTTAATGGCTCTCGATCCATAAATGCATCTTGCCGACTCTAAAAGGTTTGGAACAGGAAGACTCTCTCTCTCTCTCTCTCTCAAGCCCTGGAGTACCGGATCGCTCCCCCTCCTTGCGGGGTGGGAGGGCAGGAGACTCTGCGCACCCTCAACTCTCCTGGTGCGTGCGATCAGGCAGGAACGGGAGCCGCAGGGGGTGGCTAGCTCAGGGGGAAACGAGCCCCCGGCTGAAGGAGGATCCGTCCGTACGGCTCGCTCTGTTCCAGGTGCACGAACTGGGCTCCAGCGAGAACTAGGAGGTTGGGGAGAAGGTGGTCAAACGTGGCTTGCCATCTATTCAACAGCACAGCTGAAGAGTAGCTAAAAAGCCTGCTTGGTTTTTTGTCTGTTTGAGTGACGCTTGCCCATTCCTTGCCGGAATTCTGAAAGCCATCACGGAAAAGAGGATGGGACCTTCTCAAGTTCCCCTTTGCCTCTCCGCTTAAGTAAATGTCATGGGACTTAGCCATTGAGCTCTGCTCTGGTCGTCCCCATAGTTGCTTCTTCTCCTAGTTCCTTTGCCTGGAGCCTTCCTAAAGCAAAGCGTGCTACTTACTGTATTTTTCCCTGTATTAAAAAAATGACACCTTTCCCTAAAATAATTAGAGGAAAAGTTGAGGGTTGTTTTATACACAGTAGGAAGGAGGGGGGAGGAATCAAAGCACTTTGATCCCTGCTTTCCCCCTGCACTTCCTTTGCAAAAAGCTACTTTCCCGCTCGTAAGAAAGTGGAGGGGGAAAGTGATCCCTGCTTTCCCCCTGCACTTTCTTTGCAAAAAGCTACGTCCGCCCTCATAAGAAAGTGGAGGGGGAAAGTGATTCCTGCTTTCCCCCTCCACTTTCTTTGCAAAAAGCTGCTCCCCCCCACAATACTTTCTTTGCAAAAAGCTGCTTCCCCCTCTCCACTTTTTGCAAAGAAAGTGGAGGGGGAAGCAGCTTTTTGCAAAGAAAGTGGAGGGGGAAAGCAGGAATCAAAGCACTTTGTTCCCTGCCTTCCCCCTCAACTTTCTTGCAAAGAAAGGAATTTTGGGTTAGAAAAGTGGGGGTTGTCTTATACATGGGGGCATCTTATACACAGAAAAATACGGTATATATTACCGTCCCATAGTGTTCAAACCACTCTCTGGGCAGTTTACAATTTAATTATCCAGGCTACACTTTGCCTACCCATCCCAGCAGGCTGGGGAACTCAATTTACCGACCTCAGGAGGATGGAAGGCTGAGGGAACCTCCAGCTGGCTACCTGGGATCAAAACCTGGGTCATGAGCAGAGTTTTGACTGCAGTAGTGCAGTTTAACCGCTGCACCACAAGCTTCTTTCCTACCATGTCCAAAGTGAAGAGCTATTGAACTGAGCTTTGCATCCCATGAAACAGACCCCGTGTATGACACCCCACAGGTACCCTTTTCTCCTCCACCTCCTTCCCCACCCACCCCAGAAGCTAAGGTGGCCTCGTTAGCCTTTTATCAGCTCTGGCTTGTTTCAGGAGGGATAGTCTGCCCGCAAATGATTCAGATCCAGGCTACTTCCATAATTTCTTCTCACACCTAAGTTCTCCTCGCAATCAGGAACCCTCAAGAATCGAGAATTTTTGCTGCTCTGGAGAGCCTAACGTGGAAGCACAAACCTCTCTTGTGCAGAGAAGTCATTCTCCACGAGCAGAAAGCTATGGTGGAGAGGTGGGAGGCCAGGCGCTCCCTCTCAGCGTGCTGGAAAGAACCGATTAACTAATGATCGAAGAGAGCCTAGGCAAACGGCTCTATAAAACATGCTTAATAAGCAATACGTACCCAAGCACATGTAGAAAAAACGGCTAACGACGGCCCTCGGAGTGGTCAGTGGCACCAGCTGGACAAACTCTATCTCTCCAACCTGTTCAAGTTTGGTGGAAACCATCCTGTGAGGAGATAAAGTGACGTCATTGCCTGTACCTTCTTATTCCGCTTTTCCCGCCCACGATGGCCAAAGCGTCTCAGCGATACACCAAACAACAAAGACATCCATTCAAAAGCAATACAACCAGTTGCAAGCAGCTGTTGCATCAATAGATTGTTCGTTATGCGCCCTCAAGTTGGAACCGATTTATAGCAGACCCTAACAAGGCACTCAAGTCAAGTGAGATATTTAAGGAGTGGTCAGTGAGTTTCCGTGGTCAGCTGGGGATTCGAACCCTGGTCTCCAGAGTCCCAGTTTGTCACTCTTATACACTGCATCACACTGGTTTGTTGGTGTTGTTTAGTCGTGTCCGACTCTTTGTTTATCCACTGCATCGCACTGGGTTGTTGTTGTTTAGTCGTGTCCGTCTCTTTGTGACTGGGTACCCACATCCATAGATCAACACAGAATAAAACAGCAATCCAATATTAAATAAAATGTAAAGTAACATAATCCACCCATCTAAACTAAACAGGATTGAGATAAATATACGTATATGTTCTTCATACCTGTGTTACACTTTGGAAGCGAGAGACCAAAGAGATCACAGTGGAATCAGGTTGACATAAGCGATTCTTAATCCAATGTCCAATAGGGCACAGAGACCTTTGACGCCCATCTCTTGAGATCAGAAAACTCACCCCTTTTTTTGGACCACAACTCCCAGAATCCTTTGCTGGCTGAACATTTTGAGAGCGGTAGCCCCCCCCCCAAAAAAAGATTTTCCCAACTTCTGTGTCTCAGTGCGTTTTGCCCTTTGAAAAAGAGTGGAATCCAGAGGTCAGCATGTTGACTCACAAATGAGCCTTTCCAATCCCAAATACCTTTTCCAGGAGATACCACGATAAGGCCGATTTTTTTTAAAAGGACAACATTTAGTGCAAGCATTCGGAGTCGGGCCTGATCTGGTGTTAGAAAAGGTGGGAGAGGAAAAGGCAGGAGGGGAGGGGCAAAAACACAGGCGCATTTTAATCCTGCAAAAATAGACAATATAAGATTTCTTTGCTTCTCGGTTATCAGTCAAAACAAGGAGCTGCGACTTGCTGTAATTGAATTAGCAAGTGCTCATCAACAGAGAAATTGCTACTCAACCGTCGCTCCTTCTCTCTCCTTCCTCCCCAGGCCCACAAACCGGGAAATAAAGATGCTAAGATTGCATCACTTCTGGATTTTTCCCCAATTCCTTATGACTCCCCCCCCATATCCACCCACTTTTCTGTAATGCTAGCAAAGCGGTTGTGACATCAAAGTTTGCAGACAAGGGTTTTTTTAAGCATCAGGGAGAGAAAACAACTGGGGTGGTCTGATTTTAATCTCTGGGGGAAGCTTCTGCAACCCTGCCCACCCCCAGACATTTAAAAAAAGAGGTAGGAGAAATTCTTGAGGAAAGAAGAAGCAAATAAACTGTGAAATGGTGGTAATTTCATGAATTTTATTTCTACTCAATCCCTCAGTGACTGGCTGCCTGAGTGGGGTTTTTTTAACGGGTTGTTGTGCCTTACTGCTTTGAATGCGTTCCAGTGTTGCGTATGTTTTTTAATTGGTAGTCGCTGGATCCTTTCTTGAGTATTTCTATACTCACTGTTGTTACCTTTAATATTGTCTTTTAATGATGTAAGACGCCTTGCATCCTTTTTTTCAGGCAGGGTAAAATATTTTAAATAAACCAAAAAAATGTTTTCTCCAGGGCAGGACTGAGGTACATGTGGCCCTCCAAATATCCTGTCAGCCAACACAGGCAGTAGTGAAGTCCAAAAATGTCTGGATGACCCTGCGCTCCTCCATCTCTACGTACAATGCCATAAAATAACCCGTGAACCTAAGCTAACACATTCCTTCACGAATACATCTTAACGCATTCCGATTTCGTAGCACCCGTCAATCCGTTCCGTGTTTTCATCTGATTTTTCCTGGTGCTCACTACGGTGGATGGATCCCCTTTTGGGAAAAGGGTCTCCACCCCTCTGATTGCTCCTGCAAAGTTCGGACGAAAATCTGGACACTGCCCCTGGAAAACTGGATTGGCTCCCTCTTGGGACGACCGTGGCTATTTTTGCCGCTCACGAGCTCAGTTTTCTCCACCACGTGGTGCTCCGCAGGATGTCGGACTGCAGCTCCCATCAGCCGGGGCTGATGGCAGCTGTAGTCCAACAAGATCTGGAGAGCCCCCTCCCCCCCCCAATTTCTTGCTCTCATCAGAAGACTATCCACTTGAGGCCGACCTGCGCACGTAGTCCAGGGTGATGGTGTCCTTATCCGGGGGCAGCTCAAAACTTATTTCGGGAAGCTCCGGCACCACGGGCAAGATGACCTCTTCCGGTTCCAGGAAAGCCCTGGAGGAGAAAAGAGACCTTCTCCACCACGTGGTGCTCCGCGGGATGTCGGACTGCAGCTCCCATCGGCCGGGGCTGATGGCAGCTGTAGTCCGACAAGATCTGGAGAGCCCCCCCCCCCAATTTTTTGCTCTCATCAGGAGAATATCCACTTGAGGCCGACCTGCGCACGTAGTCCAGGGTGATGGTGTCCTTATCCGGGGGCAGCTCAAAACTTATTTCGGGAAGCTCCGGCACCACGGGCAAGATGACCTCTTCCGGTTCCAGGAAAGCCCTGGAGGAGAAAAGAGATGGCTTAAGAGTGGCTTAAGAGGGATAAAGGGAAGTTCCCGCGGCCGCCGGAGCAAAGGCAGGAAGGAGGTTCAGCCTCACCTCTCCTCGGAGATCACTAAACTCGGGCGCTGCTCTTCTTCGGTCGTCTCCAGGGAAATTTCTACGAAGAAGAGACATGATTCTGTATTAGACGTCCCAGTGGAAAGAAAAGGCAGGGTCCGTGGGACAACGGCAGACCAGGCCAGGGTCCCGTTTTTGAGATGCAACACACCCCCTTGCTATTGGGGCAGGAGAGACTCCAGAGGTGCACGCGCAAGGTTGCGTTTCTGGACTCCCAACTCCCAGCCAAGCTGCTTGGGGGAATTCTGAGCGTTGGAAGTCTAGAAACGCAACCCTGCGCAGCTTAAGAGGCCCACCCATCCAACCTAAAGGTAAAGGTAAAGGTTCCCCTTAACATTGTAGCCCACTCGTGTCCAACTCTAGGGGTCGGTGCTCATCCCCGTCTTCAAGCTGTAGAGCCAGCGTTTGTCCAAAGACCATTTCCGTGGTCACGTGGCCAGCGTGACTAGACATGGAATGCCATGACCTTCCCACCGAGGGGGTATCTATTTATCTACTTGCATTTGCATGCTTTCGAACCGCTAGGTTGCCGGGAGCTGGGACAAGCGACGGGCGCTCACTCCGTTGCGTGGATTCGATCTTACGACTGCTTGGTCTTCTGACCTTGCAGCTCAGGCTTCTGCAGTTTAGCCCGCAGCGCCACCCATGTCCCATCCAACCTAGGAGACCCCAATCTTCAGGAAGAGGACGCCCAGCCCTCCTCCAAGCCAAAGTTTGATCTTAAGAGACGTTCCCGGTCGGCCACCTTCCAGTGATGGGCCAGGAAGAAGGAAAGGGTCCCTGAAACAGCAGCATCTTTACAGCCAAAGCTCTTACTGCCAGGATCGGGAGGCTAAGAATTTAGAAGGGGGGGGGACTGGTAGGGAAGGTGGGAAACCCCAAGCACACACATCTGAGCTATGTAGATCGGGGGGGGGCTTCATAGCTATATTTTAGAACTGCAGGGCTGAAAGGGACCCTTGGGGTCATCCAGTCTAGCCCCTGCCAAGGAGGTCTAGTGGGGGAATCAAACCCCCAACCTCTGGCTCCACAGCCAGAGGGCTCAACCCTTGACCTATCCAGCTGTCTAGGTAACCTCCAAGGGCCATCTCTCTGGAGATCAGAATTTTGTCCACACGCACGGGTCCCACCCCCAATTAGAAATGGAGGGGGGATGCGAAAGGAGTCAGCCCCCCCCCAGATTTGAAGACACGCACGCACCTGAGGAGCCTGGAGGTGGGAGGCTCGGCTCTTCAATTGCCCGCAGTTCCTGCAACGGGGCAGAAAGAAAAGGAAGGTTCAAGGCCCACACAGAGAAAAGGATGGAGCCAACATCCAATTATGTTCTAGGGATAAACCAGCCAGCACTCAGGGCTTCTGCATTGTGATTGGCTGGGCTGCCGTGATGTCACAGAATGTCAAAGGAAATTCTAACCTCCCAGCCCTCTAGGGAAAGACTTGGGAGTCCCAGAACGCAGGGGAAGGAGGCTCATCTTTTTGGCAGCTAAGCACCCACTATTGGTTTTTCAGGGGGTCCAGGAGAAATTTTTTTTGGCCTCCAAGCCTGGCTCTTTCTTTACCTCCAACTCGCTGGGACCCTCAGCCCTCCGCGCAGCTTCTTCCTCCACCCTCTGGCCGCGCTCCTCCAAGGCTCGCCGACGGGCGTAATCCACGCGCTGGAGGTTGGCGCAGCGGGCCCAGAGGCCGTGGAGGGTGGGATGCATCCAGCCTAAGAGGGAGGAAGAAGTACACAGTCACAAGAAGGGCTTGCTTTCTCTCCACCTCCATCCCCGAAAAAGTGCAGCCGGTTCTGTCTGTGTCTGGCCTGAAAGCTAAAGTCTGTGGGAGGTGCGGGAGGTGAACTACAACTCCCGTCATTTGCCAGCTCCATAGCCACTATTGGGTCTAGTAGCCGCTTATTTTGTCTTTCAGACTGTCCCGGATCTCTCGGGAGGTCCAATTATTTATTTATTTTTAAGTCTTTAAAAATTCCCAAAGGCTTTCACGGCGGGGATCCAATGGTGGTTGTAGGTTTTCCGGGCTGTTTGGCCGTGTTCTTAAGAACAGCTCCAAACAGCCCGGAAAACCCAGAACCACCATCTTTTAAAATGGCTTTCAAATGAATTAAATCAAGTTTTAATCCATTTTTGATCACCTAGGTCGAAAATGTTGTTGGTTTCTGCATTTTGACCTGAACTTTTAATCTCCTTTCGCCCCTGTTTTGGGAGAGAAGGGTCCGGGGGGGGGTACATACACCCATTTTTAGGATCCGTCCAGGATGAACAAGGGCCGATCCTAACCTGGTTTTTCAAGGTTTGCGAAAGCCTTTTTCTCCCACCCGCTTTAGGCCGCTTGCCATCTTCCAGGTTCAGTTCTGCTTTGTTTATGGTTAATGAGGCATGACGGCATGCTCAGAGAACTGGTCGAGATGACAAAGCTTTGGCATAAAGAACACAGCGGATCAACAGCGGTGGCGCTGGGCAGACAGAGGAACCCGAGAGGGTCAATTACCGTACGTTGCATTTCCCAAAAGGTCTGCGGACATTTTCTGCCTCTTGGCTGGCAGCAGCACCATCTCCTAAAAGGCACAAAGAAAAAATGGGGGGAAGATGGAACGGCTAGAGCCACTGGGGTTCAGTAAGAAGACTTCTCGGATTGAACTTCTGATCATACAGTCCTGGACTCCAGGAACCATCTCATTGGAAAGTGGAATTTGGCCAAGCTTCTGTAAAGGGTGCTACTTAAATCTAGAATGTATCGCCCTTGCAGTGGGTGGGAAAGCCTCCGATTTGCCCAGTAATGGAACAGAGAGGATGACAGAGAATGTTCACTAACATTTCAACTGTTCAAGATGAAATATGGCCAAAGCGTTGACAGCTCAGGTTCTGGGGCAAAAGAAGTTGCGAGGGTGACATATTTCCCTTAGCCTCCACCCTTTCTTGTCCAAATTCATTCTTGTAAACCCGTTTTTGCAACTTAAGGGCTACAAGAAAAAAATCTCTTTATCTCTCTTTCTATGCAAGACGAAAGATGTTGAAAAGAATTTTGTTCTACACTCCGTAAGGAATTGCAGCCTTAATTTTTATTTTTTTGTCCACCCAGTGCATCTAAGCTGGAAAACATATTCATAGCTGCTCACACCCTTTTTTTTTCTGACAGGAGTTGCTCTGGCTGGAACCAGGAAGAGAGAGAACGGATTAAATGAAATTGGATGGGCTTTTCAGTCCCAAAATCCAATTATTCCACCACCTACCAGGGGCTGGCACTGGGCCTGCGTGTTTAAAATCTGTTCCTGGAAATCTTCCCGAGAAATCTGAGTGATCTCATCCAGGAAGCGCAGCTGCCTTCGCCGCCGTCGGGGTCGAGCCGGGGAGGGTTCGAATTCTGGCAGGAGGAGCTGAAGAGAGAGAAAAAGCAGAACCCTCTTGATTAAGGATGTACAAGCCTCAAAAGACCAGCAACCCAGTTTGCCCTTTGGGACTCTCCTCTAAATCAGGATAGCTTGACAGTTCTTTGGTTAAACTTGAAAATGACCAGAAGATTACTTTGTGTGGGTGGGCGTTTTTGGGAGAGAGGGGAAAAAGAGACTAGAAATGCCCTCATCTACACACACATATCAATCCTGTGCCTCATTTTAGAGAAGGAAACAAAATCATCATCTACGCCAACCTGGGCTCCCCCAGATGTTCTTGGACTACAACTCCCAGAAATCCCAGCCAGCGCAGTGTCTGGGAGTTTTAGTCCAAGAACATGCGGGGATCCCCTGTTTGGGAACCACGGACAGAGATCCTCAAGGTCTGATTCTGCTTTTCAGGCTGGAAAGAAATCTGGTCAGGGAGAACAAGACGGCCCCAGGGACTAAAAAAAACCCCATCTTGGCCCAATGTGGTTCACAAATGGTGTAACTCTCAGCTCTGTTCTAAATGTCCTGGCAACAATTCCTAATGCACTTTTGATCCCTGTAAAAAAGACTTGATCTATCCCCGAGAAGTTCTGGCATTTTCCCTCTAGTTCACAGAACATTATTGGCTATCTCAGTAATCAATCCCTGGTTTTTGTCATTCCAGAAGGCATGTTTTTAACCTTCTTCTAGGGTTTGTTCCGGGAGGCGGGGAAAGCAGTTTAGCAATATAGTACTTTTAAAGCTTTGAGTATCGTTCATTTCTGCATCACGAGAGTCTCCTGATCAGAAACGTTCAAAGAAGTGCATCGTTACATACTGAAAAACAAACATAGCTCCAGCAAACAAGCCACAGGTCAGGGGTGGATCTCAAACAGAAAGCTCAAAGAGCCAACCCCCAAGAGAAGCCTTTTTTGAAATGTGGATTTTTAAAAAATCCAGTACGGGAGTGGATCCTGGTCTTAAAGCTTTTCCAAAGCTATAAGACACTATCTTATTCATATCCTTCCTTTTCTTTTAGGGCTTAATCCCACCTGCCAAAGGAACTACCATTATCTCGATTTGCACCACGTCAGGAGGAAGAAGCAGGTTTTGAAAGATCTTGCAAAGTATTGCAAAGTTTAAAAACAAATTAGGGAGGAGATGCAACAGTCCTTTCTTTAGAATTCAAAGCAGGAAATGCTTCTGCTCAAGATCTCTATTTCCCCCGCAAAGGGGGGGGGAGGCTGTCTCCTTCCAGCTGTCTCGTTCTGAGCAATATATTTGTGTTGTTTTTGCTAACACCGGTTACTGCCAATTTGTCAAGATACTGTTAAAAGGGGGTGCGGGGTGAGAAGGGTACCAGCACAGTGGCCATGAAGTGGCCACAGCACCCAGAAATCCAACTCCATTGCAAAGGAAATAAATCTACAGCAATCCGTCCACACAGGCAGAAACAATAACAAATAAAGTGATTTATCATCCGTACAAAATAAAACAACCTTCCCAAGGTGGATGGGGGGGGGAAATGGGCTGAAAATAAACCACTGGCCGGGAAAATGAGTCAGTCTCAGCCATGTGCTCAGAAATTTCTGAAACAATCTAAAGAAAAAAAATGGTATAACTGGGGCTTTTTGCATCTAAGGGTCTCCTGCCTTTTTGCTGCATCCTCACAACCATCCTTTGAGGTAGGACAGGCCAAGANTTGGTATAACTGGGGCTCTTTTGCCAGCTGGGATGGAGTCCTAAAGCTCATGGTCTCCTGCCTTCTGCTGCATCCTCACAACAGTCCTTTGAGGTAGGACAG